CCAAGCGATCTAATCGACAGTTCCGCCGGCACAACGAGTCCCCATTCTTCCCCAGTTTGGACTCTTTGTGGTGGACTCCCCCCCCCCTCCCCGGTCGCAGACTATAGTGCCCCTGTCGCCCTCCGGCACAGCACGGCACAGCACTGCAAGGCGGCCCCCCTTTTGGCTGCAGGCTCATTCCGAGGGTCCTTGTCGTCGCTCTGTCTCCCTCGCGCCCCTCCGGGACGCCCCACGAGCGAGAGAGAGAGAGAAAGAGAGAGGGACAAAGCCGACGAGCGCCCGGTTCGGAACCACCCCGCTGCCTGGGACTTGACGGGCTTGGCGGTGCTGTTGTGACGAGGCCCTGCCAAACAACCCACCTTGCCCCGGAAATCAACGAAATCAGGCAGACGCGCCGCGACGGTGGAATACGCCCCCCTTTTTCCCCCTCGACACTAAAAATAAAATCTGGAGGCTTTACAACTCCGATTTCACGATTTCACGGATTCGACGCGGATTCGCCAGGCACTCGTTCGGAATGGGTCCGGCATTCCCGCACTGCAAGGCGGTGCATTCGGTGCATTCCCCGGCCGCTGCTCTCATGCTCTCATCGACATGCGCTCGGCCGCGCGCCGCCGCTGCACCGCTGCATCGGGCCAGCGCGTCTCGCTCCATGAGAACGGGGGTCTCGGCCGGCGGGGCGGGGCGGGCGGGGCGGGGCGGGGCGGGCGGGGCGGGGCGGGGCGGGGCGGGGCGGGGCGAGGCAGGGGGGCGCCTCGGCGGTCGCGCGGGGAACTGTATAAATAAACTTGCCGGCAGAATGAATGGCTGGTCGGCCAATCGAACAACCAAACCGAAGCGAGCCGCACGACGCCGCACCGCCAAGCCGAAGGGAAGCGCGGGGGAAGCCGAGGGAAAGCCGAGGGAAAGCCGAAGGAAAGCCCACAAAAAGCGAAACGGAAAATCGAACAAAAATCAAAAAGGAAGGAAAGCCGAAAAAATTTCCGAAGGAAAGCCGAAGGGCATGACCCGAACCGCATAGGACGTAAACTGTAAAGCCAAGGGCGACGCGGAGCGGGCGACGGGCGACCGGGGGGGGGGGGGGGGGGAGAGGCCCGAAGGGTGGACACGAAACAGACACCAACACACACCAACACGCAGCTGCATTAATATCCGAGGGGGGGGGGGTATTTACACCCACGCCATCGACACGGAACGGCACCGGCCCTGCAGCCGCTGCAGCGCTATGCGCGCATACCAGCACCGCGTAGCACCGCCAGGAGGGCTCGCGGCTCTCCACGCAGCCCGACGCAGCCGCAGGGCCGCGGGGCCAGTGCAGTGTACCAGTGGGGACTGGAGCCGGCAGCGACGGGCACGCCAGCAATGCAGCAACGGCTGATCCGCGGCGAATGCACCAAAACACCACCCCGTTGTCGACGTAAAGGGTGAGCTTCCACGCGAACGAGGACGACGACGACGATGGCGGCGAAACGCAACGCACATAATGCCATGGTAGATTGATTCCGCGGAATAAAACACACACTAATTTGGGGCCGTTTCGTCCATGTCCAGCACTGGGGAGGGAGGACCGCCGGGACCGCCCGCCGTCATGGGCTCGTCAAAAGCGACGCGAGCGATTTCGTGAGCGAGAGAGAGAGAGAGAGAGAGCGAAGCACCAAACGCCCCCTTCCCCCTCCGCGGGCCGCTCTGCCTATGCCTGCGCCGCCTTGCGGCATGCCTTGGCAGTGCCGTGCCAGTGCCTCTCGCAGTGCACTAACGCAGCGCCTTCTAATGGAGACGCTCAAGCCCATGACAAAGGTCATGTCACATTACGTGATCATGTATGCATACGCCGCCGCTTCGTGTCTCTCTCGCACCCGCGGGGCGTTTGCGTGCGCGTGCGAGAGAGAGAGAGAGAGAGGGCCGCCTCGCGGTGCCTCGCGGTGCGACTCGGGTCCGGCCACCCCGACAATGGGGCAGACGGCGCCTGACTGACAGCGAACCGATAAGACCTGCAGGCAAGACACCGGCAGGACGCGCAGCGCCGCGCTGCAGGGACGGACACGCAGACCGGGAAACGGACGGACGGACGGACGGACGGACAGACAGACAGGCCGGGAGATCTAGGGACGGCCAGGCCGAGGCCAGGCAAGATGGACGGATAGATAGATGCCGAACAGACGCAGCATTTCGCGTGTAAAAAGAGCACTTGGAACTCCGGGGGATCTTGCTCCCACCGCCGCGCCACGCCGCGCCACGCTGCAACCCGTGATCAGCCCTGTAATACAATGCAGGGAACCGGTTGGCCCCGCGCAAAGCCAAGCGAGCCCTGCCGGCGTACTCCGCTATGTAGCTGCGGGGGGCGGGGGAAGGGGAGGGAAAGGAGAGAGAGAGGGAGAGAGAAGGGGGCTTAGCGTAAGGGGGAAGCGGAAGGGTTAAAAGGCCGGCCCGTTTTGGGGGTGGCCGTCAGCGCGCTGTGCTGTGCGTGCGTCCAGGTGCGGCTTACTGCCGAGGTTACCGAAGGCAACCCCGAAGGCAACCCCGAAGGCAACCCCGAAGGCAGGCACACCGTCACGAGACCACGGCGTTGCGCCCCTGCGGCTCTCCGCCTCGCCGCCCGGCTACGCTAGGCTACGCGGTACGCCCGGCCCAGGCCGCCTAGCCGCCCCTACCCCGGCCGAGGCCGAGTTCGTTGGGCCCGGTGGGGGCGGCGTGGCGGGGCGGGGCGGGGCGGGGCGGGGAGGGGCGGGGCGGGGCGCGGTCGATAGCCCCACCCCGCGGCGCAGCGCCCCGCCCCGCCCCGCCACGCCCCGCGCTCAGCTTCAGCCTGAGCCGCAGCTGAGCCGCCGCGCCGCGCCACGCCGCCGCTGAGTGTACTACGGTCCCACGCCTCTGCCGGGCGGGGCGGGGCGGGGCGGGGCGGGGCGGGGCGGGCCGCAGCGCCTAGACCACGCCGCCGCCGGCCGCTGGCTGCAGGCCGTGCCCTCTACTCCTCGCGAGCCGCGAGCCCTTCGCCTTCGCCTCGCCCTGCAGCCTGGCAAGCCCAGCAAGCAGAGGCTCGGTTCGCTATCAAGATTCTGCCGGCGTTCGCCCCGCCAAGCCCCAGTCCACGTGGCTCCCCGCCCCGCCCCGCCCCGCCCCGCCCCGCGGCCACGACACGGCGCAGCAGAACGCCGGAAAAATGGAGACTATGGGAGGAAAAGGGCCCCGCGGTTCGAAGGCGGCTCGCGGGGGAGAGCGAACGGCGAAGCGGGCAGACGCGGGTGGGAATGACACAGGAGGACGGCGAGGGGGCGAGGGACACGGAACCGAACGCAATTTCTGGCAACGGTTCCAAGCGGAGGGGGCGGGGCGGGGCGGACAGAGGGAAACACAGGGGAAAGTGGGAAAGTGGACGCAAAAGAAAAACGGGGCCGGGGAAGGAATCGACGAGACGGAAAAGTCGAACCGGGCGTCCAACTCCATCCTGCTTCTTTCATAACACCGCCAACTGGGGTCCCGGCGTGGCGGTGCGTGGCGGTGCCAGTGCCCCACCCCTAGGGCGCGGGGCGGCGCGGGGCCGGGCCGGAGGGCGGAGGGCCATGGCGGTGCAGGCATGCGCGGTGAGGCGCCGTGCCCTGCCCGCCGTGCCCTGCCCAGCGCGTGTCGGCCCACTGTCGGGGGCAATGGGCTCCAAGGGCCTAGCGAAGGGCTCGGCTTGACTCGGCCGCGACTCCGCTCGGCTCGGCACGGCCAGACGAGCAGCCCTACGTCCCTACGTCCCTTCGGCCCTTCAGAGGGCCGCCCCAGACACACGCCAGGCCCTGCAGGGGTTAAGGGCTGCCCGTGTACGTATGCAAAACACACAGGTGCGTCCGGGGAAAAGTGCGGCCGTTCCCAGCGCAGCGCGAGGCCGGGGAAGCGCGTGCGCCAAAAAAGGGAACCCAAAGAAAAAGCCTCTCATTTGGGGGCCGGCGGGGTTTGAACCTCGGCCCGCTACGTGCGGTGCTTTTTGAGCAGAGCCCGCGCCCTCTAGCGCGCAGCGCCCGAGCCGGCCGGGGGGATTCTGATTTCAGCCACAGGGCCATTTGCATGTTTCCACCGCACGAACCAAACGGACCCGAACGGGCGTCCCGTGGCGGTGCGAGAGAGACGGAGTGACGAAAACGGTCCTCGGAGTTCAGGGAAGCTACCAGGAAAGCGAGGCAGCACCCGCCTGCCTTGCGCCTGCCCCACCTGGTCGATGCTCGGCGGCGCGGCCCAAATTTGCCCGTTTATGGCTCGCCTTTCTAGGAATAATTCGGAGACGCCAGTGAAACGCCGCAGCCCGCGCTGACAGCCCGGCAGGCGCACTGCCAGCCAGTGTGCCAGCACTGCCACCACACTGCCCGCCACAGGGGAGGGTGGGTCGCGTTCAGAGTACGCCGCTTTTCCCGGAACGACACATGGAACAGGTATTTCACACCCCATTTCACACCGTGGCGGTCGCCAGACGTCGCCAGCGCGCAGGTGGTGCCGAGTCACCGTCACTGGCTAATAGATCTGGATAGATCAACTCATTGGTACGCAAACCCCCCAGGTACACTCATCACTTTCAGTGCCAAAACCCCTCGGCCTAACAGTGCGGTCAACGCAAACAAACCGGCGATAAGATCGCGCCATTCCTCATCGGTGCCACATTCCTCATTGCCAAGGCATTATGCAGCAATCGTTATTCGGGAGGGGAATTTGCCTCTCGGCTCAGGTGATGTATGTGAGACCATTCGCGCGGGCCTCGATCTTGGTTCCAGCGTGCTGACACTACGCTACAAACGGTCTTCCATCTTCGGGGCACATTCCCAGCTACCCACCGTTCTACAGTGGGAGGCGGTCAAAATCCCAGACGCATTTTGAGCTCCAGAGTCGCTCAATGGGACTCGGATTGAACGTGTGACCTCAAGCTCAAAACGCGTCTAGAGTTTCGGCCGCCAGCGCCGGTCTTCTGCCCAAGCCAAGCTAAGCTGGCAGCGAAACGGAAAGAACTTAAAGCATGCGACACTTACTGTTCTTCTCCCTGGCGCCGGCGCCGGCCTGCTGGTGGTGGCCGTGGTGCTGGTTGTGGTGCTGGGGGTGCTGCTGCGGGTGCGGTCGCGGTCGCTCCTCCGTGTCGCCCTGGTTGGTGATGATGACCCAAAAGTCAATGACCTTCTCGGGCGCCAGCTCCTCGTAATCCCACTTCTTCTTGACGCGGACCGAGCCGTCGGCGTCGACGGTGACCCAGGGGTTGGGGTCGCGGATCTTGAAGGCCTCCTTGTCCGAGTCGCGGTCCAGGGCGAACACGATGCGGCCTTCGGTCTCGCCGTCGGCCTCCCCGAACTCGATCTTCTTGGTGGGGCGCACGGCGCGCGTGGTGCGGCGCTTGGTGATGCGGTGGCGCGGCCGCTGCTGCGGGCGGGCGGCGCGGTGCGGCGGCGGCGTGGCGACGGGCAGGTCCACGGCGTTGAGGTCCACGGCGCGGTCCGAGTGGAAGTCGATGCGCACGCGCGCGGGGCTCTCGGCCTGCAGGCTGTCGGGGTGGCGGACATCGTGCGCCTCCACCAGCACCTCCACCTCCACGTCGCGCGGCGGGTCGGCCACCAGCAGCAGCTCGCCGGTCTGCGGCACCACCACCACCAGCCTGGACGGCGCCGTGAGCGCGTACGCCACGTGGTCGCCGTCCGCGTCCGTGGCGGCCACCTTGCCGATGGTGAGGAAGCGGCCGCGCGGCGACGTGGCGTTGTCGGCGAACACGGAGAAGTGGTAGTCCTTGCTGACGAACACGGGCCGGTTGTCGTTCTGGTCGAGCACGGCGACGCGCACCTGGGCCCGCGCGCGCGACACGCCCAGGCCGTCCTGCGCCTGCACCGTCAGCGTGTAGGCCGGCACCTGCTCGCGGTCCAGCGGGCGCGTCGTGACGAGGCGCACGCCCACGGGGGTGCTGGAGGCGCGCCGCCACGCGCCGAGCACGCCCGAGACCACGCCCTCCAGGATGCCGGGGTTCTCCTCCTCCTCGACGAACACCTGCTCCAGCGCGAAGGCGTCGCCGACGTTGCCCTCCACGATGGAGTACTGCAGCGGCGCGCCGCCGGCGCCGTCGCCGTGCGCGGCGAGCGCGGGCAGGCCGTCGACCATGGTGCCGGCGGGGGCGTTCTCGGCCACGGAGCCGCCCTCGTACACCTCGTGCTGGAAGCGCGGCACCTGCCGCCGGTCCATGACGTACAGGTGCAGCGTGTGCGTGGCCGTGGCGTTGGCCGTCTCCTCCAGCACCACCAGGTTGACGGGCCGGTTGAGCAGCGGCGACAGGTCCGACGTGGTCATGAGCTCGCCGCTGTCCAGCACGGCGAAGTACTGCGAGAAGCCGGTGTCCAGCAGGCGGAAGTGGCGCTGGCGCGGCGCGCTGTCCGCCACGATGGCGTTGGGGTGGTGCAGGCCGTGCGGCAGGCCGTGCGCGTGCTGCAGCGGGTGGGCGTCGTGGTCGCCGCCATGGTCGGGGTGCGCGGCGACGGGCGGCAGGAACTGGCGGACCGTGTAGCCGGGCTGGGCGTCGTGCGGCACCACGGACACGGCCTGCACGGCCCCCACGCCGCACACGGCCAGCGCCGCCAGCCCCAGCAGCAGGCGCGGCAGCGGCGGCGGACGCATCCTGGAGCAGCCCATGGCACCCATGGCGCCCATGGCTAGTGCATGGCGGCCTGCAACGACAACAAGAGCAGCGTTAGAGAGGAACGGTCAGCCTCCGGCCAGCTTCCCATACGAAAAGGGCCCCTCTTGTCTACTTCCTACATGAAAAATCAACGAGAGAGAAAGCCCGTAAATCGATCACACGGGGCAAAGCACATACTAAATGATCCAGAAGAAACGAGGAGGAGGAGGAGGAAAAAATCCCTGCACCTAAAACGAGTTCAACCTCCGAACCTAATGAGATGCGAGGCACCCAGACACAGATACTACTCCCCGGCCCGTGGGATGCATCTGCTCCCCCCCCCCCTCCCCCTTTCTCTATACGCTAATCACTTCCCGTCCAAGCGCCTCCCAATTCAAAGCCTCCTCCGGCCGGCCCGGCCCGGCTCGTCCCGTCGGACGGCAGACCGATTCCGAGAGTCGTTTTCGTCGCTCTGTCTCTCTCGCACCTGCACGGGGAGCCCACGAGGGCGAGAGAGACGGAGCGACGAAACGCCTCTCGGAACGAGGGTGCAGGGCCCTGCAGGGTCGTTCTGGGCGCGCTAGACCCGTCCTCGACTGATGTCTGGACATCCATTGAACCTCTCCGAGGGTGCTGGGCATGCTGGGCCGTTGGGGGCCGAGGCAAGGGCCGAGCGGCCAAGCGTGGGGCAAGTATCTCACCGGCCGGGCCGGCCGGGGGAGCGGCCGTAAGCCGCTTGCTTCCGAAGGATCGTCGCTCTGTCTCTCTCGCACTCATGGGGCGTCCCGTGGGAGTGCGAGAGAGACAGAGCGCCGACACGACTCTTCTGAACCGCTCGGCCTCGTGCTTTACGGCCGCTCCCCGGGACTCCCCGGCAGATGCCCTGGCTGGTCGTCCTGGCTGGTCGCCGGCCATCAAGATGGGCATCATGACGCCGATGACGAAGCCTAATTCGATCACACGGCCCCTACGGTGGGGTGGACCGCCGGGTGCAGCGCCGTGCACCAACTTTCAATTGGCGTTGGCGTGTTTTCCTCGTGGGGGTTTTCTATTTAATTATCGACTTGTCAATAATCGAATACCGGATAGGGTTCGGCGTTCGGGATCAGTGTGCTGTCGAACATGTCGGCGGCCGGCGCTCCGTTCGGCACTTCGGGGCGTCCCGCGACCCGCGTCCCGCGACCCGCGTCCCGCGACCTGCCTCGCAACTCTTTCTCATTAGGACCCCCAGCGGGGGGAGCGGCGATAACCCGAGGGAACCCGAGGGAGTCGAAGGGAAGGGAAGGGAACTCTCGAAGGAAACTACTTGCCTTCACTTCAGTCAAGTCAAGTCAAGTCAACCTATCATCAAAGAGGAGCCGGCAAAAGGAAGCGGGAGGCACTGTTGCCAAAGTGGGGGCTGCCGTGCCTGCCGTGCCGTGGCTGCCATGGACGGGTAATCACGGGGATCGAGAGCTTAGAACACTAACGCTCACATAAACACACACGCACACACACACACACCACGTGCGCGCACCGCATGCGCTTCTCGCACACATTCGCACTCACACACGCCCCCCTGGCGCGGGTACGTACATGCTCCACACACTCGCACCAACACACGCACGATCCCGAAACTAATTAATCTAATGCCGCAGTTCAAACGGTTCGACATGGTTAATAGCAGGGGGAGCCGGCTGGCGTGGCTGGCGAGGCTCACGACGATCGTTCCCAGGAAAGCAACGGGAGAGCGCCGCTGCCTCAAAGTCTGCACGGCGTGCCGCCCCGGCGCCGCCACACCGTGTTCGCAGTGTGGTTCGCCTCGTCCAGCGTGGTGCTGGCCGCGGCCACTGTCAAGGTGTCCAGGCCGTCCAGGCCCACCGCGGGCACCGCGACGGCTAGGTTAGGGAAGGACAAGGTGCCGTGTCGAGGCGCCGGCCTGTCCGAGCCAGCAGCACGTCGCCGTCACACGGCATTCCCTGTCATGTCGGTGTCATGTCGGTGTCAGTGTCGTGTCAGGTCGTCGTCGTGGGGCAGGGCGGGCAGGGCGCGGTCCCGCCGGCAACGGCACGCCCCGCCGACGTCCGCGAATCAATGAATCGATGCGTCAATCGACAGAGATTCACTGTGTGTTTGGCAAAGTGCGGTTAAGCGCTACACCGGGCTGGCATCGCGGTGCTTCGCGGCGCCATGGCGGCCGGCCCGACGCTGCAACCCCTTGAGGGGGTGGTTCGGCTTGCTGGGCTCGGCCACGCTCCGCGCTCCGCCTCGGCCGAGGGGGTGGAGCAGGCACCGCCAGGCCGCCAGGCAGGGCCCCACCTTTTCCACTCAGTCGGGGCTGCTGGTAATCCAGGAGGTAATCCAAGTAATCCAAAAGCACAGTCGAGGGCACAATCACACACTCTCAAGTCACAGGAGCACTCGCGGTTCGCGAGCCCACGCCCCGTGCGGGAGGGGTGGGGGCGGCGCGGGGCGGCGGAGGCGCTGTCGCCGCAGTCGTCGCGAGAGGCGGCAGGGCCGAGCGGGACGGCTCCACGGCACCCTGCGCGCGGCGACGTGAACGGGCCGGGCGAGCAGCCTCCACTGAGCCGGCCCAACAGAAGAACAACTGAAGTTCGCCGGGCCACTGCGCGCTCCTGCCGCGCAGCCGTGCCCCGCCCCGCCGCGCCGCGCCGCACCGCGGCCGCCCCCACCCCCCGCCCCGCCACCCCGCGCCGCAGGACGCGCAGGACGCCCTCCCCTCTCCCGCTCCCTCCCGACGCGCCACGCTCGCTACGCTGCGGAGCGCTGCCCTGAGCGCGCCGTGCGCCGCGCGCGGTGTGGAGCAGGGAGTAGCGCGGAGCCGCGGGGCCGGAGCGCGGGGAAGGAGTAGAGAAGAGAATCCTCTACCGGCGCGGAGTTTACCGGCAACGCGCGCACCGCCACTGTTGCACTGTAAGTACCGCACGGCTGCGTGCATTGCGCATTGCGCCCCGGGACAACTGCTCGAAAATCACAACGCAAACGCAACAAAAACTCAAGAAAAACAAAAACATCAGAAACGAAATCCCAGGGGGGCAGCAGCAACTCAAGACGAAGTCCAAATACGAAGTCAAACTGACGCCGAAGGGGGAAGGATGTCATTTGCACGTCCAAATGGCATGCTTGCCGCGCTGTTTGTAGGCTTTTGGATTTAGCGGTGGTGCTACTTGACCCGGGAATCAAGACCAAAGCCTCATGACCGGCGCAACCGCGCAACAGGATGAATGCAAAGCACGCGCAGTTTGCGCCAAAACCCGCATCAGTCGTTCCATGTCCCCGGCCCGTGGGATTACAGGGGATTATTCGACGAGGCCGGGTCCAGTGGACTGACTCCGAGAGTCGCTCCGTCTCTCTCGCACCTACACGGCACGCCCCATGAGTGCGAGAGAGACAGAGCGACGAAGGCGACTCTCGGAATCAGTCTGCAGCGAATGGCGTTCCTCTCGTTTCACTAATTCACCACCAAACGGCTCAACTCTGGCCGCCTCTCATGGGTCCGGTTTGGTGTGTTGCTTAGCGTGGAGCGCAGCAAGGCCCCGAATCGTCCCTCCCGTCCGTAAACAAGGCGGTGATTTATCGCAAACATGATGTCAATTAACGAAACAAGCGAGTGCGTGCTTCGCTTCGCGCCTCCCGCTTTGCGTGCGCATTATTTCAAAACGACGATGACGCACGGCGCCGCGAACCGCGATGCGCCGATTCGTCCGCCGGTCGGACAATGCTTTCGTCGCTCTGTCTCTCTCCCACTCATGGATGGAGGTGTATTTGTGAGAGAGGGGCGGAACGACGAGGAACGCCGTTCGGGATCGGTCTGCCGGGGAGAACAATCCGTGGTCTGCACACTGCGAGTCGCTGTCTCTCTCGCTCTCACATCGCGTCCCCCTTGCGTGCGAGAGAGACAACGACTCTCGGAATCGGTCTGCTTGGCTGGCCGGCCCGATCGGGAGGCAATCGATTTTTACTCGACTCAAGAGAGAGAGAGAGAGAGAGCCCTGCGGTCCTGGTCCTCCCCTGGCGGCTGCATTTCTCTCCGCGCTTGCACTTCGCCTTCGCCCCTCGCAGTCCTCGCGGTCCGTGCTGAGGGTGCAGTTGGATGAGTCAGACGGAGGACGAGGGGGGAAGCCCAGCGACAGACAGAGGATCCCGCGGGGCAGCGGAGGGAAGGAACCTCCACAGGGAATCGCCACAGGGAATCGTCCCCGTTGGGAGTGGCAGCGCAGCTACGCCGCTCTGTCTTTCTCGCACCCAATCGGAGCGCCGAACGGGTGCGAGAGAGACAGGCGATGTTCGGAGTCGCTCCGATAAGCACGCCGAAAAATCACTTGTCAGCTGTAGAGCGGCCCGCAGGGCAAAGAAAGTCCCCGCGAGAAACCGTCCTTCATGAGACATCGAGTTGATCAGGAAACGCACGGAACTCAATTTTCAGTGCCGACGCAGCCAGTGGTTTGCCGCAAGGCCGCAGGCAAAGGCCACGCACTTGGTGAACAAGCGAGACTTGCCGACGCGTGGATGTGGTCTGGCGCGACCATAGACAGCGAATTATGTCCATGGACCATGCCCAGCGGTCTCTCTCTAGTAGAGAAAAATGTTAGGACTGGATGCGTCAAAGGACGGGGCCTCATGGCCGCGCTCTGCTGTCCTGCAGGCAGATTGTAACACTAATCCCGCAGAAAGGTGACAAAATGAGCCACACTCTCTGTTCCGCCCCCGCAGCCCTTCGGCACCACCAGCTTGTACTGGAGGGACCGGAAGGTGGCGCTAATTTGATTGGCCGCGACGCTCCCTCCCTGTGCTGTGGTTGGTTGGCCGGCGTTATCACCGAGGAAACAACGACAACAAGGCTCGCCCTCTCTGCCGACCGATTCCGAGAGTCGTTCTGTCTCTCTCGCGCCCACACGGGTGTGCCTACATGAGTGCGAGAGAGACAGAGCGACTCTCGGAATGACCCTGCTGGTGGTTGGGCGGCCTTATCACCGAGGAGGAAACAACAAAAACAAGGCGGGACACCGGGGCCTGCGGGGTTGGATTGGGCGGAGATAAGGCGGCGGCTTATGGCCCCGGGACGCCAACGACAACCACCAACCACCATATTCGCCCCGCATTTATGGAGTCTTTAGTGCCGATGCTGACAGCCGATTGCACTGACTGGTCGCGTGGCAGCCCTCGGAGGAGCCACGCGGAGAGTGATTTTCTCGCGGAGAGTGATTCTCAGGAGGAGGAGGGAATTCTAGTCGTGCAGTCCCCGCCTTAGTTTGGGAGCAGTATTGGCTCATAGTGGATCAAAACGGTCACAAATGTCTGAAAAATCGTGTTTTGGGCCGACTTTAAGCAGCCACTGCGTCTGATCCGAGGTGGTATTTCGTCCTCCCTCAACGGGCAATTGGTCTTTGGACCTTCCTTTAGCATGCATTTGTTACGGAGTGCGATTATCTGCCTTAGTTTGGGAGCCGTATTGGCTCAAAGTGGATCAAAACGGTCACAAATGTCTTTGAAAAATCGTGTTTTGGGCCAACTTTAAGCAGCCACTGCGTCTGATCCGAGGCGGTATTTCGTCCTCCCTCAACGGGCAATTGGTCTTTGGACCTTCGTTTAGCATGCCTCTGTTACGGAGTGCTATTATTTGCCTTCGTTTGGGAGCAGCATTGCCGCAAAGTTGTTCCCGCCAGTGCTCGGCTCGTAAATTCCTTGAAGGGAAGTACCAAGGGTCTTTTAAAAATTCTGGTAAACAACATGCAAGTTTTATTGACAGTGCAATTAGGACATGAGAGAGCAAAAAGAGTAGTAGAAACATAATGATATAAAAATTCTTACATTAACATGAGTGGAATTGAAAAATATTGATAAAAAATATAACCCTATGTTGGGTAACATGCTAGAAAATACTTGACATTTAATAAAATATTACAGGTTTACAATGACAATTTTATGTTAAAATCTTGTAACAACACTGGTTTAGGGCAAAGTAAAAAAATATTGATCCAATTTTTAATAATAATAAAAAAAATAAGTGGAATACAAATTTGGTTACAGTGCCAGAAGACAGTTTACATTTATTCAGAGCATACAAGGCTCACATCCATGGTTCCCAACCATGCCACATCTTCACCAAGAGATTTTCATCTGTTGCCAGGTCAATGAGGCATTGAACTTGTTGTCTAGCAGTCAGGCCTTCATTTCCCAGAGTGGCTCTAATGTTGACACTAGCATCTCCCTTCACGGTGCCCAGGTAAGCTGTTCTGAATTCACGATGCAGATTGCTTTCAAGATCTTCCCTCATTGCAACCACTGGGTTAACACCTTTAAGCTTTTGTTTCACTTGCTGAATTTTTGATGCAGGTAACCAGGATGGGTTATCTGAAATGAATGAAACATTTGACAATGTCATTTTTTAATAGAACATTTTGCATGCATTTAGAAACACATCAAAACAAATACTTGCCTTCATTGTAAGCAAAATTTTCCCTGGCCCTGACTAGCCAATCTAGGGAGGGTTCTTGAATAAAGACCTGCATTGTGGCAATCAAGACTTCCGGGTCAGCTTGAAGAGCTCTTAGTGCTCTAACCATCGTTTCCTCAATCAATCCTAGTCAGACAAAACAAATAGTTAGCATCAGTTCCCCCACAAGTAGAAAAGGCACCATACTCAGTTGCAGAAGAAATTGACCCAGCCATACTCCGTGCTCAAGTGACATTTTGTCAGCTACATGTATGGAGTGTTGCTGGGATCAACTGCTATTTGCAACACATTGTACTTTTAATTCAATTTGAACACATCAAAACCCCATACCTGTAGTGCCATGTGGGTGGGCAACATTCACAATATGAGGAGTCAGCCTGAAAGGCACAAGTTCTGGGACAGCAAGAAATTGAGTGGCTGATCCAAAGCAGTGACCAAAGTCTATGCCAATGCACTGGCCATTGCTTTCAGAGATCAAGCAATTGCTCAGATGACGATCTCCGACACCCAGCAGCCAGTGAGCAATGCACATGGCACTGAAGCTTGTGGTGAATGAGTGACGGAGCCAGTAAAACGCCTCTGCACTAGAGCTCCACAATGCCAAACCCTTCCTAAAGACAAATAAAAAAAAAAAAAAAAGAGGAAGAATTGAAAGAAAAATTAAATTAGATTCAAGTTATGGAGTTGGTTAAGACCTTACCTTATAACATCGTATGGTGTCAAGGCAACCAGCTTTGCAAACTGAGAAACACTTTCATTTCTGGAATAACTTTTGTGAGCATTGCCAAATTTTATTTTGGGGTTACTTCCTTCCATTTCATTTATCCATGAACGATGTTTGTGTCCAGCTATTTCCGCCCTTGACAAAAAAAAAAAACGATAAGTAGACATTTGTTCTCTTCAATCAATTAAAAAAACATTGAAATACTCTTACATTTTTCTTCCTTCTTTGGAAAGAGATGTTAGCATTAACTCTTTAAGAGTTGATGTGTTATCAACCCATCCAATAATGCCCAGACTGCTTGACAATGGAACAACCTTGTGAGAAAAAAAAATTATTAGATGCAAAGAAAAATTGAAAAAAGGCAAAACAATACCACTACAAAAAGTAACAGAGCTCACCTTATATGTGAGAACTGAAAGGTGGCGCTCTCTACAGACTTGATTGTGAGCAAAAACTCCATTCATGAGGCACAGAAGCTGCTGCACACGCTCGTCTTGTCTTAAATCCTCACCATACTTCACCAAGAAGGTATTGCTGGTGCTGTTTGATCCAATAATGGTCAGTTTCACAGGTTTCCTCAGAGATTGCATCACTTGCACCTAAAAAACAACCAAAAATATTAATTTCATGATCAAAAGATTGGAACTAGAGTATTCTAATTTACAGGTTCAATACGTATTAGTTTGAATGAAGAAACTGAAAGTGACGCACATTTTCTTCAAACCGAGATATCATAACATGTCGTTCAGGAGTGGGCTTTTGGTCTCCTGTGTACTGTCCCGGAATCTCAATGCTGACGTTCATCTTAGAAGAGGAAAATTCGGCGAGCCAACGAGAGAAATCTTTTAGCTTGGAATGAGGTTTAATATTTTTAATGTCAGATTTTTCGGCCTTCTTACAGGCTTCAGAAATTTTTTTGAGAACATTATCAAAAGATGGTTTGGATTTTGTTTTCACAGCATCTAAAATCAAACAAAATTTAACTATGAGAATCTAAACAATGATTTAAAGTACACAATGTCATGAAAATAACACTGACCACAAAGCTCCATAAATAATTGATGCAGTTTTTCATCTTCAAGACTGCTGAAGAACTTGCCAGTAAACTTGTAAGTTGGATGACGTCCACAGCAGTCATTTAGAACCTCTTCAAAAACTGTACCAATAATCTGAAAAAAAAAAAAATTACTTCAAGAATGTTTGATTTCTTTGTACGTAAACTATTTGAAATAAATCTGAACCTTACCTTCTCAATGGCATTCCAGTCAATGGCAGTTGGTACTGAGACAGCTTGTGATAGCTTCACAACGTGGTCTTTTAAAATGATGGATGGGTGGGTCAAACATGACAGAGCTCTCACAAGCTGTGTCTGAACAGAATTCGTTCCTAACAAACAATCCAGCCTAAATTTAAAGGGAAAAAAGTCGGTTGCATTAGATTAAAGTAAATAAAAAAACAAATTTTCAAAAAAAAAATTTTTTTTTAGTAAATATGGGGGAGGAAGATGGACACTTGCTTCTTTATGATTCTCAGCTTGGATGCATCATTGGATAAATTATTCCCCCTGCTGATGTTGTAAGGGTAGGTCACTGCATTAGGATATTGTTCTGCTATCCTCACTAGTAGAGGTCCAACCACATTTACAGCATCTGTATCCAACAGAGCTAACATCTGAGGTATCCAGCCTAGGAACATCCAGGCTGGGACCGAAGCACTCTGTGACACAAAATGCAGTTTGGCAAATATCAAGTTAGATAGGAGGACTAATTTGTTACGATTTACAGTGTTTCTGAGATCATAAAAAAAATGTGTCGAATAGTCTACCTTATCTTTAAAGTCGTTGGCAAGATCTGTAGAAAGATTTGGAAGCTGAAGGAGCATGGGAAAGAGCTGCCTTGCTCTGCTTGAACCACATTTCATGGCAGAGAGTGTGTTCTTCACCATAGGACGAGTGAAAGTAACTGCATGATACAACAAATATTACCTTGGTGCAAAACAAAGAAATCAAAATAATACAGATCAGTTGAAAAATGAAGCCATACATACCATCAGTGGAAACACCACCTGTCCTGCCTTCTAGTATCTTGCGACAATACTGTGCTATTTGCAAATAGGCTCCACTAAGCATTTCCTGAGACATTTGATGCTTGATTTCACCAAGGGAATGAACCAAACTTACAAGCCCAATGTTTTCCAAAGATGTGGCAAAATCAGAGCTAAGAGAACAACAACCAATTTTTGCAGTAACATTTTACCATGATTAATATGTGTGTTTGATTTTTGAATTATTAATACCTTGTCCTAGATTCAGTCAGCATGAGCTTGCTACACAACCAAACATAATGTTCTGTACTATTCATTTCCAAAACATCCAAAGATTCTTGGTCAATTAATTGCAGAATACTGTAACTTAAATTACTATCTGCACTATGAGCTGAAAAAATCAGCTCAGTGTTCTTGTCCTTGTCTGTGTCAGCTAAAATAGTGTCTGTTGAAGAGAAACATTTACACAAACATTTAAAACTAATATACTGCTGCACGAGGCTTGCATTATTAATTACAAATAAAATGTTTAAAATCTTACCAAGGCTCTGCCAGATATGAATAAGTTGATCTAAGCGCTTCACACTGTCTGTCACAGTTTCAGACCATAAATGCCTTTCCCTGCACTTTGCCAAAGACAATCTTGTATTGATAAGACAGTTGTCTGTTGGCTGATTGTTTAGCATCTGTAAAATGAGGTATAAATGTAGGATTTAGAAAACAGATTTATCATTTAACAACGGATTGCACATTTTACAGAACAATTGAAATTAACATACTGTTTTTATGTTATTCAGATACTTCTTTGCAAAGACTTGGTTCCCTTGAAGCAGAGCTACCTCTGCCAGGCTTAACAGCATCTTCAATGAACTTTCATGTACTTCTGATTGAATGTCTTCAGGCATTTGCCTCATACAAGCAATTCTAAAGCATAAATAGAACACAGTGGTAAATTTTTAAAAGCCAACAACAAAATTAAACTTTAAAGCATTTTTTTTTTTTGAGAAAGGAAATACCTAAAACTTATTCGTGTCTCCCACTGCATTAATGAATCCTCAGCAACAGGCATGATATTCTGAAGCTTAGTTAGGAAAGCATTCCAGTCAACCACTGGTTTGATCTCTTCACATTCACCCTCAGAAAAAAATACCTTCAGAATGACAAGTAAATGCAGTTATTATAAGACAATTAGTTCTCTGCTGAACATACACAGTACATCATTCATTGACATACCATCACTTCAGCTATATTTTGTAAACTCATTAAAAGTGTTTCACGCCGTTTTCGGAAGAGTGGGTTTAGATCATTCCAGTCATCAATAAACTTTGAGAGAGCTTTGCTCCCAAAGAATTGTGACTTGACATATTGTTTCTTCAACAAAAACAAAATTGACAGTGTTTCACAAAAATTTTCCTGTAACAAAAAGGAAATTGAATAAAAAACATACAAGATCAACATATCTAAAAAATTAGAATTGATTCAGTTAAATTTTAACAGACAACCATCAGACATTTCATGTTTCAATAAACTTACTTGCAGAGCTTCCCCTTTCACTTTGTCACCTAACCACATACTTATAACTTTCAAAAACTGATGTTCATCCTTGTTCTTATGGATAAGATTTAACACTTCACTGTGAAGAAGACGAGGTAAAAGATTTTGTATTGACCTGAGGAGAAAATTTTCACAATGATGAGGATGCAACAGAACAGTGCATTTTTCTTTATCACATTGTATGAAAAGCAAATCACTTACCAGCGATCATCCCACAATTTATCTAAACCACGTTCATCATCTTTTACCTCTTCCCTAATTACTTTATTGATAGAGCCCCATTCTGACATGATGGCCATGCACTAAACATATTCGCAATCAAAAGAGGAAATAAAAGTAAACATTACAGTTAATCAGGAGGTTGGATAATTGGGTAATTGAACAAATTATAACTGTACCTCAAAACAGCTTTCATAGAAATTGTCACAACCTCTTTCATCAATAGCATCAAAGTAGCTTTGTTTCGCTCTTGGCCACTGTTCCTCAGCGTGTGCTTCAAGGGCAAGTTTGGCATTTGAATTGAGATCAACATTATGCAGCATTATTGCATGTGCCACATCCCTTTCACCCAGACCATCATACAATCTGCAAAATTATATTATTGATTGATACAGAGTTTAATAATTCATGATAAAATTAAGGTAAAATATGGGGCAAATGAACAAACTCAGCCAGTTGAAGCCAGATTTCTTCATTATTAGACGTATTTGATTCAAGCAACAGCACCCCTAAGGCACGCAAGTCACTACCTATAGCAGCTAAAACCGATAAGAATTAAAGTGTTAGAAATATAAAAAGGCATTTTTGTTTCAAAAAAATAAAGAAGCGACATATTTACCTTCAGATACAAGTTGTGAATCAATGTTGAATTGACAATGGTAAGCAATTTCCAAACAGGCACCAATTGCTGAGGGAGAATATACTGTACTCATTTCAAGAATATTTTTCAGCAAACTTAAAGCTTGCTGTTGAAAAGGGTCAAGTATGCCTAAAGCTTGCAGCCTTGATTTGACTCCGGTGAACAAATTAACGATGACTTTCTTGGCAATGATAGTGTCACGCTGAATTAAAATTTAAGATGAAACAAAGGCAGCCAGACAACGTATAATATTAGGATACAAAATTAGTTCAGACATGAGCTGTCTTCCATTGTAGACTGGAAGCTACTCAGATGATAAATGCAGTACCATACCTTAGCTAATTCCATTAGAGGATTAACAAAGTCAGCAAACTTAATTTGGATGTCCGGAAAATCTCCTTTCCTATATTTTCGATAAACTTTAACTTGGGATTCTCGTTTTCGAGCACGATTTTTCCACATTTCCTCTCTTTGTTTTGCTTTTCTGACATTTGCCATCCCAAAAACTTTGGATGCTGAATCCTTTCCTATGTATCGATTAGCTCTACGACTTGATCCCCCCTGTCTTGGTCCAGCCTCTGTTAACAGTGGGTAAACAGGTAAAGACCGAAGTCCAGCTTGTTATACCAGTCGATCATTAGATCTTGATCTTACCAAGTTCACTCTGATTAACAAAACGAAGCCTTTCTGTACCAAATCCAAGGCCTTGTTTGAAATTTTGCTTTCTGGAGAGGGAACCTTTTTGGCTGCTGAAGGTCCCTTCTCCTGAGGAAAATAAAAAGCTAGATTGCAACATACTCCCATCGAATTTCAACTGATTCGAAGTGAAACTTCCATCTATGGGCAAAGAAAATAACTAAATCAATTAAACTAGTAAAAGAAAAATTGATCACTTTTCATTTTAAATTTTCAGTAATATCACAATATATAAATTAACTAAAGAACACAATCATTTTTTCTTACCAACAAAATCTGCTGTTGGCTCAAACATAAGGCTATCTTGAGTGGCCAAAATAGAATCTGTAGATTCATTAAAAGAAGAATTGTACGAGTCAGAAAAGCTTAAATGACTTGCCATTGATTGTGCAAACATAGGAGCCATGGGCCCATTCTTGGCTCTCCAATGAGCAATAATATCCTGATTCTGAAAAGAAGAGGCATCCATAAGGAATCAATTCAATTTAAGCAATGCAATACATATTTCCTTTAAATGAACAATAAGATCAAAAACGAAATTTAAGACATGTGAAAATTGTTCAACTTACTTGGAAAGTACATTCATCTAGTCCATGAGCAAAAACTGGAGACTGAAAATCTGGAGTGACAGCTGTGCCTTGCAACATCAAAGGAACACAGTAACTGAGGAAATGCTCTTCAGTCATTGGAGAATACATAAGAGAGAACATGGTAGTAAGACGTTCAGGAGCACCAGATGGCAGCCGCTCCTCTTGTGTCCACTTCAAGAAGCACTTTTTCTGCAGCTCCATATTTGAGTCTACTAATCCTAATAGAAGTAAAGCCTTACTTTCACTGTAAATTTGTTCTTCTTTTTCAGATAGTTTACCAGTTTCTTGTCTGGAGGTGCATCGGTCAAAGGAGGCTAATGCTATTTCATACAAAAGCTGACGAGCTTCTCCCTGAACATAGCTGTTGATATTTGAGATTTCTTGAATTACCTCATAAAGTTCATCGTCTGCTAAGTCTGACACTAAATTGCAGATTATTCCCAAAGCCTTCATTTGAACTTTGGAGTTTCGACTACTGAGCATAGCCAGTAAATTATGTTCCTTCAATTGTTTGAAAGGGTTTTCACCAAAACTGTCAAGATGTTTGGAAAGGAGACAGAGGCACAAAGCTTTCCGGTCATCATAAGTTTGATCCAAATAAAAGCGGATGACAGGTATAAATGAATCTGCTATTTGTGGAAAGTTTTCATGAACACCATACAACACAGTCAAAAACCGATCACAGTCTCGTTCCTTCGAGTGCACAGTCGTCAAATAATCTACTAGGTCTTTGACAGATTGGTCATCACCTGCTTCATCAGCCACTTGTTTCAGACACAGACCAATCAATTCAGATGAAGCTTTAAAGACAGTTTTCTTTGAGTCCCGTAAATTGTTCATGAGGAATGACAGGAACCTTTTCTTCGACTCGGGCCTCCAGGGGATTAGACCATAGAAAAGCATTATAGCTGTTAAGTTGATACCAACTTTCTTATCCGGGTAGTTCAGCAGTTTTTCTAGAGTGTCATATGGAGGGGTGATATAATCCTTCCACACTATCAAGCAATTTCTGATCAGCTCTAAGTGGTATTTAAAGACACTTTGTTGAGTGCTGGGGCACTCGGACACTAAGTAGTGAAATAACTTATTTACTTTTCCTGCTGCAATCTTCACAGATGGATTATTTCCATTCCATTTGGCAATCAAGCAAATTAAGTCACCAAAGAGATAGCTAATGCGATCAGTCAAACAGGTCCTTACAATGCAATCCAGAACTGGTGGAATCCAGTGCATAGCGTAGGGGGCAAAGTATGATTCACAATTGATAATCACTCTCAAAAGGAACACAAGACTGTTTTTGGGGCAGGTTTGATCAAGCAGGGAATTCTTCAATGAATTCATCCATCCAGGGAGAACGGGCACAGCATCAGTGTCAATAGAAGGAACTGGAGTGATGGCACTGTTCACTAAGTGGCGAATCACACCACACACTGTAGCCATACATTCATGATTGTTCAAAGAATCACCTTCCAAATTGATAATGGTCTTTTCGTTATTATATTCTTGATTGCTAGCTGCTTTTAGTAGTCTCGAGTGAGAAAAGTCAAACCGGGTGATATCGGTCTCAAGTGAGCCAGCAAACGACTGAGACTCAATGAACTGAAGAGTTTTGCGGATGTCTCCCTTTTCTGCGGACTTGTCTTCAGTTAGTTTCTGTCTGATTGATGTTACTTTCTCCACGTTTTTCAGATGCTCTGTTTCGCAATAAGGCAACAGGTAGCGCTCATGCTCATCAACAAGCAAACACCAAATCTTTTTAGAAGTTTCATCAAACAAAAATTTGTCATAAAATTTGGCATCAGTGGGCTCTGTTTTTAAATTGCAGATAAAAGTAACACAAGTGTTATATACTGCACATAAATATTTGCGGGACAATTCCTTGATGTCAGAGGGTACTTTCTCACAATTGGGGGGATTTTGAAATGCCTCCATAGCTCTTCTGGTCAGATAAGTAGTCAGTTCTTTTCCTGTAGTAACTTTTGTATCCTCACAACCCTCAAAAGCAGCAAGCACCAATTCACTTCCTGGAGTTTCAAACAGGCTTCTTTCAGGTATTCCATAAATGTGCTGAAGTAAAGTCCAACTGCCGACCTGAGAGACTAGTCTCTGGCGAACACGAGTTGTATCTTCTATTTTCACACGAGATTTGATTGAAGAAAGTAACTTTTTGATGACAAACTTTGCAAACATTTTTTGACTTTGAAGAGAAGAAAACATGAAGAGTTTAAGGAGAAACTCTTGTAATATGTGGAATCTTGTTTGAAATAAAAGCATTTCTTCGTCAAACATGGAAAACACAAGCTGGAGGCACTCAAATTGACAATGTGGTTTTTCTGCCAAACGACTCTGGAAGCTTTCAAGGGTGGCTGGTAAGAGATCTCGACAAGTGTGTTCCTCATCAACAGTCATCATCTTGATGACCATTTGTAAAATGACACAGCTTCCAGTGACAATCATTGATTTTAACAGCACTTCGAAGGCTCTCTTAAAATTGGAGTGTTCTTCGGTACCAGCTTTGAACTCTGAACTTTGAAGTGGAAAATGATGTTCTTTAAATGATTGTAGGAGTGCCTTCACTTCAGCATTTTTATAATGAGAACAAATGATTGGCAGGCAATGCAGAAGATCTGTTTTCTGTGCCAATGATTTTGATGGATGGGTTAAAACCTCTTCAATCCATGAGCAAATAACTTCACAATGCTTAAGCATATGAAAACCATAATCCAGTTGGACTATCTGAACCAAAAGAGAAATTAGCCAGTTCTCCTTGTTGCTATCTCCTGAGGCCCATTCAACAAATTTCCTCCAAGAGGAAAACAGGCTTTCGATGAATTCTTGCAAGCGGTTCCTAGAAGTAAAATAGAACATCAATACACAGACATTTGGCTGCATTTTAATTTGATGATGAATGTTTCAATGTTTTTAAAAGTACTCACCAAGTTGCAGACTTTGGCCGGCAATGGAACTTCAACACTGATGGTAAAAGCATCAAATTTTGTGGATGAATATCTGGAGATAGGAGCTCCACCATAATTTCAATTGAAGTTGAGGGCATCTTTAACAACTTTTCAACTAGAGTCTCATTGAACGACACAACAAAATGCTCACCATGGGTGAGGTTTCCATCTATGCTACGACGGTACAAATGAGATGTATCTCCCGCCAACAAAATCAGTGGCTTCACCTGTAGAATAAAAACGGCTGCATTTTGAGACAAAACCAAAAGTATTGAATGGAGAACACAAATAAAGGGTCAGCTCTTACATCAGAACTTGTGGTGAAGTACAGTTGCAGCATTGATGTTGTATATTCCAGAGCCAATGGGCTTAGACTAACTGGTGCACATAGCTCTTTGATTGGAACAAGCTCATTGTTTGGAACAGGTTCTACAATTGAGTCGAAAACAAGCTTTAGGCTTACTTTCTCAGAGAGACCACTCCAATTTTGAGCTTCCTAGAAAAAGAGAATAGCCACATAAGCATGAAAGAACAAGTGTTTCAGTGACACATACTGAAGAATTATCAGAAAAGGAAATTAATTTTTCCTAAATTTAACCTGGAACACGGAGTGAAGGACTCTTAAGCCTCTCACAAAATCTTTGTCTTTAAGGGAGACATTATCATTTCTGACAGCATCAGGGAATCTTTCAGTCAATGCTGTTGCCATACTGGAAACATGATCTTTCAAGTGCTCTTTTAAGCTCATCAAGGTTGACTGTGACGCATAGCTAGATATTGTTTTCAAAAATTTCTCAATAATACTTGGAAGATTTTCTTCAACAGCTTTGGATGTAGAATCAAAACCAACAAAAGATGGCCATATGCAGCAGCTGGGAAAAAAATAGCCTTTCTCATTATTTTTACTCAATGACTGATAGTAAACAACAAAACAATGCACAAACACAATCTTACTAAGTTAAGATTTGCCAAAAGTTTGATGACCATAATGGATCAAGGACTCCTATCTGTCCTTTTTCAAGAACACATGTTAAGTACTCTATCATGCGAACAACAGTGCAGCACTTTGCTACATTAAAGTTTTCTATTTCTTTGGGTCTCCATAACAAATTCTGATTAACAGGGGATTCCACAACTTTCTCTGAAAAGTTCATCAATGCCTGAGAGAAAAAGAAAAATTGATGTATTATGGGAGAAAAACAATAAGCTCATCTCACTGTTAATTCCTACCTGAATCAAGTTAGAGCCCGCCATAGTTAATAATCTTTCTGTTGGAATGCCTATTCCTATTAACCACGAATATGACTCCATACTAGCTAATAAGGAATACACCCAAGATGAGGCTTGGTCCCATGCCGTAAACTCTGATGATGTGGCCAGCCCCTTGTCTCCCTCTGCTATTTCCAGCAAACAATTTTCACCATTTGCATCCACAAGCTTCAGAATGAGGTCGTTTGCTGAACAACAGCCAGTAACACAACCTGACAAACGATCGACTAGTGACATGCAGCTGCGTCGACATGAAGAGTTCAAGGCTGTGCAAAACCTCAACATCCAGCGCATCACACTTAACAAATTTCCCTCGCCAATTTCTTTAGGAATTCTGCGGTTTTTGCTATCCATGTTAAATATGTGAGAGCGTTCTTTCAGAACTCGATAAATATGCTCCAGAGATTTCTCTGTTTGAACTTCTGTGTTCTTATTGTCACCTGTCATAGAACACATGGAGAAACTTGTCACTAAACTGTGGAGTAATTCTATCCAAAATTCATCAAGAATTCTCTCATCTTCACGGAGCACTGTGTAAAGGCTATTGAATGCCAGAGCAGCACCCATTCGCTTTTGAGGGCAAGGATGATGGCAGAGGCTTGATATGAACTTAATAACGGGCTCCACTTTTGCCACCATGCGCCCTTGCTTTTTTGACCACAGGGTATATTCATGGAGACAGCCAGCAGAGTAGTCTCTTAAAGCCGCATCTGTCTGGTGAGTAATTCCTTCAAGTAAAGCTTCAAGAAAAGCACTTGCCTGCTTGCTTCGTTCTTGGCTTTTACTCGAATACCAATGAGCCATTTCTTCTCCTAGTGGTGCAAATAATTGTTTGACCATTGAATCCATATCACAGGCAAGGGTTAATATTGAAGGGAACACATGAGTCCAAAGCGCTGTAAGATGACCTTGCTGGTTGGACTCCAGCTGCTTCTCTTTGCCCAGCATGAACATAATGACTGCATGCAGAAGTTCACAAGCCACACTTCGCGTTTGCCGATCACTACAATTGGAGGCCAGATCTACGAGTCGGGGCAAAATATCATCCAAACTTATGTCAACCTTCATGTCTGGGAAAGGTAAGGGGAAGATCAGCAGCTTCTCTTTCTGCCAAGCTGTCACGCCAACTCTGTCCTCACTGCCATCTAACAAGGATAAATACGTGGAACTGTCCAAAGTGCTCAGGAAAAGGATTACCTCTTTTTGCAACTGGACCAATTCTGTGTCACACTGAGTAATGACTTTTTGTTTCCACAGCCTCTTTTTCTTCTTGTCCTGTAGAACTTTTTTTACCATAGCCATACCTCCAAGAGTGTCTTCTTCTACATCTTCATCAGCAACATTATCTTTAGTTTGGAGTAGGATGTCAAAAGATGGCAAAACTGCCTTCAGCAAAATTTTCATTTTATCACCAGGTATGTCATGGTTCCACCGAGCCAATGTTCGCAAGCCCTCTTGAGCTAATGATAACATACTGCACCCAATACGAAACACCGACTGGAAAGCAGTAACACAGACCCTGAGCAAAGGTTTTGCGATCCATGACGGGGTTGACAGCATGAGGCGTAGACAAGCCACTTGTAATTCATCCCTGTACTGTGTTTGGCGAGTGATGACATCATGCAGAAAACCACTTAAGAGATTGACAGTTGGTTTCCATTCAACATCTTCCATTTCTTCTGTTTTAACTCCAAAATAATCCAGCTTTTCAGCAATTAGAATGACACATGTAAGAAATTTGTAAAAACTGCTCACTAAGGGATGCTTTGTTGACATCATTATGTTCAGTTTAATCAGAGGACTGATCCACTTTTCAATATGTGATAGGTCTGGTAAGTTGCTTAAAAGATCAAAAGTAAAGTTGACGAGATTAACCAGAACGGTAAAGTCCAGAGGATTGTTGGCTTCAATACATTTTTTCACGTCACAGTGATAAATCTAAAGTAAAAGAATTTTCTTTAGCATCAACCAGATTAGACACGAAATCAATTTACATCACTTACAAAACGATTCAAACTCACCAGCTCTGAAGAAACATTTTCTTTTAAGCTAAGATCAAGACGGCTGACAATTTCTATGACAGACTCCAAAACTCTATCAATAATTTTCCTTGATAAATCTCTTCTTTCACTTAGGGACGCATCTAGAAGAAAATTTGAATCATTGTATCAGTTTACATTAAGTTTTTAGTCAGTAAAGACACACACTTAATAATAATTTATCATAAATATTTACCAATGCCAGACTTCCCTTTGCATGATCTGTTAAGGGTAATTACGCTCTGCCAAAAGGGAACATAATTTCTATACGTGGTTAGTTTTTGCTTCTCAGTTTCCTGCAGAATTTCAGCATCTTCTACAAGGGGATGTGATACTGATCGAATGATTCCCTGATAGACTGGAAGTTAAATGAAAACATAAAAGCAAATGACCGACATAATTGCAATAATGCCAAAACCTGATTTCTCACCAAAAGTTTTTAAATACATGTTGAATACATGTCCACTAGACTGGTTCAGACGTAACAGTGTACATATGACAGCATCAATCATCACTGTTTGCCAGGTTGGATGCTCTTCTCGAGCAAACTGAGATAGAAGTTCAACTGACAATTTTTCTAAAATAGCAAGCTGCAAGCCGTGTATTATACCAGATTCAACACAGAGCACAGAAAGGGAGTCCAAATAATCAGCTATTCTGTGGTGGTTACCCCTGCAAGTTAAGTTTTTAAATTTTTTATGAAACAATAGAACTTTTATTTTATTTGATTGGACACCTATTGCATCAACATGGGCTTACTTTCCACATTCTTCTTGAGATCTTTGTGAAAGAATATTGAATATTCCAGGCAGTTCTTCAGGTAAATACATTTTCATAGGCTTGGCAAAGAGACCAAACCCTTTAACGGCAATATCAACATCTTCCGATTTTTCAAACTGACTCTTGAAATGATCAGAAAAAAATTTCAACTTATCCATCAAAGAGGAATCCTTCAAACAAAACAAAAGTACCAAAATCAATAACAAAATACTGTACAGTATTACAAATATTTGGCATAGTGTAACACAAGACAAGAATTACCATTCTTTTCATTCTAGACAAGTATGTTGATAATACATAATAAAAAGTCAAAAGGGCTTGCTTTGCCACTGCTCTCTCCTCCTTGCCGAGAGGAAGCCAGTCCCGTAAAACTTTGTGCCAATCTCTATAGCCAGAGTCAGAGATTAGACTGGCTTGCAGTTGATCTCCATGTCTAGCAAGCAGATTAAGGGCAGCTTCAACAAAGAAAAATTTGTCAGCATAAACAAAAAAAAAATAAAGGAAATAAAAAAAACTTAAAAAAATAAAAATTAAAAAATAAATAAACCTCTTCCGGCAGTTCGCTGGGTTCTATCTTTATATGCTTTTATTGCTCTTTTGATGTAATCTGAGATTTTACTACATAAACCTCTGTCAACTGGAGATGACTCTTCATTGAGTGGGAATGACACCAAGAAACCGGAAAGGCCATCACAGCAGCCTTCAATAATTAGATTCTGAATGTTGGCTGAAAGATTGAGCTGAAATATAAATTAAACAGAATTGTAACAATTGTATCATCACATACGTTTCGCTCCACTTCCCTTGTCAATATCCACTACATACCTGATAATCAAGATCCATCATCATACTTTTAAGTAATCTTTCTGACATTCTTTGCACATCTTGAGGCATGTGCTCAGCCATAGACCCAATGAGACCATAAACCTTGCACAAAACTGTAGAACAACACAAACATCGAGACATTGAAACAAGTTCAATTTTAGCATATTGGCAATTTATTGTCAGGAAGGGAAAATATTCTGTCTAACCAGTTGGCTTGGACACTCTGTGGGAGGCCATTGTTGCTAATTGAGATAGGATGGCTGGGGCACCAATGTTGGCATTCCATGGGCCAAGTCTAACAATAGTAGTCAGCACTTCCAGTGCCTTAGCCTTCTCATCGGCAGACGAACTGTCCCTTCTTATGAATGACAAACATTCATCCTGTGAAACGAAAAAATTTCTTAGGTAGAGGTCAGTAGGCAAAAGACATCTCAAGAGGTGGGGCGGACAAATTATACCTTGATAACGACAATGTGGTATTCGAGACTGGTTGGATAAGTTTCCAGAAGAAATGAGAAAAATGAAAGAATGTCCGAGGGCAACTTTTTCATATTATACTTGACACAAGCTGAGAGGACGGCCTGTATGCCTTCCTCCTCTCGAAACAACGTGTGCAGAGCAACGCCTGCAAAGGATGATAGACTTTTAGATGCAGAGGCAAGGAACAGAGAAGTAATCGAAACCAATTGAACAAAGAACAGCCTTACGTCTGTCTTCAATTGACAGTCCACTCTGAAAGTAACTAATGATCCTGTGGAGATAAGTCTTAGCATCATCATCTTCTTTTTTTGGTATGCAAGTTAACAATTTATCCATAAACGTTTCCATATTTTCTTATTCTTTGTTTCTGTGGTTACACTTGAGCCTGTGAGATCCACTCTGGATCTACCTCACTTCAGCAAAGAATAGAGGAAGAGGTAGGAGAAAAACTCATGCGCACCAACAAGCTAATGATAGCTTGAAACATGGTGATTCAGACAGTGCGAATCACTTTCGTCGTCAGTCAGAAATTTCAAAAGAAATTGGGCAATGTTGGATGTTAAATTGTTTGATACACCTCAAAAGTCGCGTGTCGTGGTAGTACGCGCCAGTGAGGAGAGAGGGCGCTAGGAGCGGCGCTCACCGACCAATCACAGCGCTCCCAGCAGACAGATGAGACAAGGAAATCGTCCGTCAACTGTTCATTGTTATTGTCCCGTGTGCCTGCCGTGTCGGTTTCGGCTCGGCATTTTCTCAGAGGAACAAGCTCAAAATATACCTTTTTATTCAGTATTCTATTCTTTCCGCGTCTAGTTGTTTGCTGGGCCATTGAAGGTAAGTTATTTCTTTCAATTTCTCTTGCTCGAAGCCGTTCTTTCCGTGTGTTAAGTTTTCAGCTGAGTTCATTGACAGTTCTTACTTACTATTCTTTCATTTACATTCATTCATAAGTGAGTCATTTATTTTTATTTTTCAAAAGTTTGTAATTTTTATCCACTGAGATATCCAAACAATATATCCTGACCGAGAATCGGAATATATGCTTACTCACTAATAGGCCAAATGTAGGTTATGCCTGTGAGTCAGCAATTTCGTGTTCTTATTTTTACTTATTTTCGAAGTACAGCTCCCCTGTTCTGTACTCCAAGTGTCATTTTCACTTGTGATAGATTCTGAGTGGTGAATCATACTACGACTCATACCTTTAATTCACTGTTCTAAATGTTCATGGAATGAGGTTATGTTTGCGATTGCCTCATAAATTGATGGTATTCGTGTAATAAATAATAATTGACTCATTTCGGAAATGTAACTCCTTGAAACTTATAGTAAGACGTGGTGTCTATTTTATTATTGTTTCAGCACTACAATGGTTGCTGCCATGGAGGTGTCGACAGATGTGGAGATGAAGAGTGCCGATAGTCCAGCAGCTGATGTAGAATCTACAGATTCTAAGAAAGACGTTGATCTGCTAAGCATTGCAGACATCCGGGAACATGCAAGACAAATTGAAAAAGCTATCCAGACTAAGGAGCCACGATTTCTCCTCAGAGTGCTACGCTCTCTGCCTAACACCAGGAGGAAATTGAACTCAATAGTTCTCAGAGGAATCATCAATGGACTGTTTACCTTCTCATCAGCTGACCGAGAATCCCTCCTGGTCTTCGTTGATGAACCCATGGATACAGACAGCTCTGCTGCAAACCAACGAGTGAGAAGTGGCAAGGCTTCAACCACCCCGCTACTCCCTGAAGTCGATGCTTATGTACATCTGTTGGTACTTGTCAGGCTGATTGATACTGGAAAACATCAAGAAGCTGTCCAATGCTCAGAGCAGTTAATGTCCAAGTTAATGGGACAAAATCGCCGTACTAGTGATTTGATTGCAGCTAAATGCTACTTCTACCACATGCGTTGCTACGAGCTGACCAATCAGCTAGACAAAATCAGAGGATTTTTCCATTCTCGTCTGCGCACAGCAACTCTGCGCAATGACTATGAAGGTCAAGCTGTCCTTATCAACTGTTTGCTCCGAAACTATCTGCACTACAATCTGTATGATCAAGCTGATAAACTAGTGTCAAAATGTAACTATCCTGAAACTGCTAGTAACAATGAATGGGCACGTTTCTTGTATTACCTGGGACGTATCAAAGCTGCTCGGCTGGAATATACTGCAGCCCATAAGCATCTTGTTCAAGCTCTTCGTAAAGCTCCTCAACATGCTGCTATTGGCTTCCGTCAAACTACCCAGAAGTTGGCTGTCACAGTAGAGCTGCTTCTTGGTGATATCCCTGAACGGCAAATATTCAGACAGGCAGCACTCCGCCGCTCTTTGGGCCCATACTTCCAACTTACTCAAGCAGTAAGAATGGGCAATCTACATAGATTTGGTGAAGTCCTAGAGAACTTTGGCTCAACCTTCCGAGCTGATCATACCTACACTCTCATCCTGCGACTGAGGCATAACGTCATCAAAACTGCCATTCGAGCCATTGGCCTTTCGTACTCCCGCATCTCACCAGCAGACATTGCCAAGAAGCTTGGACTAGATTCCCCTGAGGATGCTGAGTTTATTGTAGCTAAAGCCATTCGTGATGGTGTAGTTGAAGCTACCCTGGACCCAGAAAAGGGTTATATGCGCAGCAAGGAGAGTGCTGACATCTATTGTACTAGGGAGCCCCAACTTGCATTCCATCAGCGAATTTCTTTCTGTCTTGATTTACACAACCAAAGTGTTAAAGCAATGCGGTACCCGCCTAAATCATATGGTAAGGAGTTGGAATCAGCTGAGGAGCGGCGTGAACGTGAGCAGCAGGATCTAGAACTTGCCAAGGAGATGGCAGAAGAAGATGATGACGGCTTCCCTTGAACATGTTTTACTAAGACTTAAAAGATAATTCTGATGACTGTTTTAGTGAGTCATAATATCTGTATAGTGTATCATCATTTAACAAAACTTCTGCAAATGTATTTATAATATTTTGTCTCTTCTGACCTTGCTAGGGAGGAAGTGATTTAGAGTAAATATATGGAATTTGATTAAAAATTGAAATAAATAATCAAGACATTGTTTACCAAAGGGATCAAACTATCAGAAGGAACATCAAATTTATTTTGGAAAATACACTTAAAAATATTTTATTATCACATTACAGTACACAAATTATTACAATAGTGCTAATCAGAAGAAATTTACGAATTTTTACAAAAAAGTAATATAGAAAAGAAAATAACTTCATTCATCGCTGCTACTTTCAGATAAATTGTGCTCAGGCAAAACCTTACGAGCTGGCCTGGCCTTTGCACGGCCTCTCTTGGAAGTTCTTCCCAACAAACGAGATGCTTGCTTAGCCTCTGTGGCTTTGACCAAAGCAATAGCTTTCATTTTGGCCTCCTCCAATGCTCTCTGATCTCTTTCACGCTGGGGTATTGATTCTTCTTTCTTCCTAAGACTTGAATCAACCCAAGCTGCTCTGCTTTCCATTCTCTCCTGAGTTACCCACCCTGGACGAACACCGCGGGTATCAGTGCTCTGTGCAGGAACAACTTGCCTACTGCTTCTTGCTGGCTTTCTTGGTTTGTTCGGCCGAATACCACCAAAAAACAATTTTGGTCGGGTTTCCTCTTCAGATACATGGTTGTGCCAGGGATCATCTTCCCAGTTCATTTCTGACAGAGCAGCTAGGTCTGAGGACACATTCAGGCCTTCAAAACCATCACTGTGTTGGCTTGAGCAGGGTTGCTGCTCAGAGGTACTTGCTTCACTAAGTTGACTCTGTGCACGACTGGTGCTAGGTTGGGGGAGAGAGCTGGTTGGTTCAGAATCGTTTTCTACAAGGGTTTCCTCTTCAATACTGTCAGATGCAGCATTCTTTCTTTTTACAGGGGCCCTTCTAACATTCTTCCTGGTAGGCTTTTCAGTGGAAGATTTAATGGAAGTTGATGGCTTATTTGGTGCTGAAGGTTTTGATTGGTCAATAAGAGGATTTCTTTCTGTAGCTTTGACAGATTTGACTCCAACACGCTTAACTCCTGTAGAGCTTCTCTCCCGAGGTACAGTAGGAGCTCTAACAGGCAGTTCTTCAGACTCCTTAGCTTTACTTTTAGTAACGGTTTTCTGCTTAAGACTTTCGCTTACAGAATCCATTTCACTCTCAAATTCATTGTTTGATGGAACCTTTTTGACTTGACTTCTAACTCTCTTTGGTTTATTCCCTTGAGTTTCTTCCTGACGCTTTTGTCTTGGATTCTTTTTCTTGGGTGCAGTAGATGGCTTAGGATCTGGATCATCAACACTATCACTATCATCGGCCTCCATTTGCGTAACTGCCTTTTGCACTCGTTTGCTCATTTTACTTAATCCTTCAACCAGATGAGGTTGAAAGTTAAAATAGGAGTCGATTTTGCGTTGACTCTAAGGATAAACAAACAATTCATTAAGAAATGAAATCAGGAAAAGCAAATGACAAATTGTTGCAGCTCAGATTATTTTCAATACACACCGCTCTATCATTCCACCTTTTTGACACAGGGAGTAAAATTTCATCTGTCTTGGAGACAGGCCACCCAAACTTGGACCTGGCATACTCTCTCAGAGCAGGCAAATCTAGTGTTCCCCATGAGAAGGTCTCTTGAGAGTCTTCCACAGACGGCCGCATGTATGCTTCAACAACTGCTTGACTTGGGAAACCTGCCACAAGCCATGCAGACAACAATAACATCAAAAATGTGATAAAGAAAGAATACATTTTTTAAATGAAGTGTAAAAGTTGGTACATTTAGAAGTTCACAAATTTTTTTTCACTCACCCTCAGCAAACTTCACATTTTTAAGCTTTTTGTCTAGAAGTCCTAAACTATGTGTTTTATGAGGTCGACCAGAATTCAACCAGTCTCTGAAGCGACTCAGACCCTTGATAGCATTCTGCACTGGATCAGACTCCATTTTGCTCTGAAATGCTGCCACAATTTCTAGAGCAGTAACAGGACCTATTCCTTGGATACCTGTGGTGTAGTCACTCCCTACCAACAGTGCTAGTTGGATTAGCTGCTCTCTAGAAAGTTCTGAATGGAAAAGAACAAACAGTATATTGACTTCAATAACAAGAAAGTGGTGAATGAGGCAAAGATGGGTTCAATACATACTGAAGTAGTGGTTAATGTTAGACGATGTGAACTGGAGTACGTGCTTATTCTGATTGAAAAAGTTCTTGTACACTTTTTTACCACCAAACAACCAAATATCACTATCATCAGTTATACTACCCTCTGTCAAAGAAATAGAATCAAGAAACGCACACTGCGCTTCAGCTTCCATTGGGGCAACAAGGTAGGGTACCCCAAACAATTGAAGTAACTCCTGCAGTTAAAAAAATAATAAATCATTTTTTAAAATCATAATTTTAATGAATACTATGGGATAGTTTGCAGGAAAAGTCTGGCTAACCTGTGCTTCCACACACATTTGATCTGTTATGCTGGCTGCAAGTCTTTCCTGACGCCCTCTCTCCTTTTGCAGCTCAGTTTGTTCCACTTGAAGTGATGCCTATCAATAGAAAAAGTTCCACACAGACTCAATCAATTAATAACCACCCTTAATTTTACAAAGAACAAAATCAAAAACTTGAGGCCCACCTCCATTTCATTTAATTCTAAAGATGTTGGTGGTTTCAAAAATGATGATGAAGGCGCGGTACTTGAATTGACTGCAGGTGAATCATCTGCTACATTTGATTCTGAAGATTCTACATCCGATGACTCATTTCGATCAAAATCCTGTTCCATAGGATCATCCATTTGTTCCTCTTTGACTTTAACAGTTTTATTGATATGGGCATCAACAATTAGATCTTGTTCAGGAACCCTCTTGTCTTTATTAACTGAAATAATTTCTATGTCTCTGGATGGTGGTTTAGTATTATCCACAGCATCTAATTCTGTTACTTTCACAGAACTAACAGGTGTTTGAAAAACATCTGCAAATAAATCATTTTCGTCAGGCTTGTGTGTAGGGTCTATAATTATTTCGATTTTCTTTTTCTTCTCTTCAGGTTTTGTTGCAGCCATAGAAATAACCGGATTTTGGTCCTTCTTTTCAAGATTACTTTGAAATACATCTGCAAAAATATCATCATCATCTGGACTTTCATCAGGACGTATGACTATTTCCAGCGTCTCCTTGTTTCCATTCAAGATTTGTACATCTTTTGCACTTGCAACACTTGGATTTGTCATTTCCTTTGTTTCTGCCTCAAAATCAATTACTTCAAACTTTGACTCTCTATCGTCCGAATCATTGGAGTCAGACTCCATTGCCTCATCCATGGTACTGGAGGGGGAAGCAGAGTCCTTAATTTCATTGACATCCTCTTCAGGCAATTCAGTTTTTATTATAGATGATCCCTTTCCCAGTTTATCAGAAGCTACAGACTCATCATCAGAGGACCAACTATCTGCCAAAATTTTAATGTCAGCAGTGCCCTTGCTCTGGCTGGGACCTGGTGCTGACTCATCACTGGTCAGCATCTTGCCTACAATATCTTTTGCAGCAACCTCAGGATCTAACTTTGGCTTTTCTTTATTTTTGGTCAGTTTCTGAATCATATTTTCAGCCATCTGAGCAATGAATTCGACTTGCTCATTGTACAATGGGTTATCTTCTGTTTTGGCATTTGCGATATCCGCAGAAACAATATCTGCAGAAATAGAGTTTTCAGCACTCAGCGAGCTTTGTGGTGCAGGACCAGGCTCTGAAAATAACAAAGTATATCAAATTCAGGTTTGAAAGAATAGGAATCCAAACTAAATGTCTTCAACAAACCTTTACAAAGAACAAATCGTGTTGTGGAATCTGATGCGATCCTGTGAGAAGCATTATCTAGCATGGGATTATCTTCTATGATATCAACACCTTGGGCAGCCATCAACTCTTGAAGTTCACTCATCCTCATGACTTTTCCTCCCATTTCCTTTTCAGCTTGCTCCAAAGACACTTGTACATTACGTCGTTTCAAGAGGCGGCCTAGCTGATAATTTGAAAAATCTCCAGATTCCTGAAAAAGTTATTTGCTGTAAGAAATTCTGTTAAAACTAATTCAGCAATATAATTTTGAGATTTAGCGAAGTACCTCTGGCATTTCATGGAGCCGCCCCCATGAGTTCTGTTTGCGAGTTTCTTTCAGATCACTGAGAATATCATGTCGAACATCTGGGGGAAGTGAGAGGAACTCCTCACTGTTAACGTCCAGAGAATGCAAATCAAATTTAATGCCATGTATCTGCTGTGAAGTAGGTTTCGTTTCAGATTCGCTGTCATCATCTGACATGCTGCTCTCCATAAATGACTGTAGTTTGTTGTTCGTTTCATCATCTGAACTGCCCATTTCTTCACTCGGGAGAGGAGGGAGATGAAACATATCATCTTTCGATCCATCATCAGCTGTTGCTTCAGTAGGGGCACTTGGATCGCCAAGAATATGACGTATAGCTTTTCGTTTCACAAGGATTTTGAGCAATCTCTCTTTGGCTTCAGCTGCATTATTGGTGGCTTGACTCTTCAATTTCTTTCGGGCAGCCTGAAAATGAACAAGTTTACCATTTTGGTTAGATCAGGAAGCATTCGAATGAGAAAAGCATAAGGCATAAGGAACATCAGAGGACACTGACAATGGTTTGTTTTTTCAGAAGGGGCACACCACCATCAAAAACAAAGACAGGCTTTATTCGGTAAAACAGTAATTTGCAGACACGATGGAATAAGCCAAGAAGGTGTGCATTTGGCAGAGGTGCGCCACGGGAATCTTGATACCCCTTCATCATTTGATGCAGCCAAATAGAAACATCTGATCACAGTTAAGGTAAGTGAAACCTTTATTCATGGAAACACAACTGAACACGATCAACATCAAATGCAAAAATAAAGCTGAAACCAAACGACAATATTGTGCAACTTTACTCTGCATTGCACACATGCACAAAAGGATACCGACAGCTAAAACTTTGTTCTCTAACGTTTCCAAGGGGACCGGCTTCCCGGCTGCCTCCAGTAATTTCCACAGTCCATGTACTCCCATGATTATCAGTTGGTTTACTGATGAAGTATGACTGGTGACACTACCGGCATCCCTGTGCAACCCTTTCGTTGCTTAATTTAACGAATGGGAAGCAGAACAATGCCTGCCAAAGCCTGCGCTAGATCAGTGCTTTAAAGAGAACTCCATGGAGATCCCGTTGGATGTTCTCCATTCGCCCAAGAAAGTTCCAACCTCAAACTGATCTGTCAAACAAAAACAACAAAAACACTCACAACAAACCACAAAACCTTTACTTTGTACATTCAGATTTCAATAAATCCCCTAAACCATACTCAACTACTTCACAAAAGCCAGCTAGAATACTACTAAGAAATATTTAACGACTAATGACAACTTTGGCTGACCCTTTTTCCTTAAAATCCGTTGTTTTTCTCTTTTTTAGGTTGTCGCTGCTGTTTGTTGTCTGCTCACTTCGCTTCGGCTGTGACGTCACCGGCACCCCTCGGCGTTGAAAGCGTCAGAAAACGCTAAAAGAGCAAAAGCGGGAGAGGTGAAAGGTATTTTCACAATACTTGTGGCTCATATGCTTGCACTGGATAGTGATTTCAAAGTGACAAAGCAATATTCGTGAGGGAATATTGTGTTGGGGTTAGCCGGTTAGCCCACCCGGAGCGCACATTGCACCACATTGCAGTTCGGAGCGGCGGCGGGTAACGAGACCACCAAGTGCAACCATTTATTCTTATTCGGCGTCGGAGGCGGTTTAGGACCAAAGGAAGTGGGGTGTCTAGGTCATCAAATGAGTTTCCTTTTATTGAGAACACCGATCTTTGTGTAGTGTAACACTGCTTGGCTGCAAGTCCGGTCGCGGCAGGGGGAAGTCCCACTCGTGCACTCCACTCCGCAGGTGGTTCACTGAGACTTCCTGGCCGTGCGCGGTGACTGTTCGTACTCCACGTCCTGCGACGAGTCGCTGAAGTCGGCCGCCGCCGTCTCGGCCTGACTGCCCCTCCTGCCGGAGCGCGTCCTGGTCCTCGCGGTCCTGGCGGGCAAGTGCGACGTCTGCATCGTGGCCCCCAAGGCCCTGGTCGTCATCGTCCTGGTGGCCGCCGTCCGGGTCGCCCTGGCCCTGCTGCTCGTCCGGGCGAGGCCGGGGCTGCTGGACACGGACTGCGCGTCGTCTAGGGGGATGGACTCCGCCGAGGCGGGGCGGGGCCGCCGGTAGTAGCGCTGGTACACCAGGAAAGCCGCCCCGCCCAGCACCACCGTCGCCAAGGCCACCGCCATGCCCGTCAGCGCCGCGTCCACGCTCACCACCGCGTCTGCAAACACACCATGCCTTGCCTCTTATGGCGGTCCTACCTCAAATACATGGGAAGTTTAGGTCAAACCGACGATGGGACCCACAGAGGCCGGGTGACGTCATATTTTGACGCCGCCTTTACCTGATTCGCGGAGCTGCAGCGTGAGGTCGGCGGTGTACTCAGTGCCGTACGCGTCGCCGACCAGCGCCACGACGCACGTCCACGGCCCGAAGTCCATGTCGCGGACGAGGCTGATGTTGACGCCGCAGTAGCCGCCCCTCAGCGCCGCGGCCGCGCCCCCAGCCCCCGCGTACTGGTAGGGGAACACCAGCTCTTCCGCTGTGTGTGACAAGAAGAAAAAAAAATAAGAAAGGCCGGTATTCGAACCCCGAACACCGGCGCCGGTCTTCTCACCCACTGTGCAGCGCCATGGCTGCGCCTTCGCCTACCTGTAGACTGCGCGTCGGCGAGGTGGATGCTGGAGCCGTCGGGCATGTGGAAGCGGCAGTACTGGATGGCCTCGCCCAGCACGGTGCGGCAGGCCAGCGTCGCCGTGCTGCCCGCGAACGCCGTCACGTTGGCCTCCACCGGCACGGCGAGGGACTCTGCAGCAGGCCGTCAGGGGTTGGTACAGCACGCTTGCCTTTCAGGTGGCTATCTAGGGGTCGAGGGGGGCAATAGTCCACCGCCTTTGATTTGCCGCCACTCACCAGACACCGTCACCTGCACGTCGACCTCCTCGTCCATGGCGGGGAGGCTGTCGTCGGTGTGCACGATGCCGACGCCGCAGCGCCAGGTGCCGGAGTGGTTGGCGGTCATGGCCATCCTGACGGCGCAGTCCCCGAAGGCGAGGCCGTCGCCGCCGTACAGGCCGTACACGGGGGTCTTCTCGCTGAGCAGGAGCTGCTGGCCGAGCGGCGTGCGCAGGTAGCAGTAGGACAGCGCGCGCTGCGCCCGGCAGCCCACCGTCATGACGGTGCCGGGCCGCACCAAGCCCGTCGCCGGCACGGTGAACGGCACCACTTCCAGGTCGTGGGACACGTGCGACCGCGCCGGCCGGGTGTCTGTAGAACGCAAGCCGAAGAGAGGTCAGACCGGGCAAGCGCACAGTGGGCCAGAAGAAGAGGAGGTCGAAATTCCGGAAAATCGTACTTTTCGACGCCACCCACCCTGCGTGTTCTGCTTGTTGAGGTGGATGAGGCCGCCGAGGACGCGCGAGTCCTTGCCGCCCACGTAGCAGCGCCAGACGCCGAAGTGGCGGTCGCGCGGCGCCGCGATCCGCATGGAGCAGTCGCACTTGGCGAAGCCCGCGCCGGCGTACGCGTACTCGCCCTGGCTGCCCTGCCGCGACACGGCCTCCTTGAGCATGACGGACGCGCCGTCCGGGGCCACCATGCGGCAGTAGCGGGCGCCGAGGGCGCAGCCCGAGACCACGCACTTGAGCGTCACCGCGCCGCCGCCGTCCCAGGCCACGGCCAAGTCGGCGCGCGCCGGCTCTGCGCGCCAAGCAAGGGGTTTGACCAGCGGTTCTCAACCTTTCTCGTCTCGCGACCCCAAATTTGAAGCCAAAAATTTCCGCGACCCCCAGGAAAAATTTCGTGACTCCACGGGACCCCTCCTTTAACATGCCACGGCGTCTGATCCGAGGCGGGCATTTTGCTCCCTCAACGGGAAACTGGTCTTTGGACCTTCCTTTAGCATGCCTTTGTTACGGAGTGCAATTATCAGTCTTAGTTTGGGAGCAGTATTGTCTCAAAGTTGGCCAAAACGCTCAGAAATGTCTATGAAAAATCGTGTTTTGGGCTGATTTTAAGCAGCCACAGCGTCTGATCCGAGGCGGGCATTTTGCTCCCTCAACGGGCAGTTGGTCTTTGGACCTTCCTTTAGCATGCCTCTGTTACGGAGTGCGATTATCAGTCTTAGTTTGGGAGCAGTATTGTCTCAAAGTTGGCCGAAACGGTCAGCAGTGTCTTTGAAAAATCGTGTTTTGGGCCGATTTTAAGCAGCCACTGCGTCTGATCCGAGGCGGGCATTTTGCTCCCTCAACGGGCAGTTGGTCTTTGGACCTTCCTTTAGCATGCCTTTGTTACGGAGTGCAATTATCAGTCTTAGTTTGGGAGCAGTATTGTCTCAAAGTTGGCCAAAACGCTCAGAAATGTCTTTGAAAAATCATGTTTTGGGTCGATTTTAAGCAGCCACTGCGTCTGATCCGAGCCGGGCATTTTGCTCCCTCAACGGGCAATTGTTCTTTGGACCTTCCTTTAGCACGCCTCTGTTACGGAATGCGATTATCAGTCTTAGTTTGGGAGCAGTATTGTCTCAAAGTTGGCCAAAACGCAGTCACAACGGTCTTTCAAAGACATTTCTGAGCGTTTCGGCCAACTTTGAGACAATACTGCTCCCAAACTAAGACCGATAATCACACTCCGTAACAAAGGCATGCTAAAGGAAGGTCCAAAGACCAATTGCCCGTTGAAGGAGGACGAAATACCGCCTCGGGTCAGACGCAGTGGCTGCTTAAAATCGGCCCAAAACACGATTTTTCAAAGACATTTCTGACCGTTTTGGTAAACTTTGAGACAATACTGCTCCCAAACTAAGACTGATAATCACACTCCGTAACAAAGGCATGCTAAAGGAAGGTTCAAAGACCAATTGCCCGTTGAGGGAGCAAAATGCCCGCCTCGGATCAGACGCAGTGGCTGCTTAAAATCGGCCCAAAACACGACCCCAGCTACCTCGCCGCGACCCCTTAAAATTTTTTCGCGACCCCACTTGGGGTCGCGACCCTAAGGTTGAGAACCACTGGGTTAGACGGTGCACTAGGAGGATTTGCAGTGTAGCTTGGCGGTCATTCTCACCGTCCAGGTCCACCTGCACGTAGTCGCTGGCGGCCTGCGTGTAGCCGTTGAGCACCAGGGTGCAGGTCCACTTGCCGCGGTGGTCGACGCGCACCCTGTCCAGCTTGTGGAAGCAGGGCCCCGCCAGTGTGGCGGCCAGGCGGCCCGCGGGGTCCTTGAGCTCGCAGGTCAGGACCTCGTCAGTCTGCACGCCGCACGTCAGCAGGGCCTGCACGGCGCCCACCGCCACCTTCACCTTGCCGCCCACGGGGACGTAGGGCTCTGGAAAACCCGGAACGACCGCAAGTTACAATCAAAACACCAAGCAGTAGTTCTACGCTTCGTTGTGTGAGGGCTGCGGCATAGGTTTACCAACAGCGCCCCTCACCTTTGACAAATATGCGGACGTCGGCGGCGCGCAGGGAGTCCTTGTCGGGGCCTGCCGAGATGGTCCAGTAGCCCGTGTCGGCCTTGGCGTCCGACAGAGTGACCCTCACGGCGCACCTCCCCTCGGCCAGCCCCACCAACGCGACGCCGGCGTCCTGGGCCTGGTCGGCGGCGCCCTCCCCCGCCACCTGCACCACGACGCCGGCGGGGCTCTTCACCGAGCACACCTTCCAGTCGGGGTCCTTGGCGGGGGCCTGGGCGAACTGCAGGGCGAGCGTCGCCTCGTCGCCCACCTCCACGTACACGGGCCCCTTGGGCTGCACCGTCATCTTGGGCACTGCGGACACAGGGAAGGACTTGCAGCACGCCGAAGGAGGCCCCTCGTGCCTTCGATGGCCCTGTTCTCGGATCGCGGTGTGCGAAGCGGCATTTCCAATCTCGAATCGAGTAGATTCGAATCTCTGTAAATTCGTTTCGATTCTGTTCTAAAGCGAATCGAATGTGACATACTTCAAGCCCGAAACGGGTGATATTGGCAATTTTTTCCTGCTGCTTTGGACCAATGAGCCACTTTGATTCACAAATTTGACATGTTTGATTTGTTCTCTAATCAAATAATCGAAGCAGCCCAGATTCAATTCGATTCGATTCGATGCGGTTCCTACCGGTTCGCACACCTCTACTCACGGAAGACGGTGACGCTGGTCTTGCCGCGGTACACGGTGCCGTTGGCCGACTCCACGGCCTCCAGCACCCAGGGGCCGTCGTCGCGGGCCTGCGCCTCGCCCACCTTGAGGCCGCACCAGCCGTCGGCCAGGCTGCCGCCCTCGGCGTCGTACTGCACGCGGCCCTCCTTGGCGTCGGGGGCGAGCGGCACCGCCTCACCCCTCGGCGTCACCACGGCGCATGACTTGAGCGGCTGCAGCTCGACGCTGCCGCCGGTGAGGTGCAGTCGCAGCGGGGCGCCCTCGTCGACGGAGGGGAGCTCGGGGAGGACGCCGCCCTGGAAGTCTGCAACCGACGAGTCTCAGAGTGTGTCCTCGACGTACACTGCGGTTTTCAGCGTGCCTTGCCAGGGCAGTCCGCAGAGCAACTCACCCTTGACGGTGACGCGGGCCTCGGCCGTGGCGGTGCCGACGTCGTCGTACTTGGCGCTCAGCGTCCAGGTGCCGTCGTCCGTCCAGTTGACGTTCCGCACCCGCACGCCGCAGTCGCCGAGCAGGCTGAGGCGGCCCTGCGGCACGGCCTGTCCGTCCTTCTTCAGCTCCACGAACTGGGCGTCCTGGCCGGGGCCGTCGGGGCCGCGCACCAGGCACTGCGTCGAGGCGGTGGACGCCGCCACCGCGGCCTGCAGCCGCAGCTCCACCACGTTCTTCAGGTACACCGTCACCTTGGCCGGCTCCACCTTGGCGAAGACGGAGCCGGCGGGCGCGGCGTCTGTGGAAGGGGCACGTCACACAGTGTGCTAGAAGACCGGCGCCGGCGGCCAAAACCCTAGACGCGTTTTGAGCCCCAGAGTCGCTACACAGGACTCGAACCGAACGTGTGACCCCACCAATGGATTCCTCGTTCGGAGAGCAATCCATTGGTGGGGTCACACGCTCGGTTCGAATCCCATTTAGCGACTCTGGAGCTCTAAACACGTCCGAAGTTTTGTCCGCCTCCACCATCTCGTACACTTGCGAGAGAGACAGAGCGACGAAAACAACACTCCGCTCCGCAGTACTCACGGACCGGGCGCGCCGCGCGCGAGCAGCACGCAGACGCCCAGAAGCAGCATGGCTGTCCGCCCGTCCCTCCTCGTCGAAGGCGCTCGACGCACGCGCTGTCACTCGAGACGAACTTGGAATCGTCCCTAATCGGCAATCAGTGTCGATCGACAGTCGCGGCAGACGTCCCACTTGGATTCGGCGATAATCAGGCGACGGTCTGAACCAGAGGGTCCGTTGGTCCGGTCCGCGTGTTCCTCAGCGTTTGTTAGTCGCTGCTCGCGTCGCGCGTCGCGTCGCGGCGCGCTCTGAGCGTGCGCGTTGGGCTGCCTACCCTCCGGGCGGACGCTGCCGTCGCCGAGCACCTCGCTGGACCGGCACCGGTCGCCACACTGGCAGAGGCGGGCGGGGCGGACTGCAGGCAAGGTCGAGTGATATGGCCGAACTGCCGAGAGAATAGGCTATTCCTCTCTCTCGCATTCACGGGAAATCCTATCCCTCCTTGTCATTCGGTGCCCTGAACTCTAGGGAGGAGGACTATACCACCATGCGGGCCGGGCGAAAGTCCGTTTATTTTCGAATTGGCATCGAATCAAGCTTCTCTGCCCCCTCTCCTCCACTGTCAAAGTCCCTCCCGGCTGTAGTGCTGGCTGCGAAGAGGGCTGTGGGGAGACAGCGGACTGGTCAGAGCGCGACGACGGACAGACCGTGGTGTCCGACGGGCCGAAGGAGAATTGCCATCACGAGAGCGATACTAATTACAGTGGCGGCACTGCCACGGCACTGCGAGCCGAAATGGGAATCGGGGGATCGGCAACTAGATGCAAATACGGAGCCTTGGCCTCCAGGACACTCCAGGGCCGCGTCGCTCTGTCTCTGTCGCACCCGCACCGACTGCGTGGTGCACCGCGTGAGTGCGAGCGAGACAGAGCTAGTCCCTGCGGCGGCCGGCGTCGCATTGCATCGCACTCGCGTTCGGAGGTGTCGCGCAATTACGCTAATTATCGAGTGCGATCCGCGCCGCGTTGCCAGGCGTTGCCGCGGCTGGAAGAAGCGCTCTCTGTCTGTCTCTGTCGCACCCCAGGCGCGGGCGGGGCGGGCCGGGCGGAGGGACAGAGACGGAAGACCGGCGCGCGTTCTCACGCGGCCCCGGGGTGAGTGGCAGCTGCCTGCTTGCAGTCGCTTGCAGTGGATGAACCTGGTGGCGTTTTATATCGGCCCAAACCGACGCCACCGCATCGCGCTGCACACCGGGCCGCCCCGTAAAAAAGAAAAAAAAAGGAAAACAGTGGAAAGAAGTAAAAAGCCACGTTTTTGCTTTATTTCTGCTTTATTTTGAAGCCCTTTTTAATTGCGGCGTGGCGTCGTCGTGTCATGTGGCGGTGCCGCCCACACTGTGCAGGTGTTTCGTGCTGTTGTTTGATTTGTTTTTGTTGTGCGGTTTGTGTTTCTGCGCGACTCCGGTAGGTGGCGCGCGGGGTTTCGGTTCACGAGCGCGGCGCGGCTGTACTGTATGAACACCACACACACCCCACCTGAGTGACTCACTGGCCACGCCACGCCACGCCACGCCACGCTGATTCCGGTGGCGTCTCGTCCCTGCTCGTCCCGTGCCGGCCCGGCTTGGGCTGGCTTGGCCTGGCTGGTGCCGCCGGTGCTGCCTGGGCCCGGCCGTCACGGTCAAGGCGCAGCTCAGGCACATCTCGGCCTTCCTTTGTGCACCAGTCGGATGGCCGGCAGCACACTGATTCCGAGAGTCGTTCTCGTCGCTCCGTCTCGCTCGCACTCACGCCGGACGCCCCACGAGTGCGAGAGAGACGGAGCGACGAGAGCGACTCTCGGCCCGCAGAAGGCAGAAGGCACGGGCTAACGAAGGAGGGGCGCTCCCACGGTAATGGGAGGGGGGGGGGCATGCATCAGGCGGGCAAGGGAGGGGCCACATCGCAGCGATAAGAGGAAGGTCCTTTGGAGAGCCTCCCGTAACTTTACCGCGGCGGTATCGAAACCCCTCTTGCAGTGTGCTAAAACCGAAGCTAAAACTCGATCGACTCGTGTGCAGCTCGTCGAGATTTGAGTGCTAGCCGCTACTCTTTTTGGTGCTTCTGCATAAAGCAAGCGCTGCGTGTCCGCGGCAGGTCCTGGAGGTCCTGAAGCATGCCAGCTGCTTCTGGGGATTCTCTGCAGGGGTTCCTTTCCTGGCTGCGATCTCTGAGGAGTCCGTCGCTCTCTGTCTCTCTCTAGGCCTTCGTGCAAACTGCCCCCTCTCTTGCCGACCCCGCCCCACCCCGCCCCGCCGATCCTTATCAGCGCGCCCGCCCTCCGTGGCCGCTCTAGAGACGCACAGCCTATTGTACTCGTTGTCATCCTCCATGCGCTGCGCGGTGCCGCGCGGAGCCGTGTGCCCCGCCACAACATTTCAGGTGTGGTGGCCACAAGGACCCCGGCGACGGACGAGTAGTCGTCCGGGACGACGACGGGGTCAACGAGGTCCGGCGGCCTCCGCCGGGGCAGGTCAAGGAGCGCGTCAGGCTGGCCGCCCGGGCGAGGCACGCCCCACCCGGGGCTGACCGTACAGGGGGTGTTTTCGACGGCTAGCCGCAGTGGGGGCAATTTCCTCGAACGCCGTTTGCGTGCGCCAGAGTCCTAGGGCGTGCGGCTTGGCGCCTGCGAGGTAGGCCACAGGCCCGGCCCGCAACACAGCCCTGTGGAGACGGTGGCCCACCTCGCCCCCGTGAGGACGACAGGCGCGATGTAGGCCGCCGTCTCCACATCCGTGTGTTGCGGGCCGGGCCTGTGGCCTACCTCGCAGGCGTTGAAGTGCGCTCAAAACGGCGACCACAATGTCAATTCAACTTCGTGATCAACTTTGTGACTACAACTTTCTGACCACAACTGTGTGGCACACCTGTCTGTCCCTTCCGGACAAGCAGCAAGGCGCTGGCGCGTCATGCGTTCGGTGGACAGAGTGCACCTGCGCAACGTCATCAACAGACAAATTGAGCTTGGAAGTGCCCCTCCCCCTTTCCCGCCGGACTCCCTTCCGATTATGACCATTATGATCCGCTCCCGTTTCGAGGAAATATTTCGCGCCCGACGCAAGAGCGAACGCGGCGCGGCGCCTCTCGGCACCTCGTACCGTCTACAGGAGCCCCCCCCCCTCCCTTCTGCTGTTCCTTCCTTCCTTCCTTTGTTAACATGCAAGATGGCCAGTGCAGGATTGCGGAACCGCGGGGCATTTCGCGAAGGTCATCGTCCGGGAGTCGGAGTCAGACGGAGTCAGCTCGCCGGACTCAGGTGTGAGTGAGCGGATGGCAGGTGCGTGGACAACTCCGCGTGAAAACAAACAAAAAAGCAGCCTCTTTTTTTTGTCGGCTTTTGTTTTGTTTTTCACGGTTTTCCACCTGCAACGGTTTGCTGCGGTCGGTCGGAACAACGGCCTGCCATGCAAGAGCTCGGCAGCCCCGAGTTGATTTCGGTCAGAGAGTAATTTGGGGGTCGTTTAATCAGCCCTCTCTCATTGAAAGAGAGTCGGAGGGTTCGAGAAGCGAGCAAACCCACGCCCAGAAAATACATTTCTTGAAACACGAAAATTTGCGAGGAAAAAGGCAAATTTACTTGCCCCGAGAATAATTTACTTCACCATGAAATAAATTTCACTTGTTCCCAGTCAACTTTTCTTGTTTCACGTTTCTTGTTTCTTTTTTTCTGGGTGTACAGTCCATTGTTGAACTGCAGAGATGCAACCCTCTTCTCAATAGCAACGCCGTGACTTCTCGTTTTCGCCTGCGATTCGGGGAGGAGCATTCCGTCCATTCTGCGCCAGCGCCGCAACGCAGAGCTCCGAGGCGGGGCGGGCGGGGCGGGGCGGGGGGGGCGGGGCGGGGCGGGGCGGGGCGGGGCGGGTCAACGACACATCGTTCACCTCCGTGCATATAGTCTGCCCGGTCTCGAGTCTGATGGTCTGGTTGTGCGGCTCGGGCGCGGCAGGCATTCATTAAGACGGACGCGCCGCGGCTACGCGCGGCGGTGCGGGCGGGCGGGCGGGCGGGGCGGGGGACACAGGGCGGAACAGGGGCAGGGTTAAGGTCTCCCCGCGATAGTTTTGCAGCCGAGGTGCTTGGCTGTTAGACCCTTGCCGACGACCGATACCACGCGTGTTATAGTCCCGCCTGGAAGGGGGGGGGGGGGATAACGCCGGCGATCCAGGACGACGTCGACGACGGCGACGACGGCGAGGCGGTGGGGGAGGCGCCGGGGCCGCCGCCGTCTGGACGGGCGGCTGGAGGCTTGCCTGGAGTGGCCTGGAGGCGCGGCGCTGGCACGCTGGAAGACTCCGGATGCCCCGAGCGGCTGGCTGGAGCGGCTGGAGAAGTGGCGGCGCGCTGGCCGGCCCGCTGAATCCCTTCATTCTCCATTCGGCGCCGCCAAGTGCGGACCGCGGCAGGCGAAGCGCGAAGCCACGCTCCTCCGCCACGACCGGCCGGACGCCGCGACCGCGTGTGGCAGACCTGCTGACGGACAGGGCCTCCAGGGCCTCCAGGGCCTCCAGGGAGGCACCGCGCACCCCGGCCACCCCGACCAGGGTGCGGCGCTTCGCGATGACCACGGCCACGGCGTCCAGAGCGGCCGAGGGGCGCGGGCCCTCGCACGGAGCGGGGGCCGCCAGGGCGCGGTCCCACCACCCGGAGCAACCCCTGCGGCCGCGACCGCCACCAAGCACCGCCTCGCTCTGCACAACCGTGAGTTCACTTGTGTGTGTGTGTGTGTGCTTATGTGTGCGTGTGTGTAAAGTGCGTGCTTTTTTAGAGTGTGTCGGTGTGTGTGGAGCCTCTGCACGATTTTTGCGTACAAAAATCTGGAATTGTGTGGAATTGTACCCGCGATATCGAAATTTCGAATTTGAACAGATTTGTGTAAATTGGAGTAAATTCTCGTGTAAAATTTTTTCGCGTGTTTAAAAAAATGCTTATTTAAAAGTGGAACTCAGAAATTCGTTGTGTCGCAATGCTTAACTCTTGGATGTAATTTTGGACACTCATTTGTATGGAAAAATTCATACAGGAAAAATTGTGAGGCCGCGTACAAAATTATTTTTTATTATTATTGACTGTATGTGTTTACGCCTCTGGACTCGCCACTGCCGCGTCCACCCCACCGCGACGCCGCGACGCCGCGACGTCCACGACGGCAGTGACACTGCCTGCCGGGCCTCCCGGGGCGCGGGAACGGGCGAGCCTGGACTAGCCTGGGCGAGCGAACGCCTGCCGTGTAAACTGTTTGGCGGGAAGGTGTCGTGACGCGGCGAAGGACGGGCTTCCGGCGCGGGGCGTCCTGCCAGTGCTGCCGGGGCGCCGAACTGGAGGGGGTCTTGTGCATGGGTGTGCACGCCGGAATGCACACGCCCGCCCCGCTCAAGGACGCTGGGGTTGTCGCCGACCGGGCAGGCAGGCAGCCAGGCAGCGCCCCCTCGACCCTCACTCGGACCGCCTGGCTGGCTGCCTGCCTGCCTGCGCCCGGAGATGACACCTATTGTTCTAGCCAGCAAGTGCCGGGCCCCCGCCGCCCCCCGCCGCCCCCGCCCCCTATGTCTCATTACCGAAGGGTTCCGCCGTGAGAAACATTTGGCCACTTTCATTACGCAACGCGCACGCGGCGCGAGGGCCGAACAGGCGCCGGTGACAAAGCAACCGCGGACTGGAAATACGTCCCACAGTGGGCCAGAAGACCGGTGGAGGCGGCCAAAACTCAAGTCAAAAATCTTGAGCCGGTGTGACTCTGTTTTACGGTGGCGTTTTTGAGGCCTCCGTTCGGGACAATGCGGAAGCAAAGGCGAGAACAGCGAGCACACTGCAACACTTTGCTCGGTGGGCAATCTGTCGCCAACGAGCGCGCATGCCTCCGGCGGCCACCGCGTCGTTTAGGAGAGCGGTTAGGCGGTGAGCGATTTGGCGATTTCAAGGAGCGAGCGTGGCGGCGCGTGCCGCGTGCCTCACACGACCACCAGGACGACAAGCACGACAACGACCACCACGACGACCACTATGACCACCACCACGACGACCACCACGACGACCACCGCGGCCATAATGAGGGCCCCCAATCGCGCGATGACGTCACGCCGTCATCAAGGCGGTAGCGCCGGCATCGCGAAGCTAGGGGGCGAAGCCTTGGAAGTCCTGCCTGCCTGTCCGTCCGTCCGTCTGTCTGTTTGCCTGTCTGGTTGTCTGTGCGGCTCTATTTGAATGGTTGAGTCGGTTTCTCATGCGCGACGACGGCCTGGACGGCGCGGCCAAGTCACTGGAGGGCCCGTCCTGCAGCCAGGACTCCAGTCAGGACCTGCAGCAGGGGCCACACACTCCCACACACCCCCACACACCCCCACGCCGTCCGCGGCCCTCCAGGACTCTCGAACTTCAGGACTTCCAGGATGGAGGACTCCAGTACTCCAGGACTTCCAGGACTCCAGGACGGCCCCTGACGCGGAAAACGAAGGGAATGGCGCGCCTGGAATTATTTGCGTTAATCTCGCCGGAGTGCGGACTGTGCGGCCGTGCCCGTTTATGTCCTCAGCGCGCGAGCCTCGGCGCCTCGGCAGTCAAGCCTCGGCACGGCGCCGGAAACGAGTCGGGATGAGCAGGCGAGGCAGGCGAAGCAGGCTTGCAACTACCACTGTATAATTTGGCGACTAGGCATGCGTTCGCCCGTGCGTTTCTGTCTGTACTGTCTGTCTGTCTTTGTCTGTCGGTCTGTGTACGTCTGTAGGTCTGAATTGACAGAAAGGAGGCAGCGTAGGTGGGTATCTTAGCACACGCAGGAATTCCGAGAGGCATTCCTTTCAAGTTTTATAGGTCTATCGCCCTGGGCGTAAAGTGCGCAGGCTTCAATTAATGTTTTTATGAAGGGTCTTAAGGTGCTCCTGCACTGCGAATCTGGTTCCCAAGCAGGCACTCATACAAATAATTCCTCGAGGGAGGAGCGCATCTCTGACTTTTGTATGACTCACAAGGATCTAGGGGTTGGATTCTATCCGGCGACCATCCGAGTTTGAGGCTGGCAAAGTTCCGGAGCACTTGGGCTTAAAAAACTTCCATTAGCGTTACTTCCTTTTTTTCATACTCCGCCTTATCTCGTGCGAGGGATTTACTTCAAGTTTCTTTCTGACCACCGGGATTTTTGTTACGTTTTTGTTGCTGTTGTTTTTCGGCTGGATCCCGGAGGAGACAGCTGTCGCGCTGATTAGAACCCAACGGACGCGAGGATGCGTAGCCATGGCGTAGCGGAGCGCGAGACAGAGAGAGACAGAGACGCCGGCGAGGAACCGCGGCGCGGCACGCCACTGTAGTTTGCGGCCGTGTAGAGCGGGCCGAGTCGGCGGAAGGCGGCCAGCAGACTCATCCCGAGAGTCTTCTTCGTCGCTCTGTCTCTCTCGCACCTGGACGGGACGCGCCATGAGTGCGAGGGAGACAGAGCGACGAAGAGGACTCTCGGTCCTGTCGGCGTCGGCACGCGAGCGGTGTAGCAGTGTAGTGGTGAATGGGCGGCTCTGGCGCTTAAAGTTTCAGACGAGCAGGCAACACAGTAGTGTGGGGCACACGAGCCACTTGGGGGACGTCCATTTAGTACGTTACACACGCTGGCGGCGTCCGAATCGGCTATAGCTCTGTCTCTCTTTAACCCGCAGAGCCGTGTAGAGCTCTTACAGGAGTGACAGAGACAGGGCTGTGCTGGCCGCCGAAAGGGGGAGACGGGTGGGACGGGCATTGTGTTGACCGGCAGCCGAGCGATCCCGACCTCTCTCTCGCACTCACGGGGCGTCCCGCATGCGCCGCAGCGGTGCGAGAGAGACAGAGCGATGCCCTTTCGGACCGGCTCGGCAAGCAAAGGCGCGTGTCCACTGGACCGCCCAGAGTGTGCTAACGCTTCCCTTCGGTTCGGCCCTTTGGAATCCCCGACTCATCCGGCCGGGACTCTCCGAGGGACTCTCGGGACAGGGGCCGAAGGGCCGTCACGGGGGCACACTGCAGCGCCGTCTCTCTCGCGACGGGGCGCCCCGTGAGTGCGAGAGAGACAGCGGCGCCGTTCGGCTGTTGCTGCAGCAAGCGAAGCAAGCCGCTAGGATGCTCGGACATCGTCGCGGACATCGTAACTTACACACTGCCTCCGCCAAGGCCCGCGGCGCCTTCGCTGCTCCCTGTCGCGGTGTGGGAACGGCCGGCTGGCCGCTACACTACAATGAGTAGCGGTGCCCCCCCCCCGGCCATTTGCTTGGGACCGCGTACTTGGGATTGCTACTTGGATGTCCATCCGTCCACGCGCGCGGCGCGGATCGGGACTGCCGGGCTGTTTGTAGTCCGAGAGTCTCGCTCTGTCTCTCTCGGAATCAGTCTGCGCTGCTGTGTGCGAAGTGTGGATCCGCGAAGGATCCGTTACTGCCAACCTCACGGCCCAACTGCCGGACCGCTCGCGAGGGAGAGAGAGAGAGAGAGATCAGTCTGCCACTGGCAGGTCAGGGCCACGGGGCCGCCGAATCATGGTCATGGTTGCCGTGGTCGCGGACGAGGGGAGGGGGAGGGGGTACCGCAAGCTGGTTAAGGCCCGGATAAGTGGGTGGAGGTGGCGGATGTGCCGAATACCCGGCGCCTGGTCGTTCTCGTGATGAGTGCCGGCCGGTGCCGGCGGGAGGAGGAAGCGGGATGCGGAGTCGTTTTCATGCGACTGCTTCTCCAAGTGGACCAAGGGCAGCGCGGCTGGCACCGCCTTAATGACTCAAATCGCACTTTCTCCGCTCACTCTATGACGGACCGCGGCACCAGAAACGCGGACGAGTCTTTCTTTCGCGAATTATTTCGCGAGTGGGAGAGGGAAGGAGAGGCTCAGTCGGCCGCTACACGGCGGGACCCAAATTGCCAAAATGAGGTGCAATCGACAGCGGCGGACGAGTGTACAGTGGAGGGGCGCCTGGAGCACCTGGAGCACCTGGAGCACCTGGACCAGGGCATTAAGTTATACGAGGAAGTCGCTGGGCGCTGTGCGACTTTGTTAAGTATGTCGGGGTCGCGAGGAGGGGGCTAGTGCTTGTGCCGGGCGATGTAGCGTTAACCGCCTGCAGACTGAGAGTCGTTTTCGTCGCTCCGTCTCTCTCGCACTCATGCGGGTCGTTCCTTGTACGCGACGGAGACAGAGCGATGGAAACGACTCTCGGAATGAGTCCGCTGTCGCTGGGAGGAGGAGGCCCGGCCGGCCGCGCCAGCGCGCTAGCGCCCGCGGAAGTCGGCATAGGCAACCCACTGCGTTGGACGCTCGGCTGTGTCGCGGGGCTGCCTACCCGCTGCACTGCGGGCGCCTGGGGGGAGAGAGAGCGAGAGAGAGAGAGAGAGAGAGAGAGAGAGAGAGAGAGAGAGAGAGAGAGAGAGAGAGAGAGAGAGAGAGAGAAGGGGGAGAGGGCGAGGGGCAGCCACCGGCCGAGCTGTCAGTAGTAAGCATCACCCCGACTCACCCACCGCCGTATTGGTTCCCCCAGGTCACCTGTCCTCGTCCTTATGTCAATATGTGACCACGGTAATACCAACTACTGCCGCCCCGCCCCTGTTCCACCCAGTTTGCGGGGGAGAGAGACGAGTGATGAGACGTGCGGCGGCAACATAGTCGAATCTCCGTAACTCCGCAGCGCTGGCCACGGCAGCGGCAGATGTTTTCGCGGAGTCCGCCCGGCATAAGTATAATCACCGTAATGTGAGAACTCCCTCCGGCGTGGCGTGGCGTGGCGTGGCGAGGCCCGTTGCGGTGGGCGCCGAATAACGCGAACGCGCTCCGGACGGCCAAACGATTTTGAGAAAATGCCGAGTAGAATCGGTAGAATCCTAGTGGGCGTTCTTTGCGGACTTTCGAGGCGCGGGTGTGATTTAGAAGCCGAGTGTCGGGATAGCGGGAGTAGAACCCGGCCCGGTCCGTCCAGTGTCCAGTTTCCCAAGGAAAACAATCTTGTGCGTGGAGCTCACGACGGAACCTGAACGGAAATTTAGTTTGCTATTTTCTCGGCCTGGGACTCGAACGAACCGAACGTGTGACCCCACTAATGGATTGCTCTCCGAACGAGGAAGCCATTGGTGGGGTCACACGTTCGATTCGAGTCCTGTTGAGCGACTCTGAAGCTAAAAACACGTCCAGAGTTTTGGCTGCCTGCACCGGTCTTCTGCTGGCCCACTGTGGGAGTCCGCTTCGCCATTGTTGGATCCCGCCCACGCAGCGGCAGGGCACGGCGGCACTGCGGGGAACCCAGCGGCCAGTTTTTCCGGAGTGGGCCGAAAATTGGCGATGCCTTATCGGCGGCGCAGCGCGCGGCCTTGGTCGGAGCGTCTTATTGTTGGAAAACGGAAAAGGGCCCGAAGGGCGTCCTTGAAAAGTGTCTCGACCGTAAAACGACGCCGTCCTGATGCTGACCGATAGGCCGAGCCGAGCGGCGAGCCAAAGCCCAGCGGACAGGCAAGGCAGCCAGGCCGCGCGGGTTGGGAAACGCATGGCTCGCTTCGACCGCGTCTTCGTCCTCTTCGTCGTCTTCGTCTACTCGCGGCGACCTCTTCTGCCGCCGTATCCGCCCCCCCCCCCCTCCTCCCCACTGCCGCCCCTGCCTCCTCACGTCCGCTAAAAAATGACTGTGTGCGCGGAGCGGAGTGGCCTCCTCTGTTAAAGTACCACCCATCCATCTCTATTCTCTATTCTCGAGTCAGTGGTCAGTGTACCGTCATTGTCCGTGTGTGCGTGTGCGTGTGTGTGTGTGAGTGCGTATTTATTTTATGTCGGCAGAACAGGGCGCATCGAACCGTGACCCAGCAGGCCCATATCAACCCGGTGGCAGGGCAGGGCAGGGCAGGCCAGGCCAGGCCAGGGCGACGGCCCCGGAGGCCCCGGAGGCGAATAACTTGTTGAGCGAGGCCTTGTTCTTGTTGGCGTGCTGCAGGCGCTGCTGGTGCTGCTGGCGGCGCTGCCGGCCGCGCACGCCGCGCTGTACCGCGCCACGCGCACGGACCACTACTACTACAACCGCTACGGCGGCGGCTACACCGCGGCGTCCGGGTGGCCGGACGCGGGCATCGGCGGCGGCGCGCCGCCCCCGACCTGGGACCGCCCCGGTGGACCCGCCCCCGGTGGACCCGCCCCCGTCGGACCCGCCCCCGGCGCCCTGGTCCCCGTCGGCGGCCCGCAGGCGCGCGACGCAGGCTACCGCGGCAACGGATATGACAACCTGGGCGGCGCGGCGCCGGGAGGGGGCTGGCCCGAGCAGGGTGGCCAGCAGCCACCAGGTACGCACCGGAAAAATCTCTCAACCAGCATTAAGCGTTTCGGTTGGTTTTTCACCGTCTGCTTCCCTTCACCAGGCGGGCCCCGCCTCGGCACGTGGCGCGGCACCGGCGTCTGGGACTACGGCAACGGCGGGCCCCCCGTGGGCGCGTGGTCGGGCACCGGGACCTGGGACGCCGAGCGCGGCCAGTTCGTCGGCGACGTCTGGAAGGGCCCTCCCTTGGTGTCCGGCCAGGGCGAGCACTGGCAGGGTGGCCAGGGCGGCCAGGGCGGCAGCTACTGGACCATGGGGTCCTCGACGGACTGGAACAGGCCGCCGTCGGGGTACAACAGCCACGGGTCGCCGCTGGGGCACCAGGGCGGCAGCGCGCCCCAGGCCGGCGGGTACACGCCTTGGGCGCCGCCGCCGCAGTCGGGCAACCAGGGCTACTACTACTACTACGTGGACAACAAGCCGGCCTCTGGGGGCGGGTACAACGGTGGAGGCAGCGGCGGCGGCGGCGGCTGGGGCGGCAGCTACGCCTCCGGCTGGAACAACTACGGCACCCACGGCACCGCCTGGGACAGGCGCGACCCGCCCAGGCCGGGATCTGGGTGAGTGGACGCCGTCGACGCCGTCGCGCACGGCGGGAAGGCGCGAGGATGTTCGATGATGTAATCGAGTCCTTTCGTTTGCAGGAGCAGCGGGTACCCGTCGTCGGGCGGCCATCCTTCCTACCCGGTGGGGGGCGGCAGTGGCGGCAGTGGCGGCAGTGGGTCGTGGAGCTCCGGTGGCAGCCAGTACCGGCCTGGTGGAAGCAGTTACCCTTCGGGAGGGAGTAGCTACCCTTCCGGTGGAGGCGGTTACCCCTCTGGAGGAAGCAGTTACCCTTCGAGTGGATCCAGCTACCCGTCTGGGGGTAGCAGCTACCCGTCCAGTGGGACCAGCCGCCCGCCCAGCAGCAGCTACCCCAACAGTGGAACTAGCCCCCCTCCCAGCAGCTACCCTTCCGGCGGCTCCAGCTACCCCTCGGGAGGCAGCAGTTACCCGGCAGGAGGAAGCAGCAGTTACCCGTCGACCGGGAACAAGTATCCGTCAGGTGGGAGCAGTTATCCGTCTGGAGGAAGCAGTTACCCCAGCAGTGGCACCAAGTACCCGTCTGGGGGCAGCAGCAGCTATCCCGCTGGGGGCAGCAGCAGCTACCCTGCCGGTGGAAGCAGTGGTTACCCTTCAGGAGGAAGCAGCAGTTACCCCGCCGGTGGAAGCAGCGGCTATCCAAGTGGAGGAAGCGGCAGCAGTTACCCCGCTGGAGGGAGCGGCAGCAGTTACCCGGCCGGTGGCAGCAGTAGTTACCCATCTGGAGGAAGCAGTGGTTACCCTGGAAGCGGCAGCCATCATTCAGGAGGAGGCAGTAGTTACCCGGCAAGCCCGGGCTGGCCATCACCAGGGGGCAACAGTTATGGTGCTGGAGGTAACAGCTATCCTTCAGGAGGTAGCTCTTACCCTGCTGGACCCAGTTACCCTCAGGGCGGCAGCAGCGGCAGCAGTTACCCGGCTGGCGGAGCGAGCGGCGGCTACTACCCGCCCAAGGGTGGCTCGGCGGGGTGGTCTTCGGGCGGTAGTTCGTCTCGTCCGCCGCCTCCTGGGTACCAACCCCCCGTCATCCCTCGCTTCCCCTCCTCTGGTGGGGGCTACCCGTCCGGAGGGGCAGCACCACCGCCAAGCTACCAACCCGGCGGCGGCTACCAACCAAGCGGCGGATACCAGCCTAGTGGTGGCTACCAACCCAGCGGCGGCTACCACCCAGGCGGCGGCTACCAATCAGGAGGCGGCTACCCTCAGCAAGGCGGCTACCCGCCGCCCGGCGGCAGCCCGTACAACCCTCCGGGGGGCGTGTCCGGCTACTCCGACAGGCGTCACTACGAAGACGCGTACTCCAGGGGGCCTGTCGGGGCGGGCCCCGCGCTGCCGCCTGGACCGCCTGGACCGCCTGGTCCTCCCGGGCCTCCGAACCGCTACCCCGGCAGCGGCCAGGCCACGGCGGGTACCTGGATCCTGGTGGCCGGCTCCGGAGGTTACTACCCCGACCAGGGCGGCAGGCAGGACGGCGGCTACCCCGGGCAACCAGGCCCTCCCCCAGGACACCCTATGCCGCCAGGACCTCCTGGTGGCAACTGGCCTCCAGTTGGCCCGCCTCCCGGTGGCAACTGGTACCCTGGCGACGCAGGCCGCTACCCCGACCAGGGCGGCGCACCCCCGCAGGGCGGCTACCCGGACAGGGGCGGCTACCCCGATAGAGGCGGCTACCCGGACCGAGGAGGCTACCCGCCAGCACCAGGCAGTGGCGACAGGTACGGCGGCGGCGGCGGTCTCCATGTGCAGGGCAACTACCAGGAGACGGGATACCCTCCCGCCGACGGCCACGGCTACGGTAGCCACGCTGGCGGCGGCAACGGCTACGGAGGCGGCAGCGGCAGCAGCAGCGGAGGCGGCTACGGAGGCGGCAGCGGGGGCAGCAACGGCGGCGGCTACGGAGGCAGCAGCGGGGGCGGCAGCAGTAGTGGAGGCGGCTACGGCGGCGGCGGCGGCAGTGGTGTGTACTACCTGGACCGAGACAACCCCCACTACCACCAGCAGACCGGGGGCACAGGTACGCCGTTCACCGAGTAGAGCGTCGGGGAACTGAGCGGCGGGGCGGGGCGCCTGGGAGGTAGGCAACCCAACCTGCCCCCGCGCGACCCGTGCTGCCTATGCCAGTTCCATGACGTTCTACAAATTATGACTTTTCGTTAAATTTTTGCTTTATGTGGTTTAAATCCGTGGCGGGGAGAATTCAGAGCCCCGCTTTGGCCGGCATGTGAGTCCATGGCTGTCGCCACAACACTGTCTCGACGGCCGGCCGGCAATGCAAGTCAAAGGAAACTTCATCCGTGTATTGGTCGATGTTTTGAACTCGAATCATACAACATTGTCATTTTGTAGCATGTGTTGAAAATTGGACTGACCGAAAAACCCTTCGTCGGACAGACGTTATCCTTTTACTCGCAGTGAGGTACTCTGATCTCCTCCGCCGATGAGTGTGTTTCGCTTTAACGTAATGAGTGGCTTTGTCTGTTGCTTTTGTGATGTTGCACTGCGGAGCCTTGACAACGCTGGGCCATTGATCTACACGTTTACTTGGCTGAGCGGCACGGAGCGTGCGTGCGTGTGTGTGTGCGTGCTGCGGATGCATGAGGCTTGTGCATTATGCATACGCATATGCATGCATGTCTGGTGCATGAGCATTTTGTGAGGAAAATGAGCGAGCGCTGCTCTGCAGCCAGCGCCGCCGCGATGTGGTAATGTAGTTCCTGCCGAGTTTGCGTTTTGGGGTCCCCCCCAAGAACAAAATAAACCCTTTGCTAAAAACAGCCGAGGCTCTCTGGCTCTCTGGCTCTGAAAGGCAGCTAGGTGCCCTCCACTCCATCCACTCGTTCACTCCGCGAGATAACAGTCATGAGAAGACACCATGCATGTCATCGTGGCTGCCGCGCGCAGGACACGGCCCGTGACTCGTCATGCTCACTACCTCATTACTCCCCCACCCCGTCCTCCACGCAGCCAATATTATTATTTTTTGTGCACGAGTGCAGATAACTGTGGCCAGTGGGCAAAAAAAGCGCTCCTGTTCCAAGAACAGTCCATTGGGAGTGATTGCAGGGCGACGTCTCTTCGATTTCGCAGCCAGTTTCGAACCCCCTCCCCTTGGATAGATCATAACAGTATTATTGCTTGATAAAAATTATGAAAAATTGGAGCAGCTGAATACGGTGCTATACTGAACGAAATTAAAATTTTCGACCCCCCCCTCTCCCACTCTATTTGACTTCGCTCAGAGACCCACGGTGCATTCTTCACCCTGCCCCATTTGACTCAGCTGAGTATCAGATGACCCACGGTGCGCTCTTCACCCGTCCAGACAGCCTCAACTAGCCTAGTACAAAAAGGAAAAAAGAATCGGATTTACGCGTTGCGCGGTCGAATGGAGAGAGCCAAACTAAACGATGGATCATATGGCCGGCCTCGGCTCCACAGGCATCTACCCCGCTCCTTACGAAACTCTCCTGAACCACCACGGTGCAGGTGGCGGCAGTGGCAGCAGTGGCGGCGGCACCGGCAGCACCTCGGCCTCCAGCTCCACGCCGCCCAGCAGCAGCAACTTCTTCCAGGTGCGTTCTGACCGCCTCACCGTGGTCTAGGCGGTCTAGGAGAGGACTAGGCCCCCCAAAGGGAGGCTTGGCGAGACCGCAGGAGCGAGGCAAGGTTAGTGTCGGGGCGCAGTCCGCCACTAGTGTACGCCATCAGTGAGTCCTGAACATTGCCTACCTTAAGGCGTTTTATTAAGGGCAGAACAGGGAAATCCATGACCCCCATGACCTTCTCCCTCGGCGCCGGTGTACTGGGTCGGATAAACTGAAGGTCCCTGCCGTTTCTGCCCTGATTTGTTTGTGTTTGAGTGACTGAAAACAATTGGTTCCTTTGGTGGCGCCCAGGGCACTTCCTTTTTGTCTAATACCAAAACTAGCTGTTAAGAACTGATGTACTGTAAAGTAGCGCCTTAGAATTATTGAAGCTCAATAGTAGATGGGTCCACCTCTGTCAACGCCACTGCTTGACAAGGAGCAGCTAGCACTTAAGACTGACTGTTTGGAATTAGAACTGTTAAGCTTAGGACTCTATGGTAAGCATGTCTCAAAACTTCAAGCGATGTAAATATTCAAACTCTTGGGCATAAACCGGACCTATCAGGCATAGCTTGGTCTCGGCATGGTCTCTGTCTCCGTGCTCTCTGGCGAGCCGCGGCGTGCGCGTGAGGCAGAGTGCCCACACTGGCACTTCCTTTGGCGCTGGCGGTCTGGCGACGAGGCGGAGAGGCAGCGAGGTGGCCCGCAACGCAGGTGCACTGCCAAACGAAAGTCCGCCCGCTTGCTTTCTGGATCTGACCACGCCACTGGTGCGCTTGTTGCGTGTTGCGTGTTCCCAGGGCACCACCAAGTCGTACCTGTACGACCGGAACAAGGACAAGGACGGCACCTCGGCGGCCACCACCACCAACGGCGTCCCTAGCGAGGCGGAGTCCACGCCACCGGTGGACGCGGCCGAGAGCACGGGGGCGACCACCTCGACGAAGCCCAACGCCGACACGACCAGCAGCTAGCGCAGCTAGCGCAGCTAGAGGGAGGGAGAGGGAGGAGCCCCGCGAGGGAGTGCGACAGGACAGAGTGAGACGGAGAGCGCGAAAGACAAGGGGGCCGGGCGTCTCGATGGAGGCGTCGACGTCGATGCGACAAGACAGCGTAGACAGCGGCATCAAGTGTTGGAACGCCTGCCACACTGGGAATGCAGTCCCGCTCGGTGCGCCCGTCGGGGTGGATGCCTACCCTCTAGGCGCCCAGCCCAGCCTGTGTCTAGCATTTCTGTGGGCTGAGCCAGTAAGGCTGACACCAGGTCTGCTGCCTTGAGTAGTGTTGTGTTCTCAATATACATGCCCATAATTCAGTGAAATTTTTGGAAGAGTATTTGCAATGAGCCAAATTTAGAGTGGTAATTAAATAAGTCTTAGCAGGAGATGTTGGAACATTTGTCTAGTTTCATTTTTTAATATCATTGTAATAACTTCTGTGAAGCGTTTCAATTTTGGTCTGATCTCAGGTTCTTACACTGAGGCAGCACAACTCCAGAAAAATTTGTGTTGTATCATGTTTTGTTTTAATTGCAAAGATTTGAGTTAAAGGTGCAATTTGCAAAAAAAAATTTGGGCTCCAGCTTTGTGAAGTTCCTACTGATAAGTAGCTCCTTAGATATGATCCTATATTTATTTAGATTGTACTTGTAAGAAAATAAGTGATCGGCCCTGATCTCATCTATTTTTCCAGTTTATGAAATTAGGTTGTATTTATATTTGTAGCTCTCCCATTTGCCATAATCATTCAAATTAAAACCGAAACACTGATGATCGTGTTCTAGTTTTTTGTTCAACAAAGTAAAATGTTGCATACATGAGTAAACATAGCTGTCCAATAAGTAGCACCTCATCCATACAGGGTGAGGTGGAAAACATTGCATGTGGAAAGGAAACAACAAAATAAAGGAATATCTGAGAAAATGCAGAGCATTTATTGTCAATGTTTTAAAATGATGTTACAGTTCTCCACAACACATTCCTCTAACCCACAAAATGAAAAAGCTAGGGAGAACTACCAGGTGCATGTTCCTGAAAAAGTGTCTCCTACGGAATTTAGATGTCACTTGACTGTAAGGCACGATATCTGCTTTCATACATAAAAATTAAGGAAAGAAAAAAAATGAAAGCATAAGGATAGTACATATAATGTAAATAGGTTTGATGAAGTCAACATAGAGTAAATTAACAGACTCTCACAATGATGAAGAAACAAAAGAGATAATGTGAATTGGATACAGAAAGTGCCTATAAGCAGTGAAATACTCAATAATGATGAAATGGAAATACAATCAGTCTCTTAGAAGCGTTTGTGTGACAAATTGAACAGTGAAGTTACAAAAATCTTAAAACCATCATTAAAACCTAACAAAAAATATATGTTATAAAGTCCAGTTAATGTGACATGAGCAACAGCTTATTATACGTACAAGCTGTTGAAAGAAAATTATGGCTGGCTCAAAGTTTAACTACACCAATATGAGGTAACCACGAAACCTAATCACCCACTACTATGACTACTACAGCTGCAAACGCAGCCTCACTATCCACTGAACAGTTACAAATATTAATTATCAAAATAGGGCAAACTACATATTTGTTACATGACGCCAACTACAACAATACGAGGAGGAAAAAAAGAAAGAAAGAAAACTTTTTTAACTATGTGCTTTTAGATCAGAAAACACACCAAAAAGTCAAAGTGCTTCCAAATTTGACAAAGTTACTCAAGTGGACACAGGGAACAAATCACATAATAACTTACGCTAACTTACCATTCTAAATTCTCACAGTGCTGCTGCACATAGTGATATTTTAATTTTATAATTCAGGTACATTATCAGATTTGATGTGCTGAAATATTTAAATTGCAATGCTAAGAAAATGCTTTAATAAGGTATACCTAGGGCATCAATGAGAGTAACTGAGCACTAGGATTTATTACATTGTACACATAATTGTAATCAAATCAAAACAAAACCAATATTTCTGTTGAGGACTTGATTGGATGAAAATGAGTCAGAAGTGAACTCTTCAAAGAAGTACTTCATACAAAGAAAAATTTATGGAACTGACCAAAAATGTTCCGCTTCCTTGAATTAAATTCAGCATGGAAGATGTACAAGTACCAACCGACATGATACTAACTAGTCTTTCAGTTGGGTTGCACTATGTGCCATCAACTAAAAACTAACATCAGATGACATTTTTAATCTGTTTTCTTTTCATCAGAAATTCATTAGCTGGCAGCAATAAATAATTCATAACAAGCAAAACGAGTTTCTTTTAACTAGCTTCTACACAACAGTAATGCTCAAAGACCAACACTTCAAAAGCGCCAATGGTCAGTTATCCTGAAGCTAGAGTAGATGCACTTAATACAAATGGGATATGAGCAAACCATCTTCAAACATCATTGCAACCCACCCTTTTACACCAAATGAGACAAAAAGATTCAAAATGCATATAAGAGCAAACACACACACACATTCATACAAAAGGGGAGTGGCTTGGGAACCATAAAACACAACTAACAATATTCTCGCAAGAATAATCCAGTAAAAGGAAATAATTACAGAGTTTAGAGATGACATTATCACTTCATCACAAATAGACTGAGACAAGTGCAGAAGCTTCGCTAGGGGAAAAACAAGATAGGGGCCCACACTCTACACTCACTGACTCATTAACTTTCTCACTCTCTACCAAACGCACACACCACAGAAAAACTAAGAATTTTTCTAATAAAGATACACTCTGAGAAACCTATGAAGCAAGGCACTACTGTTTGAAAAAGAAAACTGTACAGAGCAACCAGAAGTTAATAAGAAATGGTTGGATAATAATACACTCTGTCAGAAAAAAATTACTTCCTTTACAGGCTATTACTTCTTCCCATATCTCACATTATTTGTTCTTCTTGGTGGACACCATTGTAAAGAAGTTGAGTCCACTGTAAGCCGAGGTCTCTTGAAGTGCGACGATTTGATGTGTTCTTCAACTAACTTTGGAGTAACACAGATGACATGTTGACCTTTCCAATATTTTACCATGTTCATGGACTGCAATGTAGAAATAATGTCTGTCTGGGCTATACTTGTCATTTCACTGGAATGCACAAAAAAGCATTTTTTATCAATCCAGAATCATTCCTATTTTAAAGCCAAAATATAATTCCAGACACCATACCTGAGATCTTTTATAGATAAAGTACCCCTGAAATCACGCAGGATTTCCAGTAAAACCCAAGACCAATAACTTCGGTAACTAAGCTTTCCTAAGTCAGAAAGAGGCTTTTCAGGACTACCAACAACACCTTCGTGTTTACTTAACTCATAACTAAAAGCTATGAGCAGTTTTCCATAACCTTGACGCTGGTATGGAGGGAGTGTCAAAATACAGGCAACATTGTTGCCATCCGGAGACTCTTTCTCCTAGAAAAGAGATTTTAAGTGTCAGATAGATCATTTTCAGTCACAACAGCAACATAGTCATCAGTCAAATCCACACAAACCTTAGAGAAGTATCCTACAAGATGTGAACCATGCTTATCAATGTCACAAAGCACATAGAAGAGGAATGGCTCCACATCAAAATATAGGGTTTTGTGATCCAAAAAGAGTTTAGCTAAAAGACAGAGGCTTTGGCAATACACTTTGTGATGACTTCCATCAGTTTCCCAAATGGACAACGTTCCCTTGCGATAAATCTCCTTTCCTGGAGGTTGCCTTGCAGTGCATTCACTCTGCTTTGGAAGAGAAGGTTTAGGACACTTTGAAAAATCGAAGGTGCTACTGTAATACCACAATTTGAAACAAGTTAAGATTTCTTACCATGTGATATCTGTAAGTTTTCTCTAACCTCATATACTTCAGACAGTATTCACAAATCCACAGTTTGGGCTGTTTCCCATACTCATCCGGGTATGGGCTGAAGTACCATGTGTCAATTTCGTACCGACCAATTTGGATACGGTCAATGTACTTTACTTTGGTGATTGCTTCATGTTCCTTCTCTAATGCAGCAGTAGTAGGATCCATTTCAGCATAGGTCTGCAAATAAAAATTTTAATTTTGAAGATGAAGTTGAATCTCAAGAAACAAACAGAGAGATTGTCAGTCTCAATCTAGACTGTCAGACCTTCTGGATATGATTGATTTCATCGTGTCTTCTTTTCTGGTTTCTTGTTATTTTTCTGTCAGACTGATCTGACAATAGATCCCCTGTTCGTTGGTCATTTTTCCATTGGTGATCAGACATATTAAATCTGGACAGCATAATCCTGAAACATACATCGCACAAATAAAACTGTGGCATTAAGATGAACTCCTATCAAGCCAAAGTTGAAGAAACTCACCTATCCCGAGGGATCCATTCGTCGAGCCTCCGATTGTACCCTTCATAATGAACGTAGTAGTCATACTGGTTTTCTTGTTCGTTGAATCGAGCTTGTATGATTTCAGCAGGGTCTGATGGGCACAAAACCAAAGCATTTACACAATGAAACAACACAACAAAATAAAATAGGAATGAGTTAAATGTTTAGTACAGGTAAATAGGTAAATCAGGTCAAAATTTACTGTCTGACGCAATAACTCGAAATGAGTAAACAAAGACATCCCGAAAACCTAACCTCAAAGGAAACACAAACAATCAGCCAGAAGACACAACTGCCACCAGCATGACTGCACGAAAATAGGGAACTAGCGACCTGACAGTTGCAGGGCACCGCGTCGGTGATTTCGATATGCCTATCGAAACTGGTTCGTAATCCGGAGGCCAGCCCCTCGCCCCTGTCGTGGCCCACACCAAAAATTGTTCGCGCCAGTCATGTTTTCTCCAGAGTGGCTGCAGGGGCCGGACCGCGGAAAATCGCGGCGCCGGCGGCAGCGGATAGGGGCTCCGGTAACATGATCAAGGGCCAGTGCCGCCGAAGTGACGCAATATGGCCCTTTGTGTGGCGAGGTTGTGGCTCGCCTCGCCGCGGCGCGGGACGGGGCGTCGCGACGCCGAACCGGGCCGACAGACGAGCGGCGACGCCGACGCCAAGCGCCGCGGGCCGGGACGGGACGGGCAAGGCCAGCCAAGCCGCCCCGCCGTACTCACGCCATGTGTCGTCGCCCCGCCGCACCAAGTAGTGCTCCCCGATGTCCAGCGGCTGCTCGTCCAGAGAGTCGCCGTCCTCGCCGTCCAGCGTTTTGCTGTCCGACGACGCACTCTCCGACTTCTTCTCGACCTTGGAAACCATGGTTGCGCCCCTGCCGTCCTGAACGCTGCTGACGACGACGTCGAATCCTCCCTCCCGTGCGTCCGTTGCTCCGGCTAGAGCAGTACTGACAAAAAAATTCTCCGCCTCCGCTCCCGCTCCCCCTGCTCCGCCTCCCTCTCCCTCTCCTCGCGCGGCGCGGGCGCGGTCCGCCATGAGAAATCGCCCCGCACGATGTCGATGCAAGCTTACCGCATGCGCCGCTAGATGGCACTGACCGCAGCACCGCCTAAGGAATTCCCCTGGAAAGCCAAGTTAGATATTCCTTTCTCCAAGTCGCACGGGCACACTTCAATCATGATTTACAGCAATTCAGAACTGATCTTGATCGATTCTATGTCATAGAAAATGCAGGCGTCCCTTAAAAGTAGCGCCGATAGAAGTCCCGCGCGAAGACCAATCAGAGGCGGGCTACGAAACGGCGCGGAATAACGCACCCATTCAAATTTCACACAAAAACTTCGAAGAACACACAAGGCTTTGAAGGGCATCAAAGACGTATTGGAAACAAGAGACTGAAACTACTTTATTTTAGCTCAGTAAGAAAATGAGCTCAGTGAGAAAATGAGGAAAAGATACGCACACTGAGTTGACAAAGCACCAAATTTAGGGACTTTGTCGTCTCGTGCCGTGAGCCTGTACCTTAGTCATCAGCTCTAGTGAAGACTGCACAAAAAGAGCTTACAAAGTTTCACAAAGACAATATTTATTACTATTGAGAGAGAACTGAAAGTCTTGTGAGTTGAAAACAAAATAATAATAATAATCAAAATTACAGCTGAGAACTAAAAAAAAAATTGTTTGAAGAATTTGAAGCTATATGGATTGGAGCCTGTAGTATAATTTCAAGAAAACTCAAGCACAATGAAATAACTACATGATATTAGCAGGTACAGGGGATACACAACCATCATGCATCGTCGTTGGTACATTTGATGGCAAAGATGGTAGTCCTCCACTGGACATCAATGACATCCATCCCAGAGGTAACACTAAAATTGGATCGGTTTGTACAGCAACATGATTTTTGTTATCTGGAGAAACTTGCACTCCTACACTCTTTAAGTCCTCATTCACTGTTACCTCACGGGTATTTAACACATGTAGCTCCTCAAGGTGTGTATCTTGCAAACCTGGATGGCTGATTTGCTGACTGTCATCTTGACCTTCTGTGTCAACTGGCTCAGAGAAATTGGACTGGGAAAACAACTGCCCATTTTCATTGCAACCAGTAAATGAGACTTGTGTATGTACAGACTGATCATATAAATTACTAAATTGAGAGGCAAACTTGAAAGAAGCTTCTCTGTTTGTCCCACTTTGTAGGGATTCATAATGAGTGGAAGTGACCTCAGGACAGTCCCTCTTCTCTGCTTCAAGATAATCTTGCACTGTTGCTTCACATTGGTCCCTGTTGTTAGTTTCACACTGCCGCTCAGGCCTCTCTTCCAGAGCCGCACTCTCGCTCCCTCGGTGGCCATGGCCATTATTGCACTTCACTACAGACAGATTAGCTTCTGGCTGTATTTTAACACTCATTCCATCAGGAAACGCGTCACCTCCTCCATAAAGTAGTCCAGGGCCACTCCAATCAGAATCCTCGAGATCATGTGCTTCGTCTTCAGAAATATCATTGTCAGAAAGAGGCACTTCGACCATTTCGACTTCTTCTGGAGGAAAATTACTTGGCCACTCCAAGTCTGATTCTTCATGAGAAAATCTAGATTTTGCAGAACAATTTTCTTCATCCGCTTTTTCAGATAGGTTTGATGGTACAAACTGATGGCTAACAGGGGTAGTAGAAAGATCAACTCCTCCATTGACACCTTCATCTTCTAGCATGCCGACATTCAGTGGAGGAGTGGTGTGCTCATCTCTAGATATTTCATTGGACTCATGTTGCCTCACACTGTCTTGAAGGCTGGGACCACTTGGGTTGACATTATTATTCATCCCTTCATCATCTTCGTCATCACTAAGAACAATAATTTCTCTAAATCTCTTAAGTGTAGTATTATTGAATTTCTTCTCTACCAGATGAGATTTTGTTTTTTTAACAGGTATTGGAGAAAATTCAGCTGAACTTTTAGAAACAGCACTAAATAATTTCCGTTTCTGCCTGCAAGGTGGTTTCATCAAGAGACTTTTAGACGGGCCCTGAGAAGCAGCTGGCACAGTCTCCACAGTAGCACATTTGGCAGCAGTCTCTTCCCCACCTGCAAAAAGGTTGAGTGAAAATGAAAATGAACTGATTATTTGCAGTCAGTAAATAAATTAGTACTTCATTTCCACTATTCACAATGTTTCAAAGCCAAGGGTCAAATCATTTGCTTTTGGAAGTTTTGAAGACCTGTTTGCTTGATCCACCTTTTACAAAGAGAAAGTGCACTTACTCTCACTAATTGTTTCATCTGATGGATTCTGGTATCTGAGATGCTTCAGGTACCTTTCCCTCACAGATTGCCATGTGCGGTCTATGACAAGAGGAATGACAATCACAGTCAATAACTTCTTTCCTCTTAATTAGGAGCAGTTAGAAACAGAGATGTGATAAATACAAACCATTGATGTAATTTTTACGCTGCATTTTTATCCAAAACACGTTGCCACCAAGCGAAGTCTTAGAATTTGCATGACAAGAAACATAATTCAGAATGAGATCATCCTCATGACTCGAATAAGCTGATTTACTTTTATTCGAATTTGGTGAGTGGGATCCAGCTTTCATTCCACTTCTGAAAAAAAACAAACACGAAATAATGGAGGACCAGCTACATGTGAGAAAAATACATTACTCAAACACAATCTTACCTAAATTTGTTAATTTCGTCCTTTGATAAATTGAATGTACCAATAAATGGCATTACCCGCTTCAAGAAATGTTCTTTGAGACTTTGCCAGGAATGATTTTTTATTTTCTACACAGTGAACACAAATTCAATGAAAACATAACATTCAACAATGAATAATGAGATATGTAAATGAATGAGACAGAAGTAATACAGATAATACCAGTTCCATTCTTTTCCATAGAGTTTTTCCCAATACTTGATCAAAAGATTGTGTCTGAACGATGAAGTCAACAATTTTCTTTCGGTCATGCTGTGTGTACTCGACCCTAATGTAGGAACAATTTCGAATAAGAACAATAAGACTCAATTCTCAGCCACCGCTCCATCTCAGTTTGAATAAGTAATTAGAAGGAATACTGTAAAGAACTAACTCACCTCTTCTTGCACCTCTTCTTGGGACCATTGGCCTGTGTGAGGCGATGTTTTGTTTCCTCCACACTTACACTTTGTTCAGATTCAGATTCTTCTGATGTCTTTTCGCTTTAAAAAGGGACAAAAACAAATTAGAACCTGAACAAACAAGAATAAATTCTAACCCCAGTTTGCGCACTTACTATTGATGTTCAGCACTTTCCCAGCTAATTTTGTGTTGGAGAATATCATTCGGATTGAAACCAGCTGAAAAACAACTAATAGAGTTGCATCTGAAAAAAGATGTGAATCAAATAAGGTGAAGTTAATTACTCCTCTCATGTTTAAATGGGCCATATAACAGAGATTTCAGAATACCTAAACTGTGCAAGAGGCAAAATTTTGTTTTGACTACAGCAATGAATAATAAAATCAGATTGGAACGATTCCTGTTTTAATGTTGAGGAGTCTTGAGCATCATCTTCGAGTATCACAGTATATGGACCCAGACTCTGCTGCACCAATCCCCCACCGTGCTGTCAGGAAAAGAAAAGAAAAAGTCAAGAAGGAGGTTTCGCCCTCAATCATTACGATTGTAATGACTTCTAAATAAAGAGGGCGTTTCGAGCCGGTTCCAGCGCAGTCAACTCAAACAGAGCACCAAGGCCTGCAGCTTATTATAATTCAGATAAACATGTCATGTAGAGTGTGAGAGAAGTGAGAGGGTGAGAAGTAACAAACATACAAGCAAAACCCTGGAGAGCAAAACCAACCCCACACAAGCACCCAGTCTCATGTCCTTTCAGCTACGAACCTCGATAAAATCTTGCAACTCTTCAACATTTTTGCATCGCGTCAAGTTGAAGGTCATCGGAGTCCCATCTTGAGCGATGAACAGATCTTTCGAAAATGACAACGGACGAGACATTTCAATTTCTGTAAAAGCTAGAACTGTAGGCAGCACATTCAAATAAGTTCAGCGCCGACCAGGCGCCGACAGCGACAGCAACGCCATCTGTGGACAAGGCGCTAAGCACTCACACACACAAACACACACAGACAGCACGCAGAAATGGCTGATTCTGATACAGATGATGTGCCGACGCTGCCGGCTGATACTCTCGCAATCTTGCAACAATTTCAACAGGAACAGATCGAAAGGCTGAAGAAGCTTGAAAATGCTGGACCGAATCCGGACACCGAAGCGAATGACATAGAAATTGACGAAGACTGGGTATGTTTGTTTATGTTCATCTTGGTTATGTCGCCCAGGGTTTCAGGCCATGAGGGGAGTTTTACATGATCGAGTGCACTTGTCACAAAATAGTTATTCGAAGGATGTTATCAATTTCATTTGAAATCGGCTAACAACCCTCTGGCAATTTTTTCCCCAGCAATTAAGTCAGTTTTGGTATGATGACCACACTGCCAATGCGTTAGCCAAAGAGGCTCTACGATGTGTCGGAGAGGAAGGGAGAATCGCCTTAATTTCCTGCCCAACTCTTTACCGACCACTTGCACAGCTTAAAGGTCCTCGGTGCACAGGTCTGTTCAAACAAAGATAATTGTCATGTCTCATTGTTTGGGACATGTAATATTTTTCTCTACTGTTTGTGTTTCAGTCAATCTCCTTGAGTATGACAGGCGATTTGCTGTGTATGGCGACAACTTCATATATTATGATTACAACTCGCCTTTGGAACTACCTGTTAATCTTAAAGGATCCTTTGATTTAGTTATTGCTGATCCCCCATTTTTGTCAGAAGAATGCCTGTCAAAAGTTTCCACCACCATTAAACACCTATCCAAGGACAAAATCATCCTATGCACAGGTGTGTGGATAATGGTGTACATATTTTTTTCTCAGTGTTGAGATTTGCTTTTTTTACCCCAAAATTCTTTCCAGGTGTTGTCATGCAACAGTTAGCTGAGAGCCTACTGAGTCTGAAGAAGTGTTGTTTTGTGCCACACCACAAAAATAATCTGGGGAATGAATTTGGATGCTTCTCAAACTACGATGTGGACAGTTTTCTCAAACCTCAATAATTTTACATTATTCCAGAATTAATCTTATCATTTATTAAAAATTTTGAATTTATGAACTTATTAGTGTTTAAAACAATTTAACAATGTAATCCTTATTCACTTGGTGCATTTAAAAAACAGAAGTGCTGAGTGGTCTTTCATTTTAACATGACTTTTTCTATTCATTACTTGGCAGAGGTTGGTCTAAACTCTTAATAGCCATTTGCAGGGCGCCGTCTCTTGTCTTATTGCCACCAATGAATCCAGAGGCATGGGCAAACACACATCCATCAATGCCGGACAACTTGCTGAGCTCAGCATCCCTCAGCCCTCTCCACTCTGGATGTAAAAATAATCTGAAAAAAAAAGCAGATGATATACTTAACAACACAGTACGATGAAGACAGAAAAAAATGTTAGAAGCCTGGAGAAACATACTTTCCCACAAAGCTTGTGGCACTCTCTGGAACACCTTGAACACGCCAAGTGTCTCCTCCTCCATTGAAAATCATGAAGTTAATGCTGCTGGGGTCCAACTGCAGCTCCTTCATTAGATCAAAGTAGTGCTCTTTCCATGGACAAAATTGTTCTAGTTCCATAATTTGACCAGATGGATGAATCTAGAAAAGCGAGAATGTGAAGCTATGAAAATAAGCTTGACACCTCATAGGTACTCCACAGCAATTGCTTTTTTACCTTACCTGGAATCTAGAATTGATGGCATCAAGAACATACTTCCTAGCTGGCCACCACGCTCCACTTGCATAAGTAACACGGTCTACAAATTCACTGCCTACCAATTTTGTAGCCTTTTCGAATCTGTCCATACTTTTGGGATCTTCTGGTGGTGCATTCCATGGAGGATTCAGGTATCCAACTCGAGAACTCAAATTGGATGATATCCTATACCTGTAACAGAGTATTTTCAGTGCACATTGTGCGTGGAAAACTCGCAAATATGGTTGAAAAAATAAATTAAATGAAGCATACCTTGGTTCTCCTTCAAACATTGGCACTCCATTGTCAATGGCATCAATCTCCTGGACAAACCTCTCATAAACATAGTTAAAGATAGGTTCCACATCCTTGTCAGTCTTCAGATCAGGAACCAATTGTTTTATAACCTCACGTCCAAAGTGGCAGTAAACAAGACCAGCACTGCTAAGCCTTATATTCCATGGTTTCCCAGGCATGAGAGACGATGCAGTTTCTTGAAATTCTCTGCAAACATAATTTTGAATCTATGTATAAAAAGGGTGGTTCCCAAAATATAACAGCTTCACACACATTTTTAAAAATTCCCTACCTTTGATGATGATCATATCGATGATTACTGGGATCATATTTTCCTCCCACATCAACAACGACGTCGCACTTGTCTAATACAGCGTCGTCTCTTGTTCTGAAAATAACAGGTTACAAGGTCAAAACCATGGACAAAATGAAAATCTGTGACTGAAAAGAGGCATGAAATAAGAAGGAAAGCTTTAAATACCTCACAATTTCAGCAGTTTTGTACTGTGGAAGGAGTTTTAACATAAAACATGCCAACACTTCATCACAGTGGAACACACCGTCGTGTGTTCCGATCCTCGGAGTGGCTCGTGCAGCTTTCAAAACTGGCTCCATGGCTGCGTCAAAAATTGAAATATAAAGATTAGTGATCCACCTTTAAGCAAGGTTTAGGTTTGGCTCTAGGTTTGACGACAAGCACGCCCGCCAACAATGAGACCGGTGGCATAACCTAAACAAACAGCAAACAGTACCCCGTCGGAAACCCAAACGAAAGACGGAATCTACCCGAAACCCGCAACCACCAATCAATAGACGGAATCCGGTCCAATGGACTGTAACGACACCAAAAACAACATTTCAATAATATATACCTTTGAGATGAAGTCTTCAACGCAACTCGGATAGAGCTTTCAACTTGGAGTTGCAGTTTAGTCTCCCCTCCACCTGCCCCGGCAGTCCCACGTAGTATGAGAAATTTATGAAATGAATAAAATTCAAATTCAATGAAGCTTTGAATGTCTTTGCAGCAAAGCATAAATGTTGTCCCGTACGGATTAACAACAGACAACAACCAGCAGCAACGAAAGATGAAAGGGAGCAAGGAGAGAGCAGAGAGAGCACTCGCGTTTCCGCACGGAAACTGAAACCGCTGGCGCTCTAGTGGCCGTCTTGCGAACTACGTGTTCCTTGGTCGGAAGGGAAGGCCACGGAGCGATGCTGTCACTTCGACGAAGGAAGTCTTTGGATGGCATCTGATTTCCACTCTTTGGAGCAAAATAGTGCAAAAGAGAGAGGGTCATGGTCAAGGGGCCTCCGCGCGCTATGCGTCTCCGCCGGCTTATCCGGCCGCACATCCCCCGGATTTTCCGGAATTTTAGGTTCCAGCAGTGCTCCAGGCAGCCGCCCTTCCAGGGCACGACTTCCTAAGGGGCCGAAGCCCACGGTCGTCGCTGCGGCCTGAAAGATGCCCAGCCGCGGAGGCGGCGGACCCTCGTTGGAAGACGAGGCCGGACGCAACGTATATGTACTTGCGTCGGCCAACCTGAGTCGCCACCGCGAGGGAGGCGACGACGCCCGGCCGAGCGCCGCCGGGCCTGGCAGGGAAGCTGCAGCCAGCCTCCGCGCAGCGCTCGCAGCGCCACTGAGCGCAGCATTCGGCTGGACCTCGGCAGCCGCTCTGGGCGCCCCAGGGGCGGAGCGCGAAGTTCAAAACAGAATGTGGAACGGCACAGCCTCCTGGTTGCGAGGGAGTGCTGTCTTCGCTCTGTCTCTCTCGCACCTACACGGCACGTCCCGTGAGTGCGAGAGAGACAGAGCGATGAAAAAAAAACAAATCGGCGCTATGGAAAGGGCACCAAGTCTACAAAAAATATAACTTTATTATTATACTTAAACATTTGTTAGTGATTTGGGATGATAAGGATGTCGTTGCTGGTAGTAATGTCGTAGTTTAGAGATGATGGGGCGTGTGTTGTGGTAGGGCTCGCCAACGCAAGTTGGGACCCCTGGGTGAGTGTCCGTTGACATAATCAAGCGGTGGCCTTTCCCCTGTGACCCTGCAACAAACAAATTAAACGCGGTTTCCAAATTGCAATCGTACAAAATAAAGCAGGCAGTGGCAGCTCCAGGGAAAAAGAAGAGGGGGGCTTGCATGCCCCCTTTTTTTCTGCCGAGAGGTAGGCGAAAAGTGTGACTTGGCCCCCTCTCCGAAATACAGAGCGCGTGACCCATTGGCGGGGTCACACGTTCTGTTCGAGTCCCATTTAGCGACTCTGGAGCTCAAAACGCGTCTAGAATTTTGGCCGCCTCCGTCGGTCTTCTGGCCCACTGTGCACGTCTGCCAAAACTCACGTTGACTCCGTTGGTGCCGTTGGTGCCGTTGGTCTTGACGTGGTGGCCGTTGACGGGCTCGGCCAGGTCGCCGTCGAGGTCCTCCAGCTCGGCCAGCACCTCGTCGAGCACGTCCACGAAGGTGTCCACGTTCTGCATGCTGAACACCATGGGCGGCTTGAGCTTGAGGACGTTGCGGTCGGGCCCGTCCGAGCTGAGCAGGATGCTCTCGTCCTTCATCCTGGACAGCACGTGCTGCGCCTCGGCGGTGGCGGGCGTGCGCGCCGCGCGGTCCGTCACCAGCTCGATGCCCACGAACAGCCCCACGCCGCGGACGTCGCCGATGAGGGCGTGGCGCTGCTGCAGCGCGCGGCACCGCTCCAGCAGGTGGTCGCCCACCTCCTTGGCGTGGCCGCGCAGGCCCTGGTCCTCGATCACCTGCATCACGGCGTTGGCCACCGCGCACGACACGGGGTTGCCGCCGTACTGCGGGACAGTACCACTGTTAACGCAGGGTTACCGCAGCAGGCGCGGATCCAGGATAAGGCATCGAGGGGTAAAGCGGCGCTAGTTGGCTACCTTCCCAGCCATCGCTATCGACGGCTGGACCACACATTACCGCCTGCCTTTCGGTCCCGAATGCCCTCCCCCTTCTGGATCCGCCCCTGTTTACATGTTGTGAATGTCTCCTCACCGTGTTAAAGTACTCCACCCCGGTGTCTCGGAAGCTGTCAGCCACGGCCCTGGTGGTGATGACGGCGGCCACGGGGTAGCCGTTGCCCATGGGCTTGCCTGCACAGCCAGGACAGAATTCAATGCCAACAGACTGTGCCAATGCGGTACTCTGGAAACGGCGGATGGGTGTACACTGTTGACTCTTGTGTGAGTCAACCGGAAGGTTACTGCTGATTATTTTCAACTAGACTAGACAGGCATGCTGTGTACAAATGGTGTACACATGTACAAAGTGTACATGCGAGAGGGATGGACTTACCCATGGTCACGATGTCGGGCACCACGTCCTCGCCCTGCAGCTGGAAGGCCCAGTAGTGGCTGCCCACCCGGCCGAAGCCCACCTGCACCTCGTCGGCGATGCAGACGCCCCCGGCGGCGCGGACGTGCCTGCAACCAGACGGCCAAGTCAATGCCCCGGGTTCAAATACCACACCGTCCGGAGGGGATGAAATACCACAATCCATTGGTCAAAGTTTCAGCTCGGCCGATAGCGCTGTGGTCCTTTGGTTTCCCAGTGCACGCACGCGCGGCACTCACCTGAACACCTCGCGCAGGTAGTTGTCGGGCGGGATGACCTGGCCGCCGCAGCTCTGCAGGCTCTCGGCGATGTAGCAGGCCACGCCGCCGCCCGGGCGCGCGGACGCCTTGTCGCACAGCGCGCGCACCTCCTCGGCGTACAGGGCGCCCATGTCCTCGCCGGGGTGGTCGCAGTCCCGGAACTTGCCGCGGTACACGTCGGGGCACGGCGCCTGCGAGGGAGAGAGAGGAAATCAAGGCACAATGGCACAGCAGACGTCATTCAAGGCCGAATGCCACAGCGTCACTATTCAGTTCTAATCTGCCAGTTTAACGAACGGGGAAGGCAGCGACACTTAAAGGGACCCTTGCTGATTTAAAGATTCCTCCCCGCCACGGATGAGGGCAATCAACGCGCCCGCGAGAGGGGGATCCCATGTCGTCTCTCTCGCACCCACCGGCGCAGGCCGGGCCTCGCCGAGGGCCTCGCCACTACGTACCACGTGCACCCAGTCGGCCTGCTGGTGCCCGGGGATCATGTTGAACTTGTAGGGCGAGATCTCGATGAGCGAGGACAGGTGGCCGTGGTACGCACTGCGGAACAGAGCGGGGGCGGGTTAGTGCGGGACAGAGAGACACGCCGCGTGAGCGAGAGAGACGTACTGGTCCAGGGTGATGACGTCCTGGTGGCCGGTGTGCGCGCGCGCCAGGCGCAGCGCCAAGTCGTTGGCCTCGGACCCCGAGTTGACGAAGAAGCACACGGACAGCGGCTCCGGCATGAGGTCCGTGAGGCGCTGCGCGCACAGCACCAGGTTGTCGTGCAGGAAGCGGTTGTTGGTGTTGAGCACGGACAGCTGGCGCGAGGCGGCAGCCACCACGTCGGGCTGGCAGTGGCCCACTGGGGGAACACGTTTCGGTTTTACTCATTCGGGCAGAAAAGCTTCCAGTGCCAAAGGATTATTAAGTACACACTTCGGGTTTTCAGTGTGTTGTCAGTCATAATAGAAACGTGGCCGGGTGTTCTCCAACTCGGACCTACAGCGGCGAGGTGCGGCGATGCCCACTGACATCAATTATTGCCGATCTATCTATCGATCTTGCCCCCAGCCTCGCGGCGTGGCGGCCCCTCCTGTCCCCGGCCGGCAGATCCAGGCTCGGACTGGCCCCCAAAAGGCCCCGGCAGATAAGACCGCAAAAGGCCCCCGATCATCATTGTTTTTACCCTTCATGACCAACTTTGTAAGGCTACCGCTCCCAAACTAGTTGCGGTCAATAGCCTTCCCGTACAGGACATGAAAGAGTAGGGTCTTAAGAATTCTAGGGCGTCGAGGGAGGCCTTTTACGGCAACTAGATTGGACACAGTGGCCGCCCAAAGTCAGCAAAATCAGCAAATTTCCGAGATTCGACCACTTTTCGACCAACTTTGGTCCCAAAATCGTTGCGGTCAAAGGCAAAATCGTTGTGGTCAACGTCTTCCCGACACAGGGCATGAAAGAGTAGGGTCTTGAGAATACTAAGACGTCGAGGGAGGCCTTTTACGGCAGCTAGATTGGACACAGTGGCCGCCCAAAGTCAGCAAAATCAGCAAATTTCCGAGATTCGACCACTTTTTGACCAACTTTGGTCCCAAAATCGTTGCGGTCAAAGGCAAAATCGTTGTGGTCAACGTCTTCCCGACACAGGGCATGAAAGAGTAGGGTCTTGAGAATACTAAGACGTCGAGGGAGGCTTTTACGGCAGCTAGTTGGACACAGTGGCCGCCCAAAGTCAGCAAAATCAGCAAATTTCCGAGATTCGACCACTTTTTGACCAACTTTGGTCCCAAATCGTTGCGGTCAAAGGCACAAATCGTTGTGGTCAACGTCTTCCCGACACAGGGCATGAAAGAGTAGGGTCTTAAGAATACTAGGACGTCGAGGGAGGCCTTTTACGGCAACTAGATTGGACACAGTGGCCGCTCAAATTCAGCAAAAACGGCTACTTTCGGACATTCAATTACTTTTTGACCAACTTTGTGACGTTACTGGTCACAAATCCGAAGGCCCCGGCAGATTTTTCTGCCTGTCTGCCCTGGCCAGTCCGAGCCTGGGCAGATCTGCAAGTGCATCCGCCGTCCTGTGGCTGGCGGCCTCGCGGTCGCCGCGGCACAGTGGCCGCTAGGTGCAGTCCACGCCGCACACGCCGTGCACGCCGTGCACGCAGTCAAGTGGCCGTTGACTTCCCCTTTATCAGTCACGAGACCAGCCCCGCCCCGCCCCCGCCCTCGCCGCCAACCCGTTGCCCCCCCTCCCCTTTGTTTCCCTGTGCCCCAAGTCCCACCCTCCAGCCACCGCCTGCAGTGCAGGCCCTACGGACGGTGGCTGGCGGCACGAGGGGTCTCTCTTTCTCTTGGGCCGGCGGGTCGCCCACTGACCTACATCCCCGTGCATGCGCCTTGCACTGCGCCGCCACTGTGATGAAAAGGGAAAGATGAGACCGCTCGACTTGGGCTCTGTCTGTTTGCAGCAAGGGTTGTCAGTGACTTGTCACGCGCCGCGAAAGGAGCGGCGAGGTCCTGTTGACGCTCCTTCCGCTCTCGATGAAAGTGTTTGCGGGCGTCTCGCGGGCGGGCGGGGCGGGGCGGGGCGGGGCGAGGCCCGCGCTGCGGGTTGCGAAGTGGTGAGGCGACGATATTGTCAGTGACCCGTGACCTTGCCGGGTCAGACCGTCAGACTGGCTCAGTGCCGTCGTCCCGCACCGCCACCCGCACCGCAAATAGACGCCTATCGAACTGATTCATCTCGTCTCGCAAAGACGGCCGACGCGGCGACCCACGCGACGGCCCGGACTTGGTGGGCCTTGCCGCGCGCCCCTCACGTGCACCGTGGGCACGTGCATCATTCATACACGGTCGGCCTGTCAGTCAGCCGGTGGTCAGAGCAGTGGCCATCCATTCATTTATTGGCCACTCATTTCTTGCCCATTCATTTATGGGTTCGTTCGTCCCCCCTACCATGTGACACGTTGTTGATGCAGTCCAGGTAGGCCCGCCCCTGCTCGTCGTACATGTACTGGGCCTCGGCGCGCACGATCTTGAGGGGGTCGGAGCGGAAGAAGAGCTTGCACGACTCCCTGAAACACAAATATGATTTTTTTTTTCAGGAAAATGAAAACGATGTTCATCAGAGCGTGGGTTAATTATCTCGTGTATCAGCCAGCACTCTTTTCATAAAATCCGTTGCTATCCCCGATAGGAGTCGTTCACTTATTTTCGTAACGTTTTTCACAGCTCTGTCCTGGCTGCTCTTATGGACTGCCAATGAGCGCGAGAGAGGCAGAAGACGTTACGTAACTAGGACAGACAGCCAGTTTTCAGGAAGAGCAGGACAAGGGAGAGGGGCCCGGGAGGGGAGGGCGAGGAAGTCTCGCTACGAATTAGGTCACCAATAGTCTGGATAAGGGGCCATGGGACTTTGAGACGCGCCGACTACACTAGGCATTTGTGCCCCAAACGAAAGAGGCTCGAATAAGATACCAACTCTTCATTCCCCAGAGCCCTCTCTTGAAACACGCGAATAACATCTTTCACGCTACACTGTCCAATCGTTGGACGGGGTGTAACCGGTGCAACCCAGTCTGCGAGGCGCAGAATGCCAAACGTGCGATCGCTATCGCGTCATCGCTCGGATTATCGGTGGTACCCCGTTTCCATTTAGGTTGCCGTGCGAAGTACTCGGGAAAACAGTGGTGAAAACAGCCGGCCAAAATAAGTCGGCCGCTTCCCGACGCGAGATTGCGCGCCGTGCGGTGCCGTGCGGTGCCGCGGCACTTTTGGGTGCACTACGATAAGCGGCTGCCGTACCAAGCCGTCAGCCTAGGGACCCACCACGCGGCCAAGACGGGGCCACTGATGCCGGCGATGCTGGCGGCCACACTGCCAACGACGACCTGCAAGTCGAGTTGTCCGGCCCGGCTCACAGTGGGCCAGCAGACCGGTGGAGGCGGCCAAAGTTCTAGACGCGTAGCTGGCCCCATGTGCGTCTCCACTGCTGCGCATCACTTTTGCGACTGTTACAGTACTGCGACAAAAACACTCGTTTCGCAACGACAAGCTTTCGCGCCTCGCACGACCTACCCCTCACCGCCTTGGCGCTTTGCACAACGTTGGGCAACGCAGCTCGCTTATCATCTGCCCCCTCCAAACCCCCCTCACGATTCATTGGTACACACACATTGTTACAGTGGAGTGCAGTGTACTGCATTGCATGCGTGCAAAGAGATAGACGTCGCAGGGGATGCGTGCGAGACTGCCCGCTGTCGTGAGGGTTGTGGGGTCAATGCAGTCCTTGACGCAGCCCCGCCCACCCGGACCGCCCGGCAATCCCGTAATGGTAATGGTAATGTAAGTAGGCAGCATGTCCTCAGGGACTAGCCTACCGGCCAGGCGCCCTGTCGACAAGCCCGGTGCTAGCTCGGTGGACGTGAGGCCAGCCTGCGCCCTCTTGAACTTGAACTTGAGAGGCTGGGCCACAAATGATGGCACGCCGTTTGGCGGCGGTGCAGTCCGCCCCGCGCCCCGCCTCGTAGTGTAACAGGCGCTCGGTGGCCGCGGTCGGGGAGGTGGAGGCCCGCGGCGGCAGCGATCGACCGGGTCGGACCGGGCCATCTAGGACGCCATCTAGGACGACCCGTCTCACCTGCAGCGGGGCAGCGAGGCAGCGAGACAAGCCAAAGCTGCGACGCTGCGCCACCGCACTGCTAGTGACGTCCTTCCGCGCCTTGCCTACACTGTCAGCACATCCAAGCATCCAGGATTCTTTCGTGATGATGATGATGATGATGTCGAGGTGTTCATTAATGAATAATTATTCAAAGTCAGAGAAGCAGACTGGGGGATGCAGGAAGTCACTATGCGGCTCGTCTGTACATCCGGACACAAATTAACACACACACACACACACACACGAACGCCCTTCGCCGTCCCACTGCCCCATTTAGTGCAACCTTGCTTGCACTTGCACTCAAGTGCACACGTCAATCCCAGTGCAGGCGACGCAACGCCTCCGGAAACGCGCGCGACTTGATTAGAGAAAAAAAAGTTGCATCTCATTATGATGGAAATAGACCTGCCGATGTGTCCATAGCGGGCGTTTTGAGGTTTCTCCAGCCCCTTTACGTGACGGAACTAATTAATGCGCAAATGAATGCGAAATAAAATGCTCCACCATCCTTTGAGCGCGCGTCCAGGCAGCCTCCTCCTCGAGTGTCTCGACCGTGAGAGTCGTTATCACGTTGGCTTAGTTTTCGCGCCACTGTATGTCTGTCTGTCCGTCCGTCCGTCCGTCTGTCTGTCTGCTCGCCGCGGTACAGCCGAGCCGTCCAGCCTTCTTGGCAACAAACTGTCTTCGCCAAACACTCTGCGCCGCGCGCCGCCGGTTAGCGACACTGCTACCGAGGCGCGCACAGCGGCACAGCGGCGCTCAGTGGAGTGTACTCTCTGTACAGCGCGCAGTGCACTCTGCAGGCTGTGCAGTGCAGCGGGGCTCTGGGGCTCAGCAGGGCGCGAAAGTCAAGTGTGACCAAGTGTTCATTCCGCCGTATCACTACCACTTGGATCACTTTAACGAGGCTTGCCCATCACTATCGCGGCGAGCTCTCTCTCTCCCTCCCTCTCTCTCTCTCACCCCTTCGGAACCCCCCCCCCCCCTGGGTGCGACAGAGACGGGGATACTCCGAGGTTATCAGGCCGTGACATAACAAGGATAACGCGAGGCCCGTCGGTCGCTGAACCAGGTGGGTGACCAAATGTCACGGACCGGACGAAACAAAAAAGTAAAAAATTAGAAATAGAATTAAACAGAAGGGATGATGACGTCCGCACCGACCTATTCATTCCAAGGATTATTTCTCTGAGTTTTTTTGGTTTAAATCTCAGTCTATTTTCGTACCCCGCCCAGCTCTCCGACGCACAAATATCGATAATGCTAAAAAAACAAAATGCTTTCCAGCTCGCTTAAACTTAATTTTCAGAGGGATTTTTTTGTGTGATGTGATGTCTGAGTGTAGCCAATGACCATGACTGGCAGGCGCATACTTGCTTTATCTACCTTTTTGCAACCTTTTTTTTTTTTTTTCAAATTTCCATTTTTTTAAAATTTAAAGCAATGGTGGAGGCTGGGGCCACCACAGGGAGGGAAGGCCACCGCAGGAGCGTAGAGCACTCGCTGGCCTTTTTTGCGCAGGTCAGTGTGGGGCGGGGTGCTGCAGTTACGAGTGCAGCTGCACCCCCACGACCCTTATCGAAAGATAATCAAAATCGCACTGGCCTAATCAATCTTTGCTAATTTAAACCTCTCTTATGCTCACACGCTGACTTTGTTCGACTAACAGCTTGACTCGAGGGGGCAAATACAGGTTCAATGCCACAGAGCCACAGCGTACCGAGTAGTCAGTACAGGATTTCCCGAGGTGTTTACCCCTTCGGCGTGGCTGGCCAAGCTCAATCACACCACCAGTCAAAACATTTTACGACTTTCCCCGAACTCCTCGCACAGCTGGCCAACCTACTCACCCCACAAGTCGCTTCCTCAGCCGGATGGTGTCGGACTTGGACATGTGCTCCAGCGGGTCCAGGCCGTCCAGGCTGGCGCTCATCTTGGTGCTAGCCATGACGCTGTACTGGGTCCTGAGGTAAGCACCAACGCCAAGCAACGCCGAGCCTCCGCAACGCTCACGCCGATACGACACGAAACGCTCACTCAGATCCACGGCGAACTCCCGCGGCTCCCGGTTCGACGGGCGGGGGGGGGCGGGGCGGGGCGGGGCGGGGCGGGGCGGGGCGGGGCGGGGCGGCGGCGAGACCGCGAGCAGGGAGCAGGGGGCACGAGCGGGGACTCCTTTTTATCTCGGAGTGAAACTGTCGCATATTAGTCCCCCCAGTCCCCTCCACTGTCGGCACCGCCAGTCTATCCGTCCATCGTCTATCTCGGGCGGGCTTGTAACGTGTCTATGTACACTCTGACGGCCAAATCATAATCGTGAAAAAAATGACAAATATTAACAACAAAAAATGACAAAAAATAACAAAAAAAAACATTGACAAAAACATTAAGAAAAACGAGGACGGGTGGGCGATCGCATCAACAAACCTGGTAAATGTTTCATTGTATCGGTGACATGTATGGAGAGATGGACGCACTCTCCCGCCAATTTCCTCGTTGCGGATCGCTAGCCTCTGTGGATAATTTCAGGTGTCATGTCTGCTACTGCAAAAAATTGACTGGATGTATGCGCGTGTTGCGCAGAATTGAGAGCGGGGGTTTGCCTGGAAGGCAGGCAACCCAACAGCCTCGGGACTGTGGCTAGCGCCCGCTGGGTAGGCAACCCAGCGGCCGTTTCGATGATAACGCGAGCGCCGAACCTGGGAGCCTTGGAGGGGGAAGGGGCGGGGTGTGGAGGGTGAGGGGTGTGAGTGAGAGGAGGGGGGAAGCTCGTGACCCCTTAAACAGCTGAGAATCGAACAACACAGTCGCGTGCGGTGCGAAGTTCGCAAACAATTTTATTTGTCATCACGCAGCACACCGCGAAATCAATTTCTTTGCCGAAGAATTCATGGCCTTTATTTTCTTGGCTTGCTACCTTTCTAGTGGACACCAAACTAGAAACTTAAGAAGAAGAGGAGGAACAGAAGCTGGCCAGTAGGCCACTGACAGCCCAACCAAAACGCCAGGCCAGACTACCCCCACCCTTTCTCCACCCCCTGCTGCTGCAGCCCTCCCTGATCTCGTTCCAGAATTTTCCTGCCTGGACGGAAAATTAAATTTTCTCCAGGTGACTGTGACGGGGTTTCGGTCCGCCCAACTGTGTGGTGGCTTCTGTGTTGTTCGGAACGTTTGGTCGCCTGGAGACCAGGAGCGCTGGTCCGATGGTGCTGCTACACTGTCATGTTGGTGATTCTCAAGTGCTTGTTCCCATTGCTGCTGATCGCCCCGCTTTTGGTTTCGGTCAGTTCAAGTGAGCCTAGAATCAGGGCGGCGGGGAACGGATCGCAAGAACGCCAGTACCTTCCCGAGGGGCCATACGTCAAGTGCTCTTTTCTGTGAGTACCGTGGCTCGAGTTTGGTTATGTGCTGTTGAGTGTTTACCTCATCATCTTCCCTGCCACTCTCCTTCAGGATTTTCAGTTCCAGTAATAACATTTTGTCTGCTTGTGTCCAGGCCCCTGGAGTTCTTGGACTGCGAGGAGCCTTTTGACCACAGAGGAAACAAGACTGCTCGAGACCAGGCTGGACACGGTTGTGTTAAGGTGAGTTGAAGTCGGAGGGGATAGTTTTTCATTAGATGCCTGTATGAACTCTCCAAATGTTGTATTTTTTGCAGTTTGGTGGATCACGTTATGAAGATGTAGAGAAGGCGAAGGTCAACTGCAAGGTGCTCCCCGAAATAGAGTGCTACGGGTCTAGGTCCTTTGTGAAGGATGGCTTCCCATGCATCAAGTAAGTTTTCTACTCAAATACCTGGTGCTCTCTAACCAGTTGATTTGTTACATTTGTCTATAGCCTGCAATGATTTTGTTTCAGGTATGGGGGTCACTATTTCACCACGACTATAATCTATAGTATATTGTTGGGGTTCCTAGGTATGGATCGCTTCTGCCTAGGGCAGACAGGAACGGCCGTTGGGAAACTCTTAACTCTTGGTGGTGTAGGTATTTGGTGGATAGTTGATATCATTCTCTTGGTGACCAACGGACTTGTGCCGGATGATGGTACAAACTGGAATCCCAGGTCATAATTTTGCTTATATTGTCTGAGGTTATCAGAAGTTTGTAATTGAAAACTGCGCCATGCATAGCATACTTGGTATGAACAATATTCCCCATAAGGATGCTTCAGCATGGGATCTTCGCACTGAAGTGAGGGAGGAGTGTGAATTACCCAGGCATCTTGGGAAATCGCTAGACATGGAGTCGAGTTTAGTTGGTAAAGAATTGGACAATTCTCAGTTACATAAAAGTAATTCACTAGAATCCCTACCACTAGTTCGACGGAAGAGCGGGTCTGCAGACAGCATTCCTAGTTTAGTTCATTATGCTGAATTTGGTGGGGATTTCCCTCTAGCATCAAATGGATGTGATCACAAAACAAGCATTACCAAACTTAACCGAAGGGCTGCACGATGTAAGCCTTCTCTCTTTCTTCCCGATCGTGGAATCCACAGGTTCGATGAGGGACATTACCATATTAGTAAAGAATGGAAACAACATAGAATTCGCAGATATCACAAACAACAGAGATCACCGAACCTTTTAGAGAAGTTGAAGAAACATCAGGTGCAGCCTAGAGGGAGCAAAGTGGCTGATTATATAATGGCAGAATTAATTCCAAGCGTTGCTAAAATGACATGCCGTGACCCAGAGGAGGAAACAAGTACCCCTGGCCATTTCTGAAGTTAACCTTGTTTTTTGTTGCAATTTTTTAATTAACCAGATTATTCTGGAGAGCCATAGGAGAGGTTTATTTTAACCAATAGTTTGCAAATTATGTTTCAATGTTAAAATCTCTTATGGTTTTGGTGTGGTTTATGGATTGGTTTAAGATTCACAGAATCTATTGCTCCTATATTTGCTCTCCATTTCTTTATTTATAACCTTCTCTTTTTTTCCTTTAAATGCTGTGATCCTCTCATTACCTATGTGCATTTCTTATTAAAACAGAGTCATGGTTGCTGTTGTTTTTTCTTTCTCATTTTTTATGTTGCAAGAAGCACTTAAATTTCATAATTGTGCTTGTAACAGAATAACCCATTTGTTTCTTATTTATTCTTCTTCATTTTTATTTTGATTGTATTCTATTTCCAAATGTCTGGAATTAAATTATGTGTGTGTTAGATTCAGTCAGAGAATTTGTCTTGTGATCTCTTAGTTGGTTCCTGTCTCCCATAGGGCTGAGACTCATTTGTTGCAAGAAAAATTGTTAAGCTGCATTCACATTCATTGCTCTGCTGATTATTTGTTGATGCCTGCATCTTGAAAACATCAGCACACCAATGAGCATGAATCCATCTTGAGGCTTTTATCAAGTTAAGTAATTGACTTGCCACAAAATATATTGTCTCTAATCACCTGTAACCTGATATATGGTATTATTCCCTTGTTGATGTAAATAAGTGTTACCTGCATTAAATTGTGAAGAAAGTACTGAGCCTTTTCATTTAAGTGTTTGATAAATTTTATGTATGTTGCAAAGATAATTGTGATTTTGATTTTAGTTAATCTGTTTATTCAATATTGTCTCAAAGTGGCTACCATCAAGGGTGGCGTATGGATACTATTTTTATTCTATTCAGTTGTGATATGTAGTTGTTACGATTATGATGTCCCCAATTGTTTCAAGTCTGTCAGCTATACCTTGGTGGTTCTGTTCAGTTCTCCAAGCCATCATTCTGCTACATTTGCAGCCAGTGTAGCATGGTTGCAATGGTTCCATGCAGTAGGGTAATCTTCCTCCATCAACAATTGTTGGCTTGGAACGTTTTAAAAGACTATCTATTCAGATTTGTGCATTTTGAATATCATCTCATTGTTCTGTATGTGTTACAATTAATGTTATCTTGAAATTAATAAAGTGGGTGAAAAAAAGTAAATGTATTGCAGAAATAATTTAGTAAGCAGTGGTCCAGTACCTCATTTATTGGTCAGCCACAACCCTGTTGGAGAGGGTTGGATGGTATTGCTAGACACTGACACAGTACCATACCAACAGACAGCATAGGTATTGTAGTACAGCCCATAAAATTGTATGCAACAAAAATAAATTGAAGTTACATTAACATGGATTCAAATGATGGTGAAAATATGATTCCCCATTTTGAACCCTCAGGTACACAATTATCTACTGCATTAATCTTTTACTAAAAATAATACAAGCATACTAAAAATTTAGAAGCATCTGAATAAAACTCACACTTAAAATAAAAAAATTGTAGATAACATTATGTGTCTTTCCTCCTTCTCTTAATGTTCACCTTCAAATTTAACTACAAAAAGCTTTCAGCATGATCCAGCATGCAACATAGAGATTCTCATAAGTCATGGAAAGCTGGTGCTTATCAGCAAATGAAATGTAACCAAGTACCTCCCAAGAAAAAAATCACAACACCATACTTGATCAAAACGTTGCTGAAAGATATTTCAGAACTGTCTTTTAAGTACATAAGAGCCTATAGCCAATATATCATTCAATGTACGGTGCAGGTCGATTCCTCCGTATACTTATGGAACGACCAGGAGTTTGAGATCAGACAACCACAGCTTCAGTTTGGCCCCCCTTTGTCACCAAGCTAACCAGGCTACCAGATGCCGGGCGCCCTTCATTTTTGGACCAACGCACGAACAAACTGTAATTGAGAGAAGTTACAACAAAGGTATTATTAATTGAATAAAATACAAGAATTGATTTATGAAATGTTGTACAGTCACAAGAAAGATCAACTCACTCAGCAATGTACTCCAGAGACGTCCAGGTGGTGGTGTCAGCATCTGGCATCCACTTGCGGTTCATGGGAGTGTCTAAAGTGATTGGCAAAATGGATGCCACAAACGCATTGGCAGGAAGGCCACTGTTTGGCGCAGCCAATGACTGTGTTAGTTGGTGAATTGCTGCCTTGGCCATGCCATATCCAATCATTCCTACAACAACATATTTAGGCAAAATGAAAAATTTGGAATACTAACATGAAAAGTAAAGACCAAAATTATTCATTAACTACTTACCTGGGGTACCACTAGTGGCTGCTTTAGCGCCAGGAAGGGTGACGATTCCTCCCTCCTTGAGATGCTTGGAAGCAATGGCAGCAGTAATGCATGAACTCCAAACACTCTGGCGCCACATTAAGTCAGCATTAGCAATAAAGTCTGTAAACAAATGAAAAGTTTTGTAGACTCACAAGGAACAAAAAAAAGGAGGCAAGTATGATTGATGGTTTTATACTTTTTACCGTACCTTTGCTTGCAGCATTGCCTCCAGCCCACCCTCCAGCAACATTGATGATAGCTTCAACCTTGTTGCTGCCTAGTACTTCTTCCACTTTGGCGAGAACCTGCTTTTCCTACAAAACAAACGGAGAGAGAGAAGGGAGTCATAAGTATGAATTAAATGACAGAGGTAAAAGAACATATCAGGATCGTAATTTTAAATAGATGAGCGTTCGCTTACCTGTGCAGTCCAGTTTTCACTTGGCTCGACTATAATGCTAGCGTCAGCTTCTTCCATCTCCTTCATGTCGATTGAAGCAACCCACTGTAACAAGAAAGTCAATAAGTTAAAACAAATGCAACAAGTAATTGTAACGGCTCAGAGTGACAAAACTTGACGACAAGCATCGTACTTGTCATCTTGCCATTCTGCGGCAGGTGATGAAAATGCAAGTGCCTGATCACGCCTCGCAGCAGCAAGGTCACATTCTTGCGGCTCGAGCAAGGGAAACCAGTTTCCATGCCACCGAGTCAAGAGGTTTTCTTGCATAGCAGGGTTACAATTCTGAGATAACCTCCTACCGCTATCAATGAAAGTATCCACAACAATGACTCAACTACCAAAAGGCCGTCTGCAATCCCCAATTTAAGTGGGGCAACAAGATCGAAAGCCGAGGCTGGCGGCTCGGTGCGTTCACGTTCGCACGGCCGCTCGGCTACCTGTTGAAGGCCTTGCTCCTCTCTTTCGCTCACCCAGTTGATCTTCTTGAAGTGCTTGACGCAGGCCGAGCCCAGGGCGCCCTTGCCCCCGTAGATGACCACACGGCCGCTGAAGGACATGGCGACTGGAGTGAGATTTCAGTGACTTGCTCTCAATTTCAGCTCAGCTGGGCGGACGCGGACGACGACGGCGAGATGGCTGGTTGGTTGCAGCTCTCCAGGGGCACTCCACGGCGGGGACTGACTGACAGTGCGGTGGACGGCCGGGCAGCGCGCCAGCGCCCCCTCGTGGCGCGCCGCGGAAGCTGCAGCCTTCTCTCTCGCGCACTTGGCGCAAGCCCGACTCGATCACTTGGTCGGTGTTTCCATCCTTGTCGCGAGAATCGAGCGAGCCGCGGGGCGCGGGGCTGGGGGAAGCAAGGGGCCGGGAAGGGGCCCCACTCTCCGCTCTGGACCGCAAAGTGCGTCCGGAAGCACCACTCGAGCACCTTTTGTCTCTGTCCTCCCCATCGGGCCAGCCACGGCCAGTGCGAGAGAGACAGGCGGCCTTTTCGAACGCACCCAGAAGCAGTGGGAACGGGCCGATAAAGAGGCGGCGGCGCGAGGAGGACGGGCCGACGGCGTGAGAAGACGGAGGCGGAGAGAGACCTGGGCTGGCTCCGAAAACAGCCGGCTTCTGTTCCTACAGTGAAGCAGCATCATGGCAGCCCTGGGGCAGTGGGACAGAGATAAGCCCCCAGGGACTTGACTTTTCGAACGCACCCCTGTGCGTGGTACAGTGTGTCGCGCTTCTCTAGCGCCACCGCAGACACGTCAGCTGCCACTTGTTGCAGTTTTACGCGCAGGGAAGTCCCCCTCCCCCTCCCCCTTCCCCCGCAGGCCTCCGCGCGACTCCGCAGAGCCCAGTCGGGTTTCCCGGGGCGTGTTCTCCGGTAGAGTGCTGCAGACGCCATCCACCTGTTACCTGTCGGCATTCGTCTTCAGTCGTCGAAGGCTCTGCACAGCCCTACAACAGCCGCGCCCACCGCGCCACGCCACGCCGAGCCCACCGCCCGGGAGGTAGGCATCCCACCAGCCTGCGATGCCCGAGACGCGCTGGCTGGGATGCCTACCTCCCGGGCGATACGTGGACTGCAGTCTGCGGGCAAGCGCGGGTCCAGCAGACTCGTCGGTCTGTCTCTCTCGCACCCTTATTGGGCGGCCCATGAGTGCGAGAGAGACAGACAGTCTGCGTCCGGTCGCGGTGCGAGGGAGACAAGAAGCACTGTGGACTCTGAGACGATCGGAGGCGATTCATCTTCCAGTCGGGGCAAAGTGAATATTGGTGTAGGGCCGAGGCGGCTCGACAATAGGGGTGGGGCACTGGCGGTCAATAGGCAGCGGGAGAGGGAGAGAGAGGGAGAGAGGGACAGACAGACAGAGACGGAGGTCAACCCAGAGACAGAGAGAGGAGCCACCGAGGACCCACCCTCCGGAAGCCCCCCTCTCCTTCCCCTCTCCTTCGCGTCTCCCCTCCAAATCACTTCTCTCCCAGACACAGAAAAAAAGGTTCAACTCACAGAAATGATAAACGATGTGGCTTTTAGGATCTATGTACATAAAGTGTTTAATCTCCAACAAAGTTGGAATACAAAAGATCGACAGACACTAACACTATTTAACTAGATAAACGCGATCAACATGTTGAAGCCCACCGCCTGTCGGCGATAGGGCATTCCTTTGGTCTCTGCTCTGCTTTGGCTCGGGGCTGTGGCTTGGCTTGGGAGGCTCGGCCTGCCACGGTCTGCGGAATGAAGTAGCACATCGGTGCGGACTGCGGACGGAGATCGCCACCTGCAGACTGATTCCGAGAGTCGGAATCCCGTCGTCACGGCCGTGTCACGGGCGCTACGGCGGGGGCACCATCGTCGACGTGACGGTCGCGGCCTCCAGCGGCCCTCCCTCCGTCACGGCTTCAACCTCCTCGGTGACGGCCTCGGTGGTGGTCGCCATGGTGGTGGCCTCGGTGACGGCGTCGGTCGTGGTGGCAGCGGTTGTCGCCATCGCCATCCTGGGCGCCTCGTCACCGCCCAGCCTGACGCGGAAGGTGTTCCTGGAGGGGCCCTTGACGGCGTCCTCCTTGCCCGCGCCCTCCTTGACGGCGTCCTCCTTGACGGCGTCCTCCTTGGTGGCGTTGACGGCGTCCTCGGCGGGGTGGTGGCACTTCCTCAGGGGGCAGCAGCCCGGGTACACGGCGTCCTCGTCCCCAGGGCTAACGGTGCAGCCGGGCGCGGGGATGAACCACGGGCACCTGCAGGACGGCCGCGGAGGTCGCAAGTCAGAAACACGTGGAGGACTGGGGCGCGGGGCGCGCGAAGGTGGCGCGGGGAGAGAGAGAGACGCTACTCACGTGAGGGCGGCGATCTGGTCGTCGTCCTCGCAGAGGTACTTGGCGCACTTGTCCGGCGGGCCCGTGGCCCAGCGCTCCCCCACCGCGTAGGCCCTGCCCCTGAAGGTGCAGCCCCGCACGCCGTGCTGCTCCTCGGCCTTCTGCTCCTCCTCGCAGCGCACGCCAGGCACGCCACCTGCAGCAGGACAACCACATCGTCGCACGCGGGTCGAGTCCGAGTCCAAGTTCAAACCGAGGACCGTCTCGACCTTGCGGGGAACGGAACGGAACGGCGCTCAGCAGAGCGATCTGTCGCTGAGTCTCTCTCGCACTCTCATGCAGAACCCCAGGAGTGCGACAGAGACGGCGCGGCGATGCGACTCTTCCGAATCGCCCGACTATTTGGGTTTCCCGGCGGCACCTCTGACCCCCGGCCCGGCTACATCCTTGTTCCCCTGCAGCTCCGTGCTGGCGGTCCTCTCCCGCCTCTCTCGCACCTCTACGGGACGGCCCATGAGTGCGAGAGAGACAGAGAGACGGCGCTGCTGTCCCAACACGTCAGCCGGCGTCAGCGCCGCTCGCGTAGGGGGCGTGTCTGACCCGACACTCGATAATAGCCCCCTCCACACACACACACACACACACACACACACACACACACACACACACACACCAAAAAAAATCTTTTCTCCCTCTGTCACGTGGTGCCACACAGGGAAGTCAGTGGAGGCGAGGCAATCGTAGATGTGGGGTGCCAAGCAACTATCTTCGGCGAACAAATTTTTCTAAGAAATTCTCGTGACGAAAGACGAAACTGACACTGCTCGGAGCTTCGAGCCTCAAGCTTGGAGCTTGGATAGTCGAGCTTGGAGCACCTACCGGCCAGGAAGGCGACGCACACGGCGGCCACGAAGCCGTTCCTCTTGGCGCCCATGCTGATCGTGCAGGATGGCGATGGTCCCAATGCCGCCAGCGCGCCCACACTGCGACAATTGAACGTGCGCCCGCCGGTACCGCACCGTACCGCACCGTGCCGCACACCCTGCCCGTGCCTGCCCCCTGCCGCCGGCGCGAGTTAGCCGGTCGAGCGATCCCGCCGCCCGCACTCCTCGCTCCGTCTCTCTCTCTCTCTCGCACCCCAAAGGCCAAAGGCACACTCCACGAGTGCGAGAGAGACAGAGCGAGACCTGCGGGCAGCGCGGAGCACCCGCGGGAAGGCGAGGGGCACAGGGCCCAGGCCTTCCTTTTGGCGATGCGGGCGGAAGGCAGCTTGGCGGCGCCAGCACATGATTCCGAGAGTCTCTCTCCCACCCGTGCGGCCGCCCCGTGCGTGGCGCGAGAGACAGGGCGACGCGATCCGGGCGATCTCGCGCGCGTCCTCCCCTCCTCTACCCATCCATCCGGCCGCGAAGCGCGACCTCGCAGGTCAGCACCGAGCGAGCGGCACACGCCAGCCTCCTGGAAGGGGGGCGGAAGCAGCTTGGCGGCGCCAGCACACTGATTCCGAGAGTCTCTCTCCCACCCGTGCGGCGCGCCCCGTGAGTGCGAGAGAGACAGGGCGACGAAAGCGACTCTCGGGATGAGTCTGCAGCGGCAGGCGTCCTCGCGCCTCCATCTACCCATCCATCCGGCCGCGAACTGCGACCTGCAGGTCGCCCGCGCGTCCGTCGTCGTCCGGGCAGCGACCGGGCCTGTCGCTCTGTCTCTCTCGCATCCACACGGGACGCCCCGTGACGAGAGAGACAGGCGACGAAAGCGACTTCACTCTGCTGCTGCAGCAGCCTTCCGTCTCTCCCTCGGGTGCGACGCCCAGCCACCCACCCGCATCCGCGGAAGGCACGCCGCGGCGCAATCCGTGAAGCTGCATCAGGCATTCCAAGGCCTCCACCAAGCCCAAGGCTTCGCTTGCTGGCCTTCAGCCCCAGCGCCTGTGAGGCAGGCCGCCGCCCAGTGACGCGACGCACGGGTGTGGAGACGGTGGCCTACCGTGCGCCTGTCGCCTCGCAGGGCGGTAGGCCAACCGTCTGCCGAAACCTGCAAACCTTGGCGGTTTTAGATCTATACGCGACGAGAAAAGACTTAGCAAGAAAAGACCGAAACTCTAAGACTGTCCGCTTTAACCGTTCGTTAGGAGCGTTTTAGAATGGCCACGACTTTGGGTTCCAGAACCAGGCGCGCGTTTCAAGGGCCTTCTCCGTCTGCAGACGGTCCTTCCTCCCGGCCCTGGATGGCGCCTGGGAGTGCGAGTGTGACGTCACCCCGCATGCCCAGAGCACGGCGACGACCTAGTCGTGGTGGTGACTAGTGTAGTGACCCTGCCCCCTCCCTCTCTCTCTCTCGTTCACGGGCGCCCCGTACAGATGCGAGAGAGACAGAGAGACGAAAACGACTCTCGGAATCAGTCGGCTTCCCGCGATCTGGCCTGGCCGGCTCCGAAATCGCGTCCGGGGGCGCAATCAGGGCAAAGGCGGTGGCGCTGAAAAGTCTAGCGGTCGAATTCCGGTCGCGCTCGGCGTTCCACGAGTAGTTCACGAATGGCCCATTCATCCCCCCCCTCCCCTCCACGAAGAGGGTCGCGTCGAGGGCAGCGTGCCCCCTCGGCGTGCCCCCTCCTGTCACCACTGCCCCACCAGCCGAACCCCTTCGCGGGAGAAATGAACGTGGCTTCGCCGAACGTGCCCATTGGCTTACCACAGTGGTCCGGCGACGGGCGACGTGCAGCGACACTACAACGTTTTCCTCGCCGCCTTTTGTTCAGCTTTGCCAAAGTGGTCGCCCGATCTTCCCCCTGGAGCGCCCGCCTGGAGCGCCTGGAGCGCCTGGAGCACGGCTGACTGGGTGAAGTCTGTCACGGACCAGGGTCCTTGTAGAGAACAGCCCCTCTCGTGCCCCCTTCTCTCTTTCTCTCTTTCTCTCTTTCTCTCTCTCTCTCTCTCTCTCTTCTCTCTCTCTCTCTCTCTCTCTCTCTCTCTCCTCCTCTCTCCTCCCCGCACCTTTTCACGCCCCAGTCCACTCTCCGCTGAAGCGTCGCGCGGCGAGGTCTGGCCCGGCGGCCTGGTGGTCTGGGGCGGCCTGTCGTTTGGGCCCCTTCGCGAACCTTCGCGGTCGCGATGGGGTTGTCGCGGATGTCGCGCTGCCCCGGCGGCCCCGGCGGGACGTGAGTGCTCGGATAAGTGAGGGATTTGCGGAGACACCGTCGGCGACTCGGAAAGAAGGCCGGGGCGCGGGGCGGGGCGGGGCGGGGCGGGGCGGGGCGGGGCGGCGCGGGGCGGGGCGGGGCGGGGCGTGGCGGGGCGCGGGGCGGGGCGGGGCGCCCGACGGAGGCTGGAGGGTTGCGCGGCCGCGGGGCGCCACGCCGCGCAGTGCGGGGCGAGCCGCCGTCGGCGACGGAGCGACGGAGTGGCGGAGGAGCGAGGAAATCGCATTTGCGCGGGGCGGCGAGGCGGCGGGGCGGCGGGACGCACCGCTAACAAAGTTGCCGATCATGAAGGGGCCGGGGCCGCCGGGGCGCGCGCGCGCTGTGCTGCTGGCTCTAGCCGCCCTCGTCGCCGTCTGGTGAGTACTGCATTTGGAACGACCCAGCCTGCAACTGCAATTGCGCCGGCAAGTTTGCTTGCCCTCCGGTGGCGCACCGTTGTTTGGAATGCCAAAATTTCCCGATTTGCGAACAGCAGTGTCTGCGCCGCCCGGCACGACGGCGCGGTGGCCGGCGTCGCCGCGGACACGCCGTGGACGACGTGGGTGTCCGGCGGCGCGGAGGCTGCCCCCCAGGGCGGAGGCCAGGCGGCGTCCGGGACCGCGGCGGCCACGCGCGAGGACCCCGACGAGGCCCCCGAGCAGCACGCCGGTCGCGGCGCCGCCGACTGGCAGGTAACGCTGACAGGCGTGGATGCAGGATTCTGAGGAGGGAGCCCCAGTACCCAATGGGGACAGTGAACTCACAGTTAGGTTTTGCAGTGTAGACGGCGAAGCTAACACCTTTCCTCCCCTGGGCCAGCTCGACCACCAGCTCCACCGGCGAGCGGTCCGCGGCAGGCTGGGCAGGCAGGGCAGGCGCTACCCCAGGGCGGGCCGAGGCCGCGGCCGCGGTCGGGGGCGCGGCAAGTCACGCGGCCGCGGCGGCAAGCGCGAGCGGCAGCGCCTCAGCCGCAACATCACCCTCGTCCTGGAGAACCTGCTGCAGGACTACGAGAACAGCAGGCCGCCCACCAGCGACACCGGTATGTCCAGAGGGCCGTGGTTGTTGTTGTTGCGTGTGCACTAGTAACGGAACTGTCCTCCAGGGACACGCTTGCGACTGCATGCCTGGCCCCGTGACTCAATGATGCACTTATAAGTTTGCACTTGGCCTCGTTTGCATTTGTAAGTGCGTGTGTGGCAAAGTATGCGATTGTAGGTGTGTTTGGTAGACTGTAAGATTTGAAGTGGGGGCAAACGACGGTGGGCAAGTCTCGGATCGCAACACTGTGTCGGTTGCAGGCCAGCCCGCCGTGGTCCGCACCAACATCCTGATCCGCAGCATGGGGCCCATCTCGGAGATCGGGATGGTGAGTCTGAATCGCTGCGGAAACTGCCCGCAACGCACCGGTGTCAGTGCAGGTTGCGGTTGGCAGGCCTGATGTTTGCCCGCTCACGACACTGCTGTGGCGCGCAGGACTACTCCATGGACTGCTACTTCCGGCAGTACTGGCGCGACGCGCGGCTCAGCTTCGCCGGCCCCATCAACAGCCTGTCGCTGTCCATCAAGATGCTGGAGCGCATCTGGCGGCCCGACACCTACTTCTACAACGGCAAGCAGTCCTACGTGCACACCATCACCGTGCCCAACAAGCTGCTGCGACTGTCCAGCAACGGCGACATCATCTACTCCATGAGGTGGGGGAAACACCAATAGGGTAGAACTCCTCCATACGTCCTGGAGATTGCAATCCACACTTCATGGAGTGCGGAGTTCTCCACTCTTTAATTTTTTAAAGAATGTACTCTTTTTGCAACAGTTGACAGACAATTCGCATCTTAAAGCAGAGTTTGAGACTTGTGTGTTAATCCTGCAGACTGACGATCAAAGCCACCTGCCCCATGGAGCTGAGGAACTTCCCCATGGACAAGCAGTCCTGCCCACTCATCATCGGCAGCTGTAAGATTTTTATAGTTTTAGCAATGTTGTTGTTGTTGGTTTGGTGGTTTGTATCCCACTCTGTTGCTGTCCCCCAGACGCGTACCCGCTGCACAGTGTGGTCTACGAGTGGCTGGGCGGCCCGGCGGGCGTGAGCGTGGACTTCGTGCCCGGCATGGCGCTCAGCCAGTTCGACCTGATGGGGGCGCCGCACCGCAACTTCACCATCAGCCGCCGCGACGGTGAGAACGCCCCTTGCATGCACTGTAAAAAGAAAATCTGTACTGTGGTACGGGAATGATACCGACTTTTGCGAAGGGAAAATGTACTTTCTGGAAATGAAAATGTCTCCCTGACCTCAATATGAATTTAATTTAAACAGATATATAGAAAACCTGTACGGAACGTCCCTAATATCTGGATGACTTTAGTAATTGCCGTCATTGTTTACCACTGCGAGGTCCCTGTGCGCAGGCAACTTCTCCGTGCTGCAGGTCAACTTCAACCTGCGACGCAACACGGGCTACTTCCTGATCCAGGTGTACGTGCCCTGCATCCTCATCGTGGTGCTCTCCTGGGTGTCCTTCTGGATCCACCGCGAGGCCACCAGCGACAGGGTGGGACTCGGTGAGCAGACCAACGCACAGTGGTGGGCCAGAAGACTGGTGGAGGCGGTCAAAATCCCAGACGCGTTTTGAGCTCCAGAGTCGCTCAATGGGACTCGAACCCAGCGTGTCACCCCACCAATGGATTGCTCTCCGAACGAGGAATCCATTGGTAGGGTCACAAGCTCGGTTCGAGTCCTGTTTGGCGACTCTGGGGCTCAAAACGCATCCAGAGTTTTGGCCGCCTCCAATGGGCACTTTAGTATACTGAATGCGCACCTTGGTGCTCTGTCCTCCATCCCTGCCCCAGGCATCACCACCGTGCTCACGCTGTCCACCATCAGCCTGGACTCGCGCAAGGACCTGCCCAAGGTGCGGCACGCCACGGCCCTGGACTGGTTCCTGCTCATGAGCTTCCTGTACTGCATCGCAACGCTGCTGCAGTTCGCCGCCGTGCACTACTTCACCAAGGTGAGGCAGAGGGTGGGTCACGGCGAGGCTGGTGAGCTGACTTGCAGTGTATCCTACTAGCCTAATAGAGCACAGTGGGCCAGAAGACCGGTGGGGATCGAACCGAACGTGTGACCCCATCAATGGATTCCTCTTCCAACGATAGGAATCCATTGGTGGGGTCACACCTTCGGTTCGAGTCCTGCTTGGCGACTCTGGAGCTCAAAACGCGTCTTGAGTTTTTGCCGCCTCCACTGTGCTGTCGTGCTTGTTACTACAGGTGGGCAGCGGCGAGATCTACGTGGACGAGGACGAGCTGGAGGACGCGGCCCGCGGCGCCGGCCCGCCCAAGGTGGCCTCGGCCCTGGCGCCCTGCATGGCGCCCGCCCTGGGGCCCATGCTGACGGCGGGGGCGGTGGCCACGGCGCGGCAGCGACGCCTGTCCTCCCTCATCTGCCCCATCGTCAACGTGAGCATGGTGCTGGAATGGCTTTGGGTGGCCGCTGCGTCCCGCAGTGGGCCAGAAGAGCGGCGCAGGCGGTCGAAACTCTAAACGCGTCGCTATACAGGACTCGAACCGAACGTGTGACCCCACCAATGGATTCCCCGTTCGGAGAGCAATCCATTGGTGGGGTCACACGTTCGGTTCAGCAGCGCCGCCAAGCTGGCCAGGACGTCGACGGCTGTTTGTCCCCAGGACGGCGCGGCGGGCGTGTCCAGCCCAGGCTCCACCCCTGCGCGCCGCCGCTCCTCCGCCCGCGCGTCCGGCCCGGCGCGGCCCATGCACCTGCAGCTGCCCGACCTGCCGCACCTGCGGGCGTGCGCGCGCGCGCAGCTGCGTCTGGCGCCGCGGTCGCGGTGGCGGCAGGCGCTGCTCTGCCTCACGGGCAACGAGTCCTTCCGGCGGCAGCGCGAGCGCGCGGCCCGCGAGGAGGCGGGCGAGCGGCGCCACGTCAACAGCGTGTCCAGGATCGACCGCGTCGCGCGCGTCCTCTTCCCCGCCTCCTTCGCCGCCCTCAACCTCGCCTACTGGGTGGCCTACGGCGGCCGCGAGGAGGACTTCGCGTGGGGCGCCCAGGCCGCCGCCGTCTACCTGGACCAGTAGGCCGTCAGGCCGTCGCGCTCACCGTGACGTCGTGGCGTTCCTTCAAAGTTTTACCATTTACAATGTTGTTTCCCAGAACGCGGCCGGCCAAATTATTCCTGTTTTGCGCTGGTCAAACAAAGGCATGAAAATTACGTCCTTTTTTCAACAGAAATTTTCAGGTCATTTTAGAGTGAAATAACTTGACGCCCTATTGGAAGGGCATTTAAATTTTGCCTCGAAGCCTCTCCTAGTGCATAATTTTTAAACCTTTGTTTTACCATAGTGCATATAAATACATTGTAATCTACAAAAATAAAACCAACCGTTTGAAAACATAAATGTTTGTTTATGATTATTTTAACCACAATCATCCATAAAAAATCTCATTCAACGAACGTTAATGAAAGCAGATGATCCATCGCGTTTCACAAATGCTGTGATAGCCGAGAGGTTAGAGACGTGGGATCGAGTTGCCGCAGACCGGCGTTCGAATACCGGCGTCACAAAAGTTTTTTCGACTTGCTAACAGCGTCAAACAGCGAGGCTGCGCCAGCGTCAAACAGCGAGGCTATGCCAGCCTCACACAGCAAGGCTGTGCCAGCGTCAAACAGCGAGGCTGTGCCAGCGTCCCACAGCGAGGCTGTGCCAGCGTCAAACAGCGAGGCTGTGCCAGCGTCAAACAGCCAGGCTGTGCCAGCCTCACACAGCGAGGCTGTGCCACCGTCAAACAGCGAGGCTGTGCCAGCGTCAAACAGCGAGGCTGTGCCAGCCTCACACAGCGAGGCTGTGCCAGCGTCAAACAGCGAGGCTGTGCCAGCCTCACACAGCGGGGCTGTGCCAGCCTCACACAGCGAGGCTGTGCCAGCGTCAAACAGCGAGGCTGTGCCAGCCTCACACAGCCTGGCTGTGTCAGCCTCACACAGCGAGGCTGTGCCAGCCTCACACAGCGAGGCTGTGCCAGCTTTACACAGCGAGGCTGTGCCAGCCTCACACAGCGAGGCTGTGCCAGCGTCAAAAAGCGAGGCTGTGCCAGCGTCAAACAGCGAGGCTGTGCCAGCGTCAAACAGCGAGGCTGTGCCAGCCTCACACAGCGAGGCTGTGCCAGCGCCAAACAGCGAGGCTGTGCCAGCGTCAAACAGCCTGGCTGTGTCACCCCCACAGCGAGGCTGTGCCAGCCTCACACAGCGAGGCTGTGCCAGCCTCAACAGCGAGGCTGTGCCAGCCTCAAACAGCGCGGCTGTGCCAGCCAAACAGCGGGCTGTGCCGCCCCACACAGCGGGCTGTGCCCGCGTCAAACAGCGAGGCTGTGCCAGCCTCACACAGCCGGGGTGTGCCCGCCTCACACAGCGAGGCTGTGCCAGCCTCACACAGCGAGGCTGTGCCAGCTTTAAACAGCGGGGTGTGCCAGCCCCACACAGCGAGGCTGTGCCAGCTCAAAAAGCGAGGCTGTCCCGCCTCACACAGCGGGGCTGTGCCAGCGTCAAACAGCGGGCTGTGCCAGCGTAAAACACGGGCGGTGCCAGCGCCCAAACGAAAGGGCGGTGCCAGCGTCAAACAGCGAGGCTGTGCGACCCTCACACAGCGAGGCTGTGCCAGCGTAAAACAGCGAGGCTGTGCCAGCGTCAAACAGCGAGGCTGTGCCAGCCTCACAAAAGCGAGGCTGTGCCAGCGTCAAACAGCGCGGCTGTGCCAGCGTCAAACAGCGAGGCGGTGCCAGCGTCAAACAGCGAGGCTGTGCGAGCCTCACACAGCGAGGCTGTGCCAGCCTCACACAGCGAGGCTGTGCCAGCGTCAAACAGCGAGGCTTTGCCAGCGTCAAACAGCGAGGCTGTGCCAGCGTCACAGCGAGGCTGTGCCAGCCTAACGCAGCGAGGCTGTGCCAGCCTAACACAGCGAGGCTGTGCCAGCCTCACACAGCGAGGCTGCGCCAGCGTCAAACAGCGAGGCTGTGCCAGCGTCAAACAGCGCGGCTGTGCCAGCGTCAAACAGCGAGGCTGTGCCAGCGTCAAACAGCGAGGCTGTGCCAGCCTCACACGCGAGGCTGTGCCAGCGTAAAACAGCGCGGTTTGTGCCAGCGTCAAACAGCGAGGCGGTGCCAGCGTCAAACGGGCGAGGCGGTGCCAGCGTCAAACAGCGAGGCTGTGCGAGCCTCACACAGCGAGGCTGTGCCAGCGTCAAACAGCGAGGCTGTGCCAGCGTCAAACAGCGAGGCTGTGCCAGCCTCAGACAGCGAGGCTGTGCCTGCGTCAAACAGCGCGGCTGTGCCAGCGTCAAACAGCGAGGCGGTGCCAGCGTCAAACAGCGAGGCTGTGCGAGCCTCACCAGCGAGGCTGTGCCAGCCTAAACACAGCGAGGCTGTGCCAGCGTCAAACAGCGGGGGTTTTGCCAGCGTCAAACAGCGAGGCTGTGCCAGCGTCAAACAGCGAGGCTGTGCCAGCCAAACGCGCGAGGCTGTGCCAGCCTAACACAGCGGGGTGTGCCAGCCTCACACAGCGAGGCTGCGCCAGCGTCAAACAGCGAGGCTGTGCCACGTAAAACAGCGAGGCTGCGCCAGCGTCAAACAGCGAGGCTGTGCCAGGGTCATACAGCGAGGCTGTGCCAGCCTAACACAGCGAGGCTGTGCCAGCGTCAAACAGCGAGGTTTGTGCCAGCGTAAAACAGCGAGGCTGTGCCAGCGTCAAACAGCGAGGCTGTGCCAGCGTCAAACAGCGAGGCTGTGCCAGCGTCAAACAGCGAGGCTGTGCCAGCGTCAAACAGCGAGGCTGTGCCAGCGTCAAACAGCGAGGCTGTGCCAGCCTCACACAGCGAGGCTGTGCCAGCGTCAAACAGCGAGGCTGTGCCAGCGTCACACAGCGAGGCTGTGCCAGCGTCAAACAGCGAGGCTGTGCCTGCCTCACACAGCGAGGCTGTGCCAGCCTCACACAGCGAGGCTGTGCCAGCGTCAAACAGCGAGGCTGTGCCAGCGTCAAACAGCGAGGCTGTGCCAGCGTCAAACAGCGAGGCTGTGCCAGCGTCAAACAGCGAGGCTGTGCCAGCCTCAAACAGCTAGGCTGTGCCAGCCTAACACAGCGAGGCTGTGCCAGCCTCACACAGCGAGGCTGTGCCAGCGTCAAACAGCGAGGCTGTGCCAGCCTAACACAGCGAGGCTGTGCCAGCCTCACACAGCGAGGCTGTGCCAGCGTCAAACAGCGAGGCTGTGCCAGCGTCAAACAGCGAGGGGGGAGTACATTGTCCCTAGGGATGGTGTACTGGGGAGTAACTCAATCCGGGGAGTAGGATATCCCGCTTACACCGGCCGCACCGCCGCCAGCACACAGTGGGCCAGAAGACGGAGACGGCCGAAATTCCAGACGCGTTTTGAGCTCCAGAGCAGCTGAATCGGATTTGAGCCGAATGTGTGACCCCACCAATGGATCGCTCTCCGAACGAAGGGTCCATTGGTTGGGTCACACGTTCTATTCTATTCCCATTTAGCGACTCAGTAGCTCTAAACGCGTCTAGAGTTTTGGCCGCCTCCACCGGCCTTCTGGCCCACTGTGCGACACCAGCCGGCCACCGCCGCCAGCACCAGAGAGCTCGCCCTAAAGGCCGCTAGCCAGGCCGCCTGGCTCCGCCCGCCCCGCCGCCCCGGTAGCCAGTTACCCGCAGTCCCAGCGGTAAAGAGAGGCACTGTGCTCGGCCCTGGAGTTTGCCCAAATATTTAAAGGGGCCCTTGCTTGCGCCCTGCCGCCCTGCCGCCGCTCCTGCTTCCCACGACCCAGAAAAAAGGGGTAGGGGTGCCTGCAGCGTCGGACCGGACCAGGATTACGGAGAGCGGCAATCAGTTCTCAACTTTGCACTTCAAGTGGCGTCGTGTGTGTGTGTGTGTGTGCGTGTGTGCGTGTGTGTGTTGACATCGCCAAGTTGCAGTCACCGATCCGCGAGCACAGTGGTCGGCACTGTCACGCCATGCTTGGTGGCCAGCGCCCCGCCCCGCCCCAAGGGCTCCGGATAGGGCCGCATCATAACGGCGCTGCAAACGGCGCGTGTGGCGGCCCACATAAAGATTATTGAAAAGCTCTACACCACAAATCATATTACCCCACCATAAATGAACACGGGCCATTCGGAAAGAGAAGGGGCACTTGAGCCTGGCTTGGTTGGTGCGACCCTTGCGCGCGCGCGCAAGTGTGTGTGTGTGTGTGTGTGTGTGTGTGAGTGTGTGTGTGTGTGTGTGTGTGTGTGTGTTTGTGTGTGTACATGTGCGCGCCCTC